TGGCGACTGCGATGTCAAGATGTGTGTACATGGCGAGATAGAGTAGCTCGCCGACCAGTTTATGGTACTCTGAAGTGAGGTTGTCAAGGTGAGGGTGTACATCAGTATCATGACCGAACAGAAAATGAGGGTCCATGGGTAAAGTCACTGGATTGCAGCCAATCATACCATGCTCCTTGAGGAGGTAGGTGATGTAGTCGGTTTGGTGCATCCATAACTCGCATGTGGAACAATTCCGTTCGAATTGAATCCCAAGGTGTTTAGCCACAGGACCGAGGTCTGTAATACCGAAATGCTGCGCGATCTGACCTTTGATCCAGATGAAGAAGGGGCAATTGCTTGCGGCAGTGAGTCCGTCGTCAACATGCCAGGCGATGATGCATATGATTCATTCTCCCTCTCCGTTGAGGTGGTCATATATGAAAATGGCATAGTCAGCCTCTACTCGAAGAAAGCCTAGACGTGTGAGAACTTCTCATAAGAGTTCATACCAGTCATAGGCCGCTTGTTTCAGGCCATACAACGAGGAGAGAAGGTGACAGATGAGAGAACCGACATCAGGTAGGAAGCGCTCAAACCCTGGAGGTTGGCGCATGTATACGTCTTCTGTTAGTTTCCCCCAAAGGAATGCGCATTTCGCATCAAACACGTCAAGCTCCCAGTTATTCTGTGTGGCTAATGCAGATATGACGTGAATGGACGCCGCTTTGGCAACGGGAGCAAACATTTTGCCGAAATTGATACCTGGTACTTGGGAGAAAACCTGAGCGACAAGACGTGCCTTATACACTGACCCCCCCTTCTGATCCTCATGAAATTCCAACACCCATATGCACCCGATAGCCTTGCAACCTTCTGGAAGAGGTAGAAGTTCATATACCTGCATCTCGGACATCAAATTCATCTCTTGTCGCATTGCTGAGAGCCAGGAGTCGCTGTCTGAACGACATATGGCTTCATCATAGGTATTTGGAGGAATCTTCATGTTGTAGTTAGCAGCCTGTGGATTGCGGCGAGTATCGCTGCGAATGGAAAGGTGGGCTTGCTCTGTGATGATCAGATTGGCTATGACATGGGAAAATCCTACAATTTCGGTATCAGTGCGAATGGTATCTTCCTCGGGTTCATCAGGATCAGCGAGAGGATGAGAGGGTGCAGGAAGGAGGGATGGACAAGCAACAACTGGGATGGCAGGAGCAGGGACTGTGGTATCGTCTGGTGGAGTGCCGTTAATACGGGCCTGTCTTAAGTTGCATTGACGGTCTAGGCGAGCAGCATCAGCGGCCAGTTTCTCGTGGAAGAGACGACCTCGTTCAGTGAGAACGTGAGTCCTAGATGATTGTCATTCGCGAGGAGGAGAGGCAGGCGCTGAAGGAGGGTTGTTGGAATGAGGAGCAGGAGGCATGATGGGAGCAGTCAAAGCAGGTGGAGGTGCTGTGATGGAGGGAGCTGGAGGAGGTGTCACATTATTGTTGTCGTCATTGTCATCACTGTCCAAGGTAGGAAATGTGTGATTCGAAAAAGACTTGTCAAAGATGACATCACGTGAGTTGAAGAATGCTCCAGTTGAGGAATCTCGACAGCACCAGGCCTTTACGCCTGGGGGATACCCCATAAATATTGCTGTGCGTGACCGGGGTCTCAATTTCTCCTGTAACTCGACGGGAATCCATACAAAACACCTTGCTCCAAATACCTGTAAGTGCGAGATGTCCGGCTTTGCTCCATGCAACATCTCATATGACGTTGTGCCTGGGGGAAGTGAACGAGATTCAGTGTGATTGAAGAGGTAGGCTGCACACAAAGCAGCTTCGCCCCATAGAGAATGTGGTAGTCGCGCATGATCGAGCATGGCATACATTCTGCCTTCAATAGTGCGAATGACATGTTCCGCTTTACCATTTTGCTGATGTGCGTATGGCGCCGACAGTTGACACACTATCCCAGCCTTCTCGAGCTCTGCGGTAAATGCTGCATTTAAGAATTCCCCCCATTGTCCGACCGAAATACCTTCATGCATTGTCCAGACTGATTTTCCCAATGAGCACGAACCAGGCGCCAAGCATCAATTGCTTGATCCTTGGAGGCAAGTAGTTGGACGTTAAGAATATTTGTGTGATCATTGAGGAAGACAATGAAATAGTGTTTATCGTGAGGTGTGAGGACAGGAATAGGACTGCAGAGGTCGGAATGGACAAGTTTGAGAAAACAAGTGGCTTTAGGAGTTTCGGAGGGGGGATGAGGACGTCGCGGATGTTTGCCCATGATGCAGGATTCACATTTGGATAGGAGGGAACCGGGAGAGACAGTTGCTCCAGTCGCGAAAAGAGGAATATGGCATACTGCTTCTCCTCCAACATGTCCGAGGCAGGCATGCCACAGATCAAGAGTGAGGATGACATGTGTGAATGCTGCGATATTAGGAGGGGATGAGAGCATTGCTGGTATTTTCCTTGTGGCAGATGGCGCTGGTAAGAACTCCAGATTGACATAACATAGATTGTTAGCCATGGGTATTGCTCCTAGGTCCGTTCCTCGATAGATGAGTTCACAATGAGGAGGAGATGCTCTAAAAATGCAGTCCCACCCTTTACTCAACATCCACCCTACTGATAATAGGTTTAACATGGCCGTTGGCTCATGCAGGCAATTAGAGAGTCGCACACGACATTTAAGTCCACCAATTGTGAGAATGGCTATGCAGTCTCCATGACCAGAGGTGGTCAAACTCCCGTGGTTAGCTGTGCGAACGGTAACGGCATCAGCTGTAGAGTATGACCAAAAATATGAGCAGTCACGAATGAGGGTTGTGGTAGTTCCAGAATCTAAGATGGTGTTGAAACCGGAAGTCACAAGATGGGATAAGGTGGCTGCATCGGGGACTTCAGCAATCGAGGCGCAAGAGAGATCTGCTAAATAATTGCCAGCTGCAGCTTCAGATGCGGCAAAAGCAGCAATGGCAGTGGGTGGGGGAGGAGGTCAAGTCTGCACTATAGGTGTAAGTGCAGAAGGAGGTGTTATGGCAGCAGCCATTTGCTCCTTCCTCTTGGCTTTCATCCATGGCGCCTGTCCTTCCATTCCTCCGCCCTTCCCATAACAGTGGGCATGATCATGATCTCCTTTGTTGCAACCCGCTGTGGTGCAGAATATTCCCTCAGGATTGTGATGGTGCTTGCGTAAGCCTGTGATGGGATTAATGTTCCCCGCATGACCAGAAGCCGACGTTGATGAAGTGACAGCATTGGCATACTCCGAACCTAGGGAACCGGTAAGTGCACACTCATCCAGAACGCGAGCGGCTTCCACCGAGATCCGCATGATGCAGATATTGAAACCACTGGATGATGAAGGTGTGGTTGTCGTGGTGGTGGAAGCCATGGCAGTAGTGGAAGTTGTACCGGTTGTGGTAGTAGTAGAGGTCATAGAGGTCATGGGGAGAGTGATGGTCAAGAGAGCTTTAAATTGAGGCCAAGATCCCATGCGTGGAAGGCTGCGTAAGAGTTGAAATACGGCCTCTGTGTCGGTGTAAACGGCTCCCATATGAAGTAGTCGCTCCCTGAGTACAGAATGTTGACCGACGTAGTTGGAGGCATCTGCTGCATTCTTCATTTGAAGAGCATACAGGCTCTGACGTACCATGTGTTGTGATCCCATGTCCATCCGCCCGAAGTGGTCTTCCAGAATTTTCCACGCATCACGAGTGGAGACTCTATGACTTGTGGAGATGAGTTGTTGGACTGAAGGTGAAAGGCGTCGGGTAATGATAGATTTTGCTTTGAGATCGTCTATAAGCCATTCTCTGATGGCTTTAGTCTCATCAGCAGTCGGGGCCACTTCCCAACACGTCATCAGGATCCACGGTATCAGTCACATGGCACCACTGGTCTTCGATACCAAGTGCATAAGTGACTTCCTGTTTCCAGGCAAAATATGTGTCGGGGCCTGAGAGTTCCGGAATATGATCTAACTTCCCCATGTCAAAGGAAGGTAGTAAAGGAGATAGACAAAGAGTTGTTTGATACTAGGCGCGTGGTGGTTGTAGCTTGAATGTGATTTCATTTAGTAGAAATCAGGGCTCATAACCTGTTGAAGCTAACAAATGAAGACACTCAGTGTTTGGGATAAACGACTAATATTGTTATTACCTAACAAACGAAGACGCTAGAAGTTCTACAGTAAGAGACGGCGAGATAACTAGAAAGTAAGGAAACATACCTCAGTGTTTGGGATAAACGACTGAGGTACGAACAATGAGAAGAAACGTTTAAATACTAATACACGTGACGAGACAGAAAAGGAAAGTACTATGAGACGATGACGTTCCATGATGCTATGCGATGCGATGACGTTCTGGATTCAATAGAAGCTTGACGCAGTGAGACAACATTTGACACTGCATCTGAAAACCAACATAGATGAACGAATTAGAGGTAATGCAACAATATAGGATTGACGTGCAAGATGCATACTAGTAGTATGAACACAGAGGACAAGCACTGTAAATTTGGTGAGAGGTGAATACAGCACTATAGAGCCTGTACGCAGGCAGACACTCATATGTTGATCATTAACGATGATTCAAAGTGTTTGGAATGCGATATGAAGTTGTGTAAACATGATCTGTACATAGGAATTTGTTACAGTGCCGCGTCAATTTCACCTGGCCCTGCGGCTTGCACCGCTGTGATAGAGTTGTTGTTTACAGACAAATCGGTCAGATTGAACCCATGGTGCATGTGAATCATGATCCTGCGCTTCACCATGGCATTCGTCTGCTCTATACAACGTCAACCTTCTGTGACGATGCGAACTATGTGTCGTTTCCTGCCTTGTCGAGTCGGCTCTCGTCAATCAATATCCCTTAGCTAGACCATAATAGAAGTAAGAAAATCGTTTCTTCTAATCGTATCGGATATGATGCTTTAATATATCCAACCATCGTCATCGACAGAAAGGATCTTCAAACCTACCGCAGTTGAAAGCAAGTATCGATGACCATCTCATAGTCCATCGTCTCGTAGCGCCTCTAACGCTCTCAGTACCCCACGCGCTACATCTTCGCTCTTCTTCTCCAGCGCTTTACCCCTTCCCTTTCCCCCACCTTGTCCTCGTCCCCCGCTACGCCCTCGCTCCACATCTGGACTCATATCCACATCCACAATATCACCCTCGTCACTAAGTTCTTCCTCGAGCTCGTCATACAGAGCCAAAAAGTCTCGCACATCTTTGATGAGCGTCTCGATGAAGATATCACCAAATACCAGTGATCGGTTGGTAGATAGTACTCGGATTTCATGCGGAGCTGTGGGTGTGCAGAGGAGACCGAGAAGAACAGCGGTGTACCCTGCCAGGAAAGTGAGTTCGGGAGATTGAGGCATGCTGGACGTGTTCAATGTGGGTAGGGAGGAAGCAGTTTTACGTCTAGAGGAGGTGGAGTGGCAGGTAGGGCTCGCAGAGGGAGAATCTTGCTGACGTGCAGATGGCGGCTTCCGACCGGCACCCATGGTCAATTTACGTTCGTGGCCAGACACGATTTTTTGTGTCCGCGATGAAGAATCAGTTGATACAAATACAGAACTGCCAAATGTCTGATACACAGACACCAAACACGAGAGCAGCGGTACCTGTGAAGACGGAGGGCATGAACAGATATGCGAGCAGCTGCGGGTGGCAGAGCAGGCGCGATTGAGAGCTATGCGAGGAAAAGCGTCGTCGACAAAAAAATTGAAAGCAGGAGAAAGAAATACTAACGAATACGTCCCATCCCCTCACTCATCCCTCCACCTTCGATGCCCCCAGATGCCCAGTTCAAAAGCAACCCAAGCGCCAGGCAAAGCAAGTCGAAAGACTCAACACGTGTCAGGGTATATGGCGGGACTGATATGGCCTTGCTTTTCCCTTTACCTGTGTCATTTCCTTCGCTCGGTGTGCTGGTACCTTTATTTGGCGTATCGTTTCTATGCAACATACCCTGCCTGCCAAGTTTACTTGGCGCATTGATTGTAACTGAAGGTTTATGTGCAAGTTTGGACGGTGAAGAAACAGGAAGCGGTGTCCGTTTTTGAGGGGAACGTGTAGATTCACGCCGGGAGCCGGGTAAAGGTGGGGAAGAGGTATCTATACCCTCCAGCTCCTCCGGTTTTATCGCATGTTGTTCATTCCCCTGCGTCGTCTCGTCATCCCGTTCACCCTTGACCCCATCAACGTCAAGATTCCTGACCCATCCAGCTTGTGCACGTAACACCACACGGGTAATCAGGGATAGGGCTGTGTCGCTTGGTGTCCAGGGATCATGATGAATATCTGAATATGTCGGGGACGTGCGAGAGTATGGAGACGAAGGACGAGAGCAAGGGGATGTGGAAGACGGGAGAAGCGTAAGGATACGGAAGGTCGAGAATAAGGTTTTGCGTGCTGTTGAAAGGAGCATGAGTTTCTCATTCATCCCTGTTGATATTCGTTAGGGAGGGTGGGCAAGTATCTGGGCAATATTTGGGATAATGGTTTGGAGAAGGGTTCGGCAGGGAGGCAGTGAATGGAGGAAGAGTACCAAAAACGTACCAAGCTCACCCTGACTTTCCTCCGCATCCTCTTCCTTGCTCACTGTATTCAAATCCCGTACACAATCTCGTACAAGAATTTCAGTGGCCACGCATAGCTCTACGAGTTCGTCTGTAAGTACCGGGTCCGCCAGCGCACGGTAAATTTCTGATTGTTCTCTAATCCTACGTGAACCATCACTTGCGACGCCAGAGCGTGATGGAACGTGGCCCATCCACTCTTTCAAGAGGTAGGTGTCTACGAGGCGGAGACAGGCGTGGATGTGAGCGAGGGAGGGAGTGGCGATCTCTATCGGGCGATCTGAGGGTTTATGTGTTTCTTTTCCTTTTCCATTTCTTTTTGTATTCCCATTTTCCCCCAGTCCTATATCCGAGCATGTATAACTGGGAAACAGCTCCAGGCCCCTCTCCCAAGCACTGACGCGTGGAGGTACAAGCAAAAGCTCTGCACGGAGGGAGTTGAGGATTGATGGGAGGGTCTGCAATGCAGGCGGAAGGAGGGAAGCCGGCAAGGATGATAGTGTAGTGCTGAGCAGGGTACGGGTGGAGAGCTATGATGCCCATGCGAATCCAAAAGAACGATCAAACGTTCGTAGCAATAGAGGCACAACGTGGGTCGAGTATAAATGAAATGAACGAGGGAATCAAAATGAGCGACAGCATGACGCACCCCATGTGTTTCCTTCATCACTCCTGATTTCGCGATCACATCTGCAAGGGCTTTGAGCTGCCGCGCAGTCAACATGACGTAAATGTCAATTCGATGTCATAAAATCCAAGAAAATGAACAAGGCCAATTATTACATCATTCTTGACAGCCGTCACGAAACTTACTCACCGGCGCGACGTCTGTCCTGATGATGCCCGATGCTCTCAGCCCCATTGCATCTACCCCCGACAGGGCGAGTGCAAGGATGTCTTTCTTCAGACCTGAATGGGTCGTCAGCGGTTACGTTGATGAATGTCAATAAATTCTGTTGGAGAAGTTATTTTACATAACATACCCTGATTGAGCCCATCACCCTTGATGTCGGAGGTGGGAGTGAGGGAGCGCAGGATATCGAGGAGAGTGGGGACGAGTTCAGGTTTATGAGCAAGTTCGGAAAGGGTTTGGAGATCGCGGGTCGAAAGGAACGCAAAGAAGGAAAGGGTAGCATCAAGAATCTACGGAATGTTGAGTTCATGTTTTGTGGCAAAAGGGTCAATAGGCTTGAAATAAAATATATGAACACACTTTGTCTGGACCGTCTCCGCGGGCTTTGAGGAACACATCCCAAGTGCGAGCATAAAAATCAGATGTTTTCGCACGGCGGTTGAATTCGGGGTCACATAGTTTAGTGACGATTTCCAAGACACTGATCATGGTGGAAATAAGCTCCAACGAGTTTATTACTGAAGCGCATCAGCACGCACCTGGCCCTGCGGAGTGCAATAGCACAACCACTCTCTATGCTTTCAAATAGATACCCTACCTCGTCAAGAAATCGTCTGCTTTCGCCCTTGCTCCGCAACTCCGTGATGCTCTTGAGATCATTCATCATCCCATTCGCTAGCACCCGCGAACCCACGGTAGAGATCCTCTTCAGTGTCCCAGTATCATTTTCGAAAGGACGTGGATCATCCTCGGAGTTGTCGACGCCCCACCGAGACCGCAAGTCAGCATAAGATTCACGCGTGTCATCTGGCTCTGCGAGATCAGCTGCCGGAAGCGCAATACGGTACGAACGTGATGCCCCAGCATACGTCCGTGTGTGCTTTGTCAGAAGTGGTTTATTCTGTGTTGGGGAAGGTGAACGCGAGGAGGCTATCTTCGGTGGAGAAGAATGGACAGGAAGTGTGTTAGACGATGCTAGGGGATGAAATATTAACATCACTAAACTCAGTAGGTGACCAAGACACACGGGTTAATGAGCAGACAGTATTATGGTCAACGGACGACTCCGTGCGCGAGCGTGACAGCATACGTTTCACCACTCCGAGCGACTTTCCAGGTGAGTTCGGCGTCCGATGCGGAGAAGCGGAGAACAACGTGCTCAGATCCCGAGCTGGCTTAGTCGGCGTACGAATTTTTGACGGCGTGCTCGAAATTGAGCCCACATCAGGCATCGTCGTACTTCTTCGGATAGGACTAGTTACTTTTGGTGGTGATAAATACGCACTAGACGGCGGCTGCACGATCTCGACCTCGATTCTGGGTCGTTTCCGCGGTGGTGAAAGCACAGCCTCTACATGTGGGGAGTTTGGTCGTGCACGGCGTGAGTTCTTACGCCCATATGTCCTTTGCATCGTTGCTGTGATCGTCGGTAGAATATGGATATGGTTGTGGACCGTGGTAGACAGCGAGCTGTTGTCGGAATCCGGCCGGGTGCATCGGCGCGCATAATGCACGTGCACGTGACCCTCTCAAACCTTGATCTTTCTCCAAGACCACCTCAACCGCGATGGAAAGCCTTCAAGCACGCATCGACTCTTTCCTTAAATCCAAGCGCGTGAAACGGAGTTCAAAACCGAACTCTACTTCCGCAACCGTGAAATGGCCTCATCCTTCATCTTTCAACGCCAACCCACACACCCTTGCCGAAGCAGGTTTCTACTGGGTACCAAGTTGGGAGGACAGGGATAGTGTCGCTTGCTTTCTGTGTCACAAAGAGCTGAGCGACTGGGATGAGGATGACAACCCTTTCCTGATTCATTGGCAGAAGTGTGGCAATACTTGTGCATGGGCAATAGTCCGGTGCGGACTCAGTGAGGATATTGCAGAGGACGGAAGGTGCGTTCACGCATCTTCTCAGCATAAGACATGCTTATGAGAGCATAAGCTTTGTATTCTTGAACAAGAAACGCCTTCCGACGAGCAAGGCGATGGAGAAGGCACGTCTTCAAACATTCGGCGAAGACTTGTGGCCTCATGACGGGCAAGATGACCACGGCGCTAGCTCAAAGAAGGTGTGTCCCCACGCTCATTTACGCCGTACTCAAATACCATTCGTCATCTTTAGATGGCTCAGGGAGGGTTCGTGTATACCCCCCAAACAAAGGGTGATGATACCGTGACATGCTTGTATTGCAACCTCTCACTGGGTGGCTGGGATGCTGATGATGATCCAATGTGGGTGAATGAAGTTCTCCCCTTGAGACGCAAGGTGACCCATTTACGACAGAGGGGAACATAAGAAGCGCGATACCAAATCCGGCACGCGATGCCCGTTTTTCAACGCATCGGGTAGCAAACCCCGTACAGTTTCACGAGCACGGGCAAAGAAAGGGGCGGTTGATGTTCCACCCGATCCAAAACCTGAGCAGTCAGACTCAGGTGATGAACTCGCGAAGGCAGAGATCATCGAGGAGGTGCAAGCACCTAAGACAAGACGAAAGGGACGCGTTGTCTCTACATCTAAGCCACCTGCCAGGACTAAATCGACTAACAAGAAGGCGCCGGTGAGATCGTCCAAGTCAGCATTGGCAAACCCACCCGAGGCTGAGGTGGTAGCCTCAGAATCTGAGACGGACCCTATCATATCGGAAACAGAAAGTATTCCATCGGAAGCAAAGGTCGACACGCCTGCGAGAGCGGACGATACTCCCGTACAACTAGTACGTATTCAGGACGACCTTCATAGCGAACAATACCCGAGCAACGTAGAGGCGGGCGACCTTAGAAACACCCCTCGTCCTCCCCCACGGCCCGAGACCCCTCATGATGATGACGCATCTATGGTTGTCGATGAGACGCCACAACCATCCGACCCACCCCTTTCCAGCCCACCCCACCCTCCGACATCACTTCCGCCTTCTCAATCGCCAGAACTCGCGGCCATTCCTTCTCTCAGACCAGAAACGCTCACTCCTGAAGAGCGATGTCTTACTGTCGAGCAATGGATAAGACGGGAGATCGAAAATAGCTATGATCAACTCATGCAGGACGGGAAGAAGCAAATATCATTATTCGCAGAGAGGGCAAGAGAAGTCCGGCAGGTGATTGAAGCACTATGATTGAGTTGTGTTATCACGTCCGTAGGATAGCTTTCTGGGTTGCCCATTATTTATTGAAGTATATTTACTCTCAAGTCCGCAGTGAAGACCTGAACGCCGCGCCAAAGCATCCAATGATGCCTCACAGAAGTCATGACGACGTCGAAGAGCGTGGTAACTTGTCCTAATGCAATGAATCCTGGAGCACCCGACCTAATATAAAGCTCTAGCTAGAGCCCCTGTTTCGTACGTGTCCCTGGAAGGGCGATCTTGAACGTTTGAACTCTTGCCTAATTTAGAATCTTAGATCTGTCATTGAGGACTAGGCCTAGGGGCTCGACCAAAAATCAAAAGGCCAAGTTGACAAACAGGCGGACAGCTGGATTTGACTGGACTATTTACATTTACTTTTATTTCAGACGCTCTGACGAATCAACTAGAAACAAAGAGCGTGCGTGCATTGACATATTGCTAATAGGGAATTTCTGAAGCCCGAGTAAAACTATGACAAACTGATAGCGACCGCCTCCAAAGCTAGCGCTCATCCCTCTATCACAAGCGCGCTTCCTCGCCTTCAAAGCTCAGAGGAAGAGATTGATGGGCGTGCAGCCGATGTTGATGAGGCCGTTCTACAGAACGTTAAGAGGTATGATATAGACGAGGAAGGCTGAATACGTACGTATGACTCGTTACTGCAGCAGACGGGCTGCTGGAGACAGTTTGCACCGTCACCAGTACCAACCACGCTGATTGGGCTGCAGTCGAGACCGACCTCGCCGAGGATATCAGCGAAGATGGGGATACCCCCAGACATCGTCAGGTTCTTGTTGTACTCGTCGACCTAGTGTTGATATTTAGATGGATTACAGAGACGGTGCGCCATATATATGAAACTCACTGGCTGAGTCGACTGACAACACTGAATGTTGCCGGTGTTACACTGGCCGCTGTCGCGTAGGGCGAGAGGCGTGGCGATAGCCAAGACAGCAAGGGACGCGATGGACAGGATACGAACAAACATTTTTGTAAGACTAAAGTTTGGTTTTTGGATTCTTTCGAAAGAGCGTTGAAGTTGGTTGATCAAGGAGCTGGGGGCGACTTGAACTGAAGAATAATCGAGTAAACTCGCCAGACTTTATACCTGCGGAGAGCCCTTGTGACTTCGGGAACTCATCGCAGTCACCGAGCCCCGCCGTGTCGGCATCATATAGTTGCACTCAATGCCGATGGTGTATATTCATAGGCGCGTCTTCTATCTTGCGGTTGGAATCCTGGTGAATCATTTCTCATTGGTCGGCCATCACGTGATACCGACGGCGAGACTTCTTTTTCCGACTCCATCAAACAGTTTTGAAATTCCCCGAGCTCTCCGCTCTCCGCTTATGAAAGAAACCCGAGAGGGTCGATACATGCCGTTATTCCCACCCAGTGCTGTGGAAAGAAATTCTAGTACCATGCTTGTGAATGACTAATACCATTTTTTTTTTGCAATAGGTTCAACCAAGGGAGACCAACTGTACTAGGTTTGACTCGGGTCACTCGGCGACTTGAATTCAAACTAAGCGTACTGCCGATTTCCTGCCCGCGACGTCTGGAGCATCTTCTACTTATTGCGATACATGCCATTAGCATATCTTCTTTGATGGTTCTCAACAGGCATCTAGGTTCGGGACAGTTTTGGCATCCCCCTCTCCGCTCCACGGCATTGAAAGAAGCCCGAGGGGCGATCTCCACGACACAAGACTCGAATACCGCGCTTACATACTTACTACGAAGGAACGAAGCAAGTACCGTCTTCCTTCGATCATTCTAGACCATAAGGCCGACCTCGCCGAAGGAGCGGTCAATTTTCAACGTACATATTGGAACAACAAGCATTGGCTCAGGTTGATAGGCTGAGCTCCGCATCGGACCTCCAAGGCGAAATATATTTGCCAAGCAAGATTCTCACATCCGCTGCTATAGGAGGAACCAGGAAGGCTGGCCCACGTACGTGTCAAGATCAGGTAGTCCAAAGGGAATATGTGTGGCACACATTTATGTGCAGTGACTGCGCAGTGCGGGTTGAATTTCCTAACGTGTTAATACTTCAACTTGGGTCCGTTGAGCCTTCTTACCCAATTCTGTACTCTGAACTCTCGAGCAGGACGTACGTTATTATCTGTGCGTACTCCATCTTACCGTTTGTCCTCTCTTTTATATTGACCCCCTGCATGCGTTTGAGGGAGACTGTCAACGACTGGTCTACACCGTAACGTTGACCTGGGACGTTCCAATATTTATCTTTTGCGCATTTCTACTTGCGAGACGTATAGTTGGTGCCTGGCCAGTCTATTATCGATTATGTACCTTTCGCCAACCTTGCGCCACTAGGTTGTTTCAACGTCACTGTTTCCGCATATATTGCGGCACCAACTTCGAACGTTTGGTTCCCAACGTCTACTCAATATTTCAGTGCCTCTTGGTACAGCAGCAAGACTCTGCGATTTGACTGATTAACCGTTTGTGCACGACAGATTTATCGATTACTATAATAATCACTCTGGTTGATTGGGACTTCGTACGTGCCCCATATAAATACCAGGAGGTACACTTTCAACGCGCTGATGAGTCGACTGTCAGTGCCACAGTCGAATATGACGAACTTAATTCCTCCTTCGAAAGTAATTTATCTAAGAGGTGAATTTACCCATTCTCTGGTGAGATTTTGACACCTCGATGCGCTGTCTATATCAAGTTTGGTTTTCAGTCAACCCAGCGACCCGTCCTCACCAAGAAAGAGATGGAGAACGTTGATAGAATGAATCACTTTTACAGATGAGATGCATCACGAACGGCTCCCCTGACGAAGCCAAGAGCGCCTCGCCACGTCAGAAGGAGTCAGACTAACGAAACGACAGGAAATGTCTTTTCAAGCACGTCAACGTGACTACGGCGATGCTGTGAAATATTGAATTCCTTTGGTGGTGTGTGCGTAGATTCGCTTCAGTACTGTTGGTTTGTTCTTTTGAGGTCCCCCATCTAGTAATGCCACGGCTCGGCTACGGCCCGTTCTGGTTTGGTGTTTACCGTTAGGCCAGAATTTCGGCATTCCCATGAGCCAAGCCACTGGTTACTGACTTGCTCCGACTCGTTAGCCATGTGAACCAGTTCCAACTTCTACAAGCCAAAAATATATGAACCGTGGCTCGAACCACTTTAGGCCAGCTTGAGCCAATTCAAGCTGAAATACAAATGCAGTGGTTGTGCCTGCCTCTCAGTGTTAGTCGGATTCCTCATTGTATTTTTCTACTCTTAGGTAGCTAGGCTATTGTATATGATGGATGAAGTCCCTGTTCGAGTTGATGGAAGATTTAGGATGGGAGACATTTTGGGATATGGCTCATATGGTATGTCACTCACATATCACCGGCTACATGTTGATTCAGATTCAACATTTGGACTCCATTTAGCTGTCATGTATTGTGCATGGAACATCATCCTTGATGATGCAGTTGCTGTTAAACTCGAAACTATCATGCACTCATCTTCTGTGCAGCGTGAATACAAGATTTTGAAACACCTTGAAGGTGGTGTTGGTAGGGAATCGACATATTACACTCTGGTTCTTGAGCTCCTTGGGCCCTCACTGCACAATCTCTTTCTTGCCCGCTACGGGAAATTCAGCCTTGAGACTGTTGCAAACCTAGGAGACCAGCTGGTCAGTCTGTGTGGGTGTTTGATGTGTAGGTCACTAACTGCTTTTCCTAGCTCTCACGTCTCAAATATATTCACTCGCATGGTTATGTTCACGGCGATATCAAACCACAGAATGTTGTCATGGGTCTTGGCGATCTCAAGCACACCACATTTATCATTGATTTTGGTGTTGCGAAGGAATTCTGGGATACATCGACCAGTGTCCATATACCCTTTCGCCAAGGTCGACGTCTCACTGGAACTCCTGCATTTGCTTCAATTAATAACCACTTGGGAGTTGAACCAGGTCGTTGTGATGACCTAGAGTCACTCACATACATGTTGATATACTTCTTGCAGGGCTCCCTCCCATGGTTGACCAGTGATGAAGAAAAACTTTCTAGCTCTTCCATACTCGAATGCAAAGTGAACACTACCATTGAAGATCTATGTCGTGGAATTCCTGTTGAGTTTGCCACAATGCTCATTTACATGCTGTAGAAACAACAATACTGTGAGGAGCAAATGAGGCTCCAGACTGTATCTATAAATGTTTGTAAGGTCGCGCTTTGCCTAGTCTGTGTTACCTGAGGAGACAAGTGTGTTCAACCCTAAAGGGGAAGCAAGTGCAGCAAAGATCTAGAGGTACGCGCTGAAGCGAAGCGCGAGAAAGCGCAGGTGCGCGCAAGGCACGAAGGCGCAGGAAAGCGCGCGCGCGTGCGGAAACAATAGAGAGGTTAGACTTAAGTGATAATATGATGCAAGATAAGAGAAAAGAGATGTGAAGTATAGACAAAATGGATTTCTACTATGTTCTTCTAGGCAGATAGTGGGTGGAAAGTAAAGTAAAGTGGAAGTTCAGTAAGGTAAAAAGTAGGTTGGAAAGTTAGTTGAAAAGTAAGTAATAGTATGTACTGTTGGCACTTATATAGCGCGCCTAAGCGCTGTAATGCGGAGCCGAAGCGCTACCGAGTAGGTATGTAAAGATATATATGAGTGAGAATTCATGATAAAAATAAAGGTGGAACAATATGCAATGAGAGAAATAGAAATATACACACTAGAGGGCTTGGTGGACAGTGGATGGGTGCTTCTGGATGGCTGGCGCTATAGGGCGCTCAAGTGCGGGAACGCGCGCGCGTGTATATACATCGCGAAGCACGGGAATGGTGCGCGCATGGCACGCGTTGCGCGGGAAAGCTGCGCCTCATATAGAGATAGCTGCGGGTAGCGCACTGAGTGACACTACAAGTTCGTGCTATGTACTCCCTAGTGAAAACTGTCATATCAGACCATGAGACACACGAGTCTCTACAACGCGCTCTCTCGCGTTCTCAGAGGATCCTGACTACAACCACCTTAGTTCATTGCTTTCTGCACTTTGTTCTAAATTACCTGCACCAGCCACATGCATGCTGGACTTGGACCAGCCTGATGCACATATCACACATTCCGCACTATCCTCCAATGAACCCCGGGTAATTGAGGCAGTACCTCCATGCCCACCGCTTTGCAGATCAAGTTGTGTGTGAGTAGTCCACTCATACTCCCAAATATAAATTAATTTGATCGCCAGTTTGCGCCCACACAATGGCTCCCTGTTGCATGCAACCACATTAACTCCATGCTGGAAAAAAAGTAGAATCACCTAGATCCAACCTCAAGCTTCAACCTCCAGGACTTTTGATTGTTAAATATAACACTGTTGAATACCTGTACAGAGTATAGCATTACTTATTATTTGTACATACTGCACATACTGTAGCACTACTGCTGCGACTGCTGCAATATTTGCCATAGCATCAAACTTAACCAATGTATGCTATTATGTTGCCCACCATGCCCACTGATGTAGATGCAGCAGGGTGGCTGGCGGCAGCAGTGGCTGATGGCATAGACAGTGGCTGATGGGATGATGTAAGAACAGACAGCTCAGAACTTGCTGACCAAACACCTCCAGACATGTCCCCCACACTGTGCCCAGACGTGTCTTTGAGGCTGAGTTTGGCACAGAGTCTGCGCAGACTTAACACAGATCGAATTCTAAGTTAGCCGAGGCACGAGGCCAACATAGAATATAGTCTACGTGTGAGAAAACATTGTGGCGCAGCAACCTTCTTCTCAAACCACATCAGCTTCTCAATGTTGTGGACAATCTCCAGTCCTAACTCTATCGTTTTCTGCTCATACTCTTTCAAAATGGCCCCATTATTAGACAACCCAAATGATGCAATAGTGCCAGATTTTAGAACAGTGGATCACACAACAGCCAGGGCTTGGCTCATTGCTAACAGTATCGGTGACGATGTCCAAGTGTCACGAGTTCCAAATACAAACCATTATTCGTTCCTTAATTCTAAGTCTTTTAAGCGCCCAGTCACAGCGCCTGTTCCTAAGAAAGTGTTTACTGTTGAAGAAGTTCCTATTATTGCGTCTATTGTAGAATTACCAGAGTCACGTGATCTATCGGACAATGCCGAAGATGTTGACGTCATGCCTCGCGACACTCTTGGAATGTTCCAGAGTCTTACTGCGGCTGTGGCACATGTTATGACATCATAGTTATATATAGAATCGTACAATACCTTTAATTATTCTGATTGGTTAGTTAGTTCATACTCAGTTTCAATATGTGTATATAGGTAGCTCGTCGTAGTCAGTAGTTCTTTAGTTCAAACCTCTTGTATCTCCAAGTGAGCAATCCAAGACGTACCTGCTGCCTTATCCTCTTTGTGATTATCTTGTTGTTTGAGTCCTAGTCTCTGCCCTGCGTTAATTCGTTTAAGGGGTTGTGACACCAAGCTGCAAAACTTCTAGCAACCTTATGGACACTAAACAACAATACAGCAAGAGAGCTCTGGGCAGAGCAACTCGAAGAAGCTGCTAGAGATGCTGAAGAAGCTCGACGATTAGCAATCGAAGAAGAATGAGACCGCCAACAAGCCATCGCTGACGAACAAGAAGCAGCTCGCAAAGAGGAACAGAAGAAGAACAAATCCAAGTTCGTTCCTGTCAGCAACTCCAAAGTTCCCTCCATACCAGTTGTTATCCTGTCCCACTATGCTGTGCGGAAGTTGAAAGCAGGAGAGTACTGTGAACTCTACTATTTCACTAACAAAGGTCTGAAAGACGCCAAGAAGAGTTTACTCTCCACCAAATCACCAGGTTTAACACTAACAACAAATGTTGATGGACAACAAATGTGGATTAATGCTGATGAAACGCACGACCCCAAAGCTGTCATCACCAAAGACGAGAATCTGTCCTGGGAGCATTTCAACGAAGCTGCCCTGCGTATGATCACAGCCATAAAGCAACATGAATGGCCGGAAGATAGAATCAACATGCACATCCAATTCTGGACCGCTCTCCAGAACCATCGTTGGAGACACACTTTCGACACCTTAAAGCAATGCACACTACTACTATATCAAAGCCAGCAACAGAGACTATGGCACCTTACAGCAGGTGGCCCCTTCGGTTGGAGTATAGTGTAACTTAACCAGGATCTAATCATGGAGGCTAGAGAAGAGATTTTCAATGAAGATCATGACTTAGCACTCACTGCGCTCAGACAGGTACATTCATTGTGAATTCTACTTGCAAAATTGACTGGAACCTTCCCTTTCATTTCCTCTTTACATGAATCACATGCATTGCGCGTGTCTTTCGTATTCTCAATCATATCGACATCACGCTCAATCAACAAAACACTCATTTCCCTTGACCATCACACGTCGACCGGCTCCAATTGCCACAAAACCATCACTTGGACATCATGCTCCTTTCTACCACCTCCATTGACATTGTGTCACCATCATCATGCACCAACACCACCACCATTGACATCGTTGAAGGTACAACAATTCAGATGGTGAGTCTGAACAATATGTTGGGTCTTGCAGAACCTAGCTGCTATTCGACCCTAAAGGGTTTCTGGACCAGGCTCAAGGCTCAGAGGAGAGGAAATATCATAGAAAACTACTGAGCACTCAGACTCATACTGGTAACTGGTGAAAAGATTGCTTGATTATGTAAGCTACAAAGTGCCAACATAAGGTAAGGTAAAAACAGTCTCTACAAGCCCAACCAGAAATGAATCCCTACATCGTGTCACCAAAACCTCCCACTTACATGCACACCAGGCTGCTGCTGCTAATAATACCTATACCAGTCGCAACATGCAGGCACCTACTGCCTGTCCAAGCAATGTCCAGAAAAGAGCGGCATCTCCAAACACTGAGAGCAACGACTACAAAAAGAAAGCACGCTCCTTTTGAGACCAAGCCGACCCTTCCGGTCCTCTCCCATGCTGCACCATCTGTCTTGGACGTAACTCCCACCGCACAGTGGAATGCAACACCACCAAGACATGGGATAACTCCTTCAACACATTCTCAGAATGTATCCACAAAGCGCTGTGGTCCAAGAATGGGCACCAGCTATGTACCTCATAGCAACGAGAGAAAGGCTGCACCAGTAACCAGCACAGTAACAGGCATCTATGCTCAGGATGTGGTGCATCAGACCATGGAGCCCAACACTGCCCTCAAGCACAGAAGAATTAATCCTCTCACCCCCTACATCACAGACATTTGGGAACGTGAGTTACGTGACGCTGATGTGTTGGATTGATTCACAAAAGTTCTGGAAGGCTTCAGATCAGGATTTAAATTATTGCAATTTTCAATAATAATGACATTCTTTGAACGTACAAAAATAATTTGGTAAGGTCACTGTCTATCATGTGCTATGGCATACAGCCACGACTTCTACTTGTGACCTCTCGTCTTATCAACCATCATGGGCAACAGACAGATCAGCGACAACCTCAAAGACGCTGCATTGTGCATGGTGAACAAAGGCTATGCAACCCCTGAAATCCTCTCCATCACACAGATCTCAAAGTCAACTATCTACTGCACTCAATGTTGTAAACGAGCCACTGGCAGTGTAGCTAAGATTCAGGCAATTGGCAGGGGCAGGCCTCGGGCTTTCACCCAGCATGACATCCAGTTTCTCATCTGGCTTGCTCGTCACAACCCAACCCTATTCCTTGATGAATACCAAATGAGACTTTGAGATGGCTGGTTTCTACTTGCATCACTATCTACAATTCACTGGTCTTTCGAGTGTGCTGGCATCAATGTCAAGCATATTGAGAAGATTGCAGCTGAATGCAACCCTCTACATCATGCAGACTTCGTTCATCATGTCTCACAGTACTCACCTGCCTCTTTACTCTGTTTGGATGAAGTTTCAAAAGATGATCGTACATCCTCACATTGCTGGGGATGTGCTGTATGAGGTGCACATGCTGAGCAACATCAACCATTTGTTTGTAAACATCGGTTTTTGATGGTGGCAGGACTGGCTCTTGATGAGGGCATTGTCACTGCAAAAGTTGTTGAAGGATCATTCAATCATGAGAGTTTTATTGATTTTTTGTGCAATGATGTGGTTAGTTTTCATACTGCAACTGTGATGTGTCAATAACTTGGACTGGCTAGCTTCCTATCACCACTCCATTTCCAGGGCCACAAAGTGTGTTGATTATGGACAATGCTCGCATTCACCATGCAGAGGAAATTCAGGTGCTTGTTGATGCTTATGGTCAATATGACAACGTTCATGGCATAGAATTCAAGTTGTCCGAGTCTCACTATGTTGTTAGGGTGCTGCATTGAATACTTACCACCATACTCCCCAGATATCAACCCTATTGAGCAAGCATTCTCTGTGATCAAGTCGCATCTTCGTTGCCAAGGGTTAGGCTTCTATGGGCCTAAGGCTCCTTACTATGAGCTATACACAGCGTGTTCTGTCATAACACTAGATATGTCTTGGGGCTTCTTTCGTCACTCAGGTTATCTTGCTTGACTCAGAGCATAGCATTGATACAATACAGTAGCATGACATTACAGATAACAATGTGTCCATGAGCACTCATAGCTGCAAAATACACATGATGAGCAATACAAACTAAGTTTCGAGCATCCACCATTCCTCAGCATCACAAATATCTGCGAGCTCGCCAAGAGATAATCCAGCACCAAGTAAGTTGGCATTCTGAAGGAACTGAAGGCAATGTGGGCCAGTCACATCAATGTTGTCCAACTTCTCGCATAGCCACCACGAAAGCTCAAAGCAATTGCAAAAATCAAGTAGACTCAATTTTGGTCGAAGAGCAGGTTGTTGATGGAGAACAGGCTGTGGGGCATTCTTGATAGCAGGATCAGGTCCATGGTCACTGTTCAGGAGGCCGACGATATCCTTGAAGTCGTTGTTGATGACAATACTTGGTGTGGAGGATTGAGTCTGTGTAACTGCATTGAGATGATGTCGTGAGAGCATTGCAATGTCGGTTGGATCTGTGTATGTAACATCGAAAATCTTTGTGTTTGGTGGATTGTCTAAATTGACACTTGGCTGCCTGTTTGGACCAACCTATCCCATAACAATGCCTATCATCAGTGACATGTGAAGACCATATACTTTGGAACATCACACAGACCATTGCAGCAGCCCACGTGTTGAGATGTAACAGTGTCAGGTTGACATGCTTGGCCTCCGGTGGAGCTGGCCAGCAGATACGAAAGCCACATGCTCGGTCTTCACATGTGTACTGGCAAGTCAAGTTCGCAATTGCTTCGTTTTGCTCCATCTCTTCGTCAGTTGGACCTGTAGCAGCCTTCATGACATGAGTGACAAGAGGATAATTGAAAGATCTAGTACTATCTCACTCTCTTTCCTGCAGGTTCACCTTCAGTGTCCTTGTCCTCTTCGGCTTCTTCACCATCATCATACTAGCATATATTCAGCCTCAGACCGCAGTACATAATACAACTTGAAAGATACTGAAAATACATACCTTCGTCTCGACAATAGTCAATTTGAAGGCTGGTGACCGGTGCTCTTTGACTTCTTCCATGATTGTGGTGAAATCGCTGATGTTTCCAAGAACAATATTCTTGTAGTTTGTGCGAAGGATCATATAGGTGATGGTGAAGTTTGTAGGAGTGAGAAGACCTGATCTATTGCCAATACCATACATCATTTTGTTGGATATATCATACTGTTCAAATGTTGTGTCAAGAAGGTTTCGGAGGGTCGAATCTTCATGGATGAACAAGGCACGATTTATGGGCTGCGATTTAGCATTTTTGTGGCGTTTTTCTCCAGTTGCTGGAGGTGGTAGAAGTGGGGTAAACACCATGGAGACTGCGATGCCCTTGCCATTGTTGTACATGCTCTCACCGGAAGGCTCTACACAAACATAAGGTCAGAAACCTCTACTATGGTCCAGGGGTGGGACATACCATTTTCTGTGTCCAAATCATCATCGTGGACTCTAGTATGGTCATGGGTGTCATTGCCATTATCAGACTTGAGCTGGCTCATAGTGGTAGTTATGCAATGGACATATACATATACTCAGGGATGTCGATGTTAATGTTGATGCGCATGACGCAGATCTGAGTGCTGGTACTCAGCCACAGGGTCTCAGCCACAACAGAGACACATTCGTTTATTTTTATTTTTTTGGAAGTTTCATTGTATTTGTAAATTGCAATAAACTTCCCTTTAATAATGCATATACAAAGCCCACCAAATAAGGACTCAGTTAACGAGTATCACACAGAATTTGATTCCATCATCCAGAAAGAATTTCACAAAGGAAGATACAGTGGCTCAAAAAAGTGTCTCAATGTTTCTGACTTTTCATGTAATTGCTTTATTATGAGCCAGGGTGTGGGAATATGACTATGCTGTAGGGAAGTGTCATAATTCTATACTTCTCAGCCTCATTTATGCTCCCTGTAGCGTGGGAATCTGATGTTATCATGTGCAGATATGGCTATTTGAATTTGGTGACTCATTAAGACACTTTTTTGACTTTCAGTTTGATCAACACAATCTCTATAATTATGATACTTTATGTGACCTCCTGTTGCTCTAATCACTTCTGCCACTCCTCTAGCCATGCTATCTATCAATTTTGAATATTTCTTCTTAGTACTCCTTTCTCACTCTGCTGCAACTCTGTCCTACAGCTGAAATAGTCCCTATGATGAATTTTGATAGGCTGCAAGCAATTTCTTAGATATTTTTCAGTAATATTCAATAGGGCTAATGTATGGGGACTGTGCTAGACATGATAGAACATTGATATTATGGTCTTTGAGCTGCTAGTGACTAACTTGGACATATACTTAGGATCATTATTTTATTGCAACATGGTATCTTCCTCATTAATATATGATTTCTGTATGCTTCTTAGCAGACTCTCATCTAAAATAGAGATGTACCACTCTGTATTAGTTCTTCACTTCACTTCACACAGAGAATATACACTCTATTATATCTCATATAGCTCTATACCTCCATGTTTGTTACTCCACACTTGAGAGTTTACACAATTTTTTTCTTTTAGTGGTTCACCTATCATTTTATGAATGTATTCCCAGCCATCTGACTTCATTATATTTATCTTGGTCTTATCTCATAATATAATTCTCTTCCAGTCCTCTTTCAGTCCAGTACTGGTCTTTAAAGCTGAAGTTTACTTCCTATTTCTATAGGCTAGGGATAGGAGAATCCTCTTCTGATTGATTGTAACTTTAATATTTGTTGCCTTGCAAGTATTGCTGATGGTTTGAGTGGAAACAGTGCTGGAGATGATGAATTGATGAATTAGGTGGCCTGAGTAGCATTAGCAGCCTGCCCAGTTAGAATATGGTAAATGTGAGATCTTCATTCATGTGAAGTAAGATTTCAAGTCAGTCACTAGCAGCTCAAAGACCATAATATCAATGTTCTATCATGTCTAGCACAGTCCCCATACATTAGCCCTATTGAATATTACTGAAAAATATCTAAGAAATTGCTTGCAGCCTATCAAAATTCATCATAGGGACTATTTCAGCTGTAGGACAGAGTTGCAGCAGAGTGAGAAAGGAGTACTAAGAAGAAATATTCAAAATTGATAAATAGCATGGCTAGAGGAGTGGCAGAAGTGATGAGAGCAACAGGAGGTCACATAAAGTATCATAATTATAGAGATTGTGTTGATCAAACTGAAAGTCAAAAAAGTGTCTCAATGAGTCACCAAATTCAAATAGTCATATCGGCACATGATGACATCATATTCCCACGCTACAGGGAGCATAAATGAGGCTGAGAAGTATAGCATTATGCACCTCCCTACAGCGTAGTCATATTCCCACACCCTGGCTCATAATAAAGCAATTACATGAAAAGTCAGAAACATTGAGACACTTTTTTGAGCCACTGTATATAGGTCCTTTTTCCCCTCTAGAACTTGAACGTATCATAGGTCCCTTCTAATCATCGCCCTTGTCCATAATACCTAAACCCGGAAAACCTGGAAAATTCAGACTGCTCCAGAACTTCTCCTTTCCACATGACACAGATCCCACATACCCTAATCCATCAATTAATTCTCACATCGACGCTAATCATTTTCCCACTACCTTGAGCAAATTCTCAGTCATATACCTTCTAATTTCAAGACTGCCGATAGGTTCAGAAGTTGTGATGAGAGATGTTGTAGAAGCTTACCGAACTCTTCCCCTTCACCCCTCCCAATGGCCAGCAGGAGTAGTTTGTATGTCAAGCACCAAGCTGTGCATAGACATGTGCATGGTGTTTGGAGCCACCCCATCTGCGGGAGCATACAGCCATGTAGCAGACGCAGGTGCTGAGATTCTCAGACACCACGGAATCGGCCCATTAGACAAATGGGTCGATGACCATATATTTGTATGTATTAGAAAAGAATATCTAGATAACTACAATAGGCAACGCGCCCAATGGCACAAAGACCTCGCAGAGAGAGGCATGCACCAATCGGGCAGCAGAATCTGGTTTGGAGGATGCATGTTCGACAACAACTCGATCAAAGAATTTAGCGAGGACTGCGCATGGCCCCTCAAAGACCTATCAGAACAATCCCCCAGATCAGAACACGACAAGCTATTCGGTTATTGCCTTGAGGACATCAACAATCTCTCCTCCAATCTCAGCATCAGATGGGAAAAGGAAAAGGACCAACCATTCGCAACCTCAACCATCTGTATAGGTTTTGTGTGGGACGTGGCCAATCACATGGTCGCTCTGAGCCCATCAAAAGTCAGTAAGTACCTACTGGCCATCCACAAGTGGCGCCGAAGAATAGTTCATGTTCTGCAAGACATGCAAGAGCTCTATGGAAAGTTGCTGCACGCATGCCAAATCTTGAGGAAAGGGCGCGCTTACCTCACATCTCTAGAAGCTATGCTGAGTATTTGCGGAAAGAAGCCTCACTTGTCACACCGCCCCATCAAGAACATTGAAGATGATCTCGATTGGTGGTCAGACACATTGCAAAGCGGAGGCGTTTCCTGGCCTATATACCCCTCAGCCTCTTACGTGGACCCACAAGCCTTCTCAGATGCCAGCTTGAGCATAGGCATAGGTATTGTCATTGGAAATTGGTGGAGAGCTTGGAGACTTGTTCCCGGTTGGCAGACTCTCAATGGCAAGCATGACATTGGATGGGCAGAAGCCATTGGCTTCGAACTGCTCATTAGAACCCTCATCACTTTCCCTAACCTGGGCAATGCACTCATCGTGTATGGCAACAACACTGGAGTCGTCGAAGGATGGTGGAAAGGGCAGCATCACAACTGAGAAGTCAACACAGTTTTCTGTCGAGTACATAAGCTCATCCAATGCTTACCCCAGCATCTCGCAATCCACACTATCTATGTCAAGAGTGAGCAGAACCCAGCCGACGGTCCCTCCAGGGGAATCTACCCATCCAGAGAACTTCTACTCCCTCCAATTGTCATTCCTCCTGTCCTTAGACAATTCGTCGTCGATGCAACTGAACCCCCAACAGCTGCAGAACTCCGCCTACTGCACAATGAGTGCTACCCCCCTCCTGCTGCCAAAATCATCAATAGAGCCTTGCTTAGACAGCAAGGTGCAGCACACCTACAAGCATCCAGACAAGAAGAAGACCAAATCCTCCTCGACGCTCTCCAAATCCACAGGGACCCAAGCTGTTGAATGCCAATATTTTGATGTAATTCTACCCAGTATCGCCACTGACACTCCTTCGAATCCACAACCTTATAGAACCAGTCTGACTCCCACTCCCTCACCTCTCTGCCCCCATTGTTTAGCTAGGGATAGGTTAAGCTACTGGAAACCATTCTGTGAAGACACTTGCAGAATGATAACCTCCAACGACCCTCGTGAGTTCTCAACATCAAACTCACAACTGGATCAGGTACTAGAAGTCATGGGCTGATCATGGGCTGCCTCCACAAAAGAAACATATGTATATGTATCTTTACATACTAGACCTTACTCGGTAGCACTTCAGTAGCACTTCGGCTCCACATGACAGCGCTTAGGTACCATATTTAAGTGCCAGCAGTACATACCAACTTCACCTTACCTTACCACTCCTCACCTTACCTTACTGCACCTTTCACTTACTGGTTACCACCCACTATCTACCTAGCAGAACATAGTAGAAATCTATTCCTTTACATCTTGCATCTCTCTTCTCTTGACTTGCATTATAACATCACTTATGTACCAGCAGAAATGGATACTAACAGTGTATCTAGCGAGACGAGAAACTCGAGTGAGAAAAGGCAGAGAGTCATTTCGGATTCATCTCATAGACTGCTATCTCCACTAAAGGAGGTGGCAATGATGATTGCAAACGGGAAGTTTGTCATGCCGAAATGCACAGGGCAGAAGCCACAGGGGCAAAGGCAAGGCCTAAGATGAAGAGACACGGGAAGACCCGAAGGGAGAAAACGGGCCTGCTGTAGAATAGACTCATCCAATTACCCTTGTGTAACCCAGATTAAACTCAACTAATTGTCCTCGCTTGTCTCAATAGAACACAGACTGCAAGAATTTAGCCAGCAAATAAGGGACCCTGACATGAGGATGCGGGGACCCCATGGATTCCGGAGACAAATGGCTCCAAAACACTAAGTATGTATCGTACAATGCCAGAATACCAGCAAATATAGGGAGGGAGGGAAGAATGTGGGAGTTGAATTAAAATAATGCAGTAGGGGTGAAATAATAAATTGAATTCGCATGACATACCAAATTAAATTGTAGCAAAAGGACCAGACCCCATTCCCGATTCTGTTCCAGACCCATCATGAATTGCACGACCATTAAAAATTAGAGCGTGAAGCAAAGCAGGATTCTTTCGAATATAAATATGAAAACCATCGGAAGACCATCGACCCATTGCTGGTATGTGTTCTGCTGATACTCCTGAGGCTGCCAAAGATGTCGCTCCACCTGCACGCAATGAATGGCCTGATATTGAACCAGGAAACAATGCGCGAAGTTTGCAGATAAACCAACCTCACATAGGCACGGAGCTGTTCACGCGAAGCCAGAGAAAGCTGTTAAAAGGAAATTGGGAATCACGAGAGGCGAGATAACCCAGAAAGGTAGAATGCGGGTCCGCTTCATCCGACTGCTGTATAACAATGGTGTTTCCTTCAAAACCAATGTCTGTGTTGTTGGCTGGCAAAGTGAAGGAGTGATGGTTCGTGGAGAGGATGAGCGAAGTGCATAAGATGAGCTTGGAGTGATCCTGGAGGGCTGGATTATCCGGCCAAACTAGTTCACCCAAACACATAAGACCATAAAAGCCATCAAGCAATTGAGCTGAAAAGAGTAGGTCATCATGAGAAGGTGCAGTTGGTAATGCTGCAAGAGCAGATGAGAGGTCTGCTCAAGATAGAGGCAGTTTCTGTTTCACAGCAACTCCAAAACGATGCTTAGCTCCCTAAAGTGTGCGAGCAACGAGACACAAGCACTGATTAGCTCTGACATGAGGATAATATTCTTCTAACAGACTACAGACTTCTGACAAATAGTTGTCGACAGAGTGTGGGTTGATGTGCACCGACATAAAGGTGACGAACAACGATAGAGTGTCGATAGTCGGATCAAGAGACAAATGATGAATGTCACAAAAACTGACATAGGAATTGAGAGCCGACAAGTACATTTGATTAGTAGAACAGTCTAGTGCCAGACCAAGGTTGATGGAACGTTCATAGATAAGATGTTCCATTGACCAAGCAGCCCAAATGGGCTGCTTAGTCATCGAAGGCCGAATAATCATTTTTGGCCTCCCCCCAACGCATTTCAAGGGGGTTCAAATGATAGAACTCGAAGACCTGGTCTAACACGACAAGTGTCCGCTGTGTGCCATCGAGATAAATGATCAGCAACTACATTTTGTTCACCTAAGACATGGAAAAGTCAGAAGTTGATTTTGAAAGCTAGAACGACTTCAAGAGTATCCATCAGGAGACGGTTATAACCCGAAGGACCTGCCAAAGAATTGAACATGAAGACTGTGTTCAAGCTATCAGTGAAAACCACGAGTCAACCATCCGGCCATACGCGAGTGACAGTGTCGTGAATAGCTGATGAGATGCAAAGAGATTCGTAGAAGAATATGTCTTTCACAGGTGAATGGGACAGAAGGGGTGATTGGAAACCAAGATTCAACATCGGGTACCAGAAACCAAGTCCAGTGCCGGAGGTGTCGCAGAAAACTTGAACCACGTCACTTGATAGTGAGCCGAGGTTCCAGGACACTGATTTGAAGAAGAAGATCCCATTAGAATATTCTAAGTGAAAAGCAGCCCAAAGGAGTTCTTCGACAATATTTCGGTTGATCCACAACAACCCTTTCGAGTTAGTTTTGCCACGAATCTTCTCATAGATGGCTGCAAGCCCTGGTCGCAGCAGGGGACATACATTCAGTGCCCAATTCAAAGACCCAGCAATATGCTCGAAATCCTTCAAAGCCCTCTTCTGTTTATGCTTAGCTAAATCCTTCAGTTCCTGCACCAGCACAGCTTTGGATTCGACTTTGAGTGAAACAGACATAGAATTCGGGTTGACATTGAAGCCGATAACGGGGAGAGGTGATCCAAAGATTTGTTTTCGTTCTTCATGAGGGATACCATATCCCGAGGTAACATCTTGCGATATTTCCCATAAAATGCCATGTCCTCAATTCTGGCAAAAGAAAAAGGAGTCGTCGACATATAAGAAAGCTTGTATGAGCCTAACAAAGACCGCAAGCCACATAACCAAGGACATGAAGGCGTGAAAGATGCGTTGAGACGCGCGCCCTCCAAAGACATTGGCGCGATCAATTCTCCTTTGACCTTCGAACATAACAACTTGTTTGATTTGCCATAGCGGGTGCATAGGCATATGCCGATATGCTTCAGACACGTCAGCTTTCCAAATGCGAAGAGTATTGTGGGGGTTAGATTGATGATGAAGATGAAGAGCATCCCCAAGATCTTGAACATTGTCAAGAGTAATGCCAGCAATGTCTTCTTTTGAAATCATGGAGTTAAGTGAGAAGTCACCTGTACTGTGGTTCATGACAAGACAAAACTTGCCGCCCTCCTTTGGCACAGCGTGAATAGGCATGCTATACATTCCTGGCAATAGGTCAGGCCCAAAGTCGCGAGAATATCTTCCCACTGATTCCTCCTTGACAATTTGATCCTGAAGGAAGTTCCATTCCTGGTCCGAGGACGGAGAAGGTGAAGGAATGTCAAGAGTTGTTGGATAAACTCCATAGTGCATATCAGCCCAGGGCCAAAACCCTTTGCAAAGTCCTTGGCATACAGATTTGACGAAAGCAGGATTAGGGTGATTAGCAAGAGTAAGGAGTGTTTCAAACCTGTCAACATTGACAGGTGTGCGAACAACAAATAGGTCAGGACATGAGGTAATAGTATTCATTGCAGATATATTGAGAAATTCAGATGTGGGAGGTCAAGGCAAAGGGTCAGCAGTTTCTGTCCATCTCACTGTCCCACTAAGAGCAGTACCATCATCCCCCCAAATCATCCGTCTCTGAAAATGTGGACCTTTAGCTATCTTTTCATTTAGCTTCCTTTGCCAATGGACATTCAGTACGTTTGTGGGAGGCACAGCATTTACTGCAGACGTGGAAGCGGAAACATTCGGTAGGTGGCTTCTCACATGCCCCGCAGTTCCAGTTAAGACAAACCTCTCCCCTTGAGGACGAATGCTAATGTGCCGGTTTTCGTCCTCCATTTTGTGGTTTCCCAGCAACTTTGTCAGATGGGTTGGAGGAGAGGTGTTGGTAGGCCACCATACCGAGGGAGGAGAGGTGAGAGGTTTCGAGACTCCAGAATTCCTGGAATTCATCGAAGTGGAGGTACTTTCGCACTTCGACTTTGAGCCGGCATGCTCGATCGAAGTCAACGATTTGGGAGTGAACGCTGTAGTGCACATCCCAAAAGATTCGGAAAATGTAGCACCTATATCCTCAGAGCTCTGCCTCCTTCCAAGGCATAATGAAGGCAAGGGGATCTTGCCACAAGTCAGTGGCAATACTTCAGTCTCCGTAGGAACAGACATGATGGGTAGTGGTTGGTTGAGTAAGGGAAATTTCGAAACCTTTCCCAAGGACTTGGGACTGCTTTGGGTCAATTGTTGTGGAATAGTGTCCTGACAAAACTTTGTCAAGATCTGGTGCTCGTCCCTCGAAAAGGAGGGTCCACTGTGACGATGGAAAGGATGGACATCCTGGAGTGGTAGTAGCTTGTCCGCGATAATACTTTGGGTCTTCCGACCATTCTTCAAGACATTCGAGAGTAAGCCGCTGTAGAGACTCGTGTGTCTCATGGTGTGATATGGCAGGTTCCACTAGGAAGTATACAGCACAAACTCGCAGCGTCATTCTGTGCGCTACCCACAGCTATCTCTATATGACGCGCAGCTTTCCCACGCAACGCGCGCCATGCGCGCACCATTCCCGCGCTTCGCGATGTATACGCGCGCGCGCGTTCCTGCGCTTGCGCGCCCTATAGCGCCAGCCATTCAGATGCATCCATCCACTGTCCACCAAGCTTCCTAGTACGTATATTTCCATTTCCTTTATTAGCATAGTTCCACCTTTATTTTTATCATAGTTTCTCACTCATATATATCCTTACATACCTACTCGGTAGCGCTTCGGCTCCGCATGACCGCGCTTAGGCGCGCTATATAAGCGCCAGCAGTACATACTACACTTTACCTTACTTTTTCCCTTTAACTTACTAGTTACTACCCACTTACTACTTAGCAGAATATAGTAGAAAGCTATTCCTTTACATTTTGCACTCTTATATCTCTTATCTTGCTTTATATCACTACTTAAGCTTAGTCTCTCTTATTACCGCTTACGCGCGCGCGCTTTCCCGCGCTTCGCGCTAATACGCGCGCGCTTTCCCGCGCCTTCGTACCTTGCGCGCACCTGCGCTTTCTCACGCTTCGCGTTGCCGCGCATACCTCTAGATCTTTGCTGTACTCACCTCCCCTTTAGGGTCGAACGCACTTGTCTCCTCAAGCAACGCAGACTAGGCAACGCGCGACCTATCAACATTTATAGATACTGCCAGGAGCATCATTTGTTCCTAGTAGTATTGTTGTTTCTACACCGCTGTGTCTTCTTTCTGGGGAGATGTCGATAGTTTCCTGGTTGCAACCAAGGATAGTATTGGAGACGTTTGGAGGTAAGCCTACGACGCTTCCCTCTGAGAACATATTCATCTCCTTTGTCAGACTTGTCACTCTCAACCTCTTCATTGGTTTCTCGCACGCATGATTTATCTCTGAACCTTTCGTGTCTTCCCAATCTCTCTTCCTCATGAACTTGGGATAAGAAGGTTTCTCCATCAACTTCCCCTTTGTGAGATCCAAGTCATACTTCAAGAGGTTCCTTGACTCTATTGAGGAGGTCGAGGAAATGACTGAACCCAGCCTTGAATTGGACTTGGGAGAGAGTCGGCAAAGCTGAAATGGATTCTTGTAAGATTCTCTGAACTTTGAGCGCTGCATCACCCTTTTCAATATTGTCCCATTTGAAACGGTCGACAATGTTGAGACAGTCTCTGACGGCTTGTTGATCGAATTGAATTCCCCTGACCAATAGGTGGAGGGAATCTGAGATTGTTTGCGACGAGGATTCGACATTAGGAGAAGATGATTTGGCATGTTCAGACATGAGAAAATGTAGTTTCGATGATAATAAATACTGTGCAAATTCTGCTAGCGAGATGAGAAACTCGAGTGAGAAAAGGCAGAGAGCCATTTCGGATTCATCTCGCTAGACATAGACTGCTATCTCCACTAAAGGAGGTGGCGATGATGATCGCGAACGGCAAGTTTGTCATGCCAAAATGCACAGGGCGGAAGCCGCAGGGGCAAAGGCCAGAAAGTGCGGGATTTGGCCAGTCTGCATGAGGTCTATACAGACAAGTCACAGACTCTGTGTTAAAGTCTGGGGGACAGGTCTGCCAGCAGTTGTCCAGAGAGTGCCGGGAAGTCTATGTTTGTCTGCCCACTGTATTATGTCATAATTTAGTGTCAGTCCCCCGCCATCTCGCCATCAGCCTCTCCCGCCATTTCACATAACCTGCCATGCCTACAGACAACATATCATCGACTACAGCTCTACAGCCGCCAAGTATTCCAGGTGCCATCCTGCGGAATGTCATCAATTGGACTCATCGTTGATTGCACCTACTGAAGTGTGACACAGGGGTGGCTGAAGTGCTGATGGGGTGGTTGATGTAGATGGCAGGGGTGGCTAGCCACTGACGGGGGTAGCTGATGGGATTAGTGTCACAGTGGCTGGCATAGTGGCGGCTCTGAGTGATGATGTCAGACAACCCGGAGCTTGCCGACAAAACACACCCAGACGTGTCCCCCAGACTTTGAGGCGGAGTCTGCGCAGACTTAACACAGACCGGTGTAGGGATTCATTTCTGGCTGGGCTTGTAGAGACTGTTTTTACCTTACCTTATGTTGGCACTTTTGTAGCTTACATAAGCAAGCAATCTTTTCACCAGTTACCAGTATGAGTCTGAGTGCTCAGTAATTTTTGTATGATATTTCCTCTCCTCTGAGCCTTAAGCCTAGTCCAGAAACCCTTTAGGGTCGAATAGCAGCTAGGTTCTGCAAGACCCAACATATTGTTCAGACTCACCATCTGAATTGTTGTACCTTCACCGGCCATTTCCTACATGCCCTCGCAAAGGCAAGGCCTAAGACGAAGAGACACGGGAAGACCCAAAGGGAGAAAACGGGCCTGCTGTAGAACAGACTCATCCAATTACCCTTGTGTAACCCAGATTAAACTCGATTAATCAGTTCAACATTCGACTAGCGAGTCTTGCGACAAGAACAAGATATAGGAGGAGCGCAACACTCCCAGTGCCTGGGCTCGGGAGTGTTCGCCGAGTCATATAAATTCTGCAATCTGGTGAGTCCAGCTGCAACCACCGGCGCTAAGATACAATTTTGAGTATAGATCGCTAATGGACTATAAAAAACTTGAGGAGACACACTGAAAGAGGGTCAAGATGGGATAGATTCAAATTGTTGTCATTAGGATTCGTGTATCATTGCTTGCAGAATAAATGGGTGCACTCGGATATACTTTCGAAATTCGTCCAAAGACCACCTCCCTGCACCTTGGATCATTTCTGGAGAGACACCTGCAAGTGCGAGAGCTGTTGCTCCTCCCGCTTGTATCAAGTGTCCACTGAAACCACGATTCGCGAAGATGTCTTGGAAGCGTGAGGTGAACCAAGATCTGGTTGGAATTGAGCCGTTCGAGCGCAGCCACAGTTCTGGGTAATGAGGGAAGGCACTGTCGCGAGTTTTTAAATAATGTAGGAAGATTTTTATGCAATCATCCTCATACGACGTGCGTCGCACGAGAACTTGGTTACCATGTCCAAACTTATCAGTCTTGGACAGAGGAAGAATATATGACACAGAATTGTCATCTGTGAGCACGGTGTGACGCATAGGCATGACATTGTAGGACTGGAGAGAAGGTGCATCAGGCCACACGAGTTCGCCGAGCCGTTGAAGAGTTTCAAAACCGAAGTATAATTGTGTGAGGAACAGGGTGTCATCGTGATCTGCGGAAGTATGATAACGTGAGAAGGCTATGTGAAGGTCGTCACGTGAAAGTGGTTGCTTTCATTTCACTGGGTGGTTGAAGCGACATTTGCACCCAGCAAGTGTTCTCTGTACGAGTCGTGAACCACGTATTTTCCAAATCTCTGGGAACTCTTTCTCCAGCTTATTGCAGATTCCCGAAAGGTAGGTGTCAACTGACATTGGTAAAATGTAAGTCGACATCCAAACGACATAGAAAGAGAAGGTATCAGGTGTTGGTGCAAGGGCGACGTTGTGAAGTCGACAGAATTGAATATAGGAAGCTACAGCTGAGTCATACGAAGCCGAAGTAGATTTTGCGAGAGTGAAACCAAGTGCGATTGCATGCTCATGGAGCAGATGCTCCAAAGTCCATGCCTCCCGAGTTGGGCAGCAGGACTGTACGCTGCCTTTGGTCATTTTTTCGCTGCCCCCAACGCATCCCGAGGGGGTGAAAAGTTGTCGATGATGAGATCAGGGACGAGACGCAGAGCTTGAGAGTTGTTGAAATGAGAAAGCGCATCCACCACAGAGTTCTGTTCTCCCGCGACGTGATACACCCGGAGGTTGATGTTGTGTTCAATCAATACATTGACTGCCGACATGAGGATCTGGTTATAAGGCGGAGAGGCTCGAAGGGTGTTGAAAATGTCGACTGTGTTTGAGTTATCGCTGAAAATAGCTGCGTGGCGCGGGATTGGATCTAAATCAGCGACTGCGTGCACCGCACCGCAAACAGTCAAAGCTTCGAAGAAGAAGATACAATCTGAAGGAGCTTCTTGTGGTAGACGAGATTGGAATCCAAAATTGAGTTCTGGGAACCAAAAGCCAAGACCAGTCAGCGATGCATCAGTGTAGATAGTGACGACATCTTCGACGTTGTCTGGACTCCAGTCCAGTGAGTCCAGAAGCAATATACCTGGCAAGTGTTCCATATGGTCCGCTAACCAAACTAATTCCCGTACAATGTCTGAATTCACGTATATTTGAGCCAAGGGTTTTTTTTTGTCGCGCATTTTGTCATAGACAGCCGAGAGTCCCGGCTTGAGGAGTGGGAAGACGTTGAAAAGCCAATTGATGGTTCCCGCAAGTTGTTGAAACTCACGCAAGGTGTGACGATGGTGAGGTATGGCGAAACAGCGGATGTAAACCAAGAGTTCACTTTTCTTGGTGTCCGAGATTGATATGGTCATTTGATTCGGATCTACATCAAATCCGATGATAGTGAGATGACGACCGTAAACTTGCTTCGCCAGTTCGTGAGGAATCCCCAGTTGGTCCCAAAGACGTAGCAATAGGACTTGTTTATGAGGGAGATAGGTACTGTAAGGTTCATAGAGTAGGACATTACCCTCCAACTCAAATGAGAATGTGTCGTCCATGTAGAGCTTTAAATGCTCAATTAAGATTAAGCACACCACACTTGCGATCCAAGTGACGAGGGACATGAAGGATACCCAGATCAAAGCAGACCCCTTCCCCCCGAAATTGTTGCAGCGATCCACATAGTGGTTGTTGTTGACAGTGATCACCTGCTTGAGTTGCCAAAGAGGATGCATAGCTAGCCGGCGATATGCTTGAGATACATCGGACTTGAAAACTATGAGAGGAACGTTTCCATGCTCCCGACGAAACTGAAGAAGACTGAGTCCAAGAGAACGCATGCCATCTAGTTTAACTTTCGAAGCATTGTCGAGGTTTATCATTGAGTTAAGGGAGAATTCTCCAGCGCTATGATCTACAACGAGGCGAAGTTTGGTTGAGTTAGGTTTTGGTACCACATGTACCAGAGTGCTATACATCCCAGGTACCAGCTCTGGGCCGAAAGGAGGTGAAAAACGACTAAGACGCACTTCTTCATCAACCTGTTCTTGGACGAAAACTTGGTGCTCTTCGTTCTTGAGTGGGCGATGAGAGTTATCCCACATTTCCGGATATCCATCAATAGCAGTGTCTGCGCACGGCCAGAAGCCCTCGCGCAGGCCTTCTAGGATAGACTCCACGAATACGCGGTTTGGGTGATCTTGAAGCAGATTTTGGAATGAGTCGATCTTGATGGGAGTTATGATTTTGAAAAGGTCCGGACGAGAATTCAGAGCGTCCAGAGCGACATCTGAAAAGTCACAAGTTCCAGGAGACGGAAGAGGAGTTGCATACAATGAAGATTTCGCTGAGGGACTGAAGGAACACTCATCTAAGAACCATGCCATTCCTCTCAAGTAACGAGGATGTTTTGAAACTATATTAGTTTGAGGGTGTCCGGGACGCGCAGCTCTTTTCGGGGTGTTCAGAACTTCCACACTTTGAGCAGGCATGTCAGTAGTTGCACGAAGAGTCTGACCAATTGCAAGATTTAAAGTTCCATCTCTTGCAGCACTCCAGTCCTCTCCGACGCTTCGATCCTGTCGAGCTTCCTTCCTCATTGACACAACATCCTGAGAGGGAGAAATGGCCCTCGTACAAGTCTGAAAACTGGTCGAAATCGGAGAGCAGCAGATCTCTCCTCCGACTGACTCGCTTTCTGACTGCTTTGTCGAAGGCAATGACACGCGAATGGTATTTGCTGACGTTTTGGGCGAACTTTTGATGGATGAAGTTTCCGTAGTCGTCGATCTCATCAATTCGGTGTGGGAATGCAAATCGCATAGCGCGGGCAAAGAGAGAGTATGCGACACTCCAATCTTGTGAGCTCCGTACGGACTTTGCAGGTTCAGCTTCTCCTCCGATTTTGATCTTGACTTTCCCAAGCTTTTCCTCATAATCTTGCTCCGGTTCGTCTGAATACCACCCTGAAAATACAACATCGAAGTTGACAACTCTTCCGCGGATGATGTTATAAAGCTCTGACTCGGGGAATTCTGGGACGAACGCTGACTCAAGCCACTTATGTTTGACCCGCTTAGGATCATAGGCCCAATTCACGAGGATAGAGTTGGTTTTTCGTAAGGAGGGAGGGAGCTTCTTTGACTTTCTGATGACTGAAGGATTTGTGAGGTTGGAGAGGTCAAGTTTAAAGCCTCGTTGCTTTTTACGCGCCGGTTCGTCAACCTCTGAAGCAGAGTCGGACTTGACAACCTTTGACTCAAAGTTTTCTTCGGAGTCTGAGTTAATTGACTCTTCCGCGCTAATGATACTTTCTCGTGATCTTCCTCCATCTTCCAGAGCTTCTTTCTCGCGCTCGCGATCTTGTTTTCCAGCTTGGATAACTTCCTTTTCAAAGGTGTCGAGCATGCGGTGATAGGGGGTGATGAGCTCGGCAACTGAACGCCCTCCAAACTCATTCTGTTCCACAGATGATGCTCGTTCGAGCATTTCAAGAAAGGCATCTGTCTTGGATATTGATCCTCGTCGATAACGACCTACAATTCCAAGACAGTCCAAGTTGAAGGTACTTTTGGTTGCAAACGAAGATTGATCTTGAGAAAGCTGCTTAGACGAAGAACTCGGATCACAACTATCTTGAGTTTGAGAATCGAAATTATGAGGATCCATTCACTGAATAAGATGGAACGAGTAGAACGAGTTCAAATTTAGCGAAATTTTCCTGCTGAACGGCGGTAAAGCAGAAAGGGTGCAGTTCACCTAAAGCGCAGGTGCCCAGATCACAGGAAGAGGGGCTCAAAGCCACGTGAAAACAGCGGTGCGTGGTCCGTGCGCGGACACGATCATAGAATTCATCTTCACAGATTAAACCTGTGAAAACAAAGCTTTACCTCCGATTAATTTTGACAACACGGAAAGTGCCGGCGGAGTTGCGGACGGATCACAGCACATACCCCACAAAGACCTCCACTAATGCAGGAGTCGGGGACCTGCCTATTGATATCACGAACAATTTGAACTCCCAAACGTAGGGCGCTACCTGCTCAAACTTGCTCAGGCACTATTATCTTCACTGTTTACTAAAATATCTGACGGTTGAGGCTGTGATTTGCTGAATATCTCGCGAGCGACTTGGACTCCGTCAGGGCACGATCGAACCAGTAGAATAAGACGTGATGTCTCTCATCAGTGACCCAGGGTACGCCTGGTAAGGTCTGAATGATTTCAATGGTACACTCACGCCTTTTATATATAGATATTTAGTTCACAGTCTAAGGCTGTCTTACCTGCGCAACGTCGATGACCCTTATGGCGCGCGTATAATCTCCCTGAGCCCATCCTATGCATCAAACCCTTATATCCTCGCAGCCTCACTCGCAGATGTTCATCGTTGGCCAGAACTCGAATATCCCTCCAGTCCGCCTATATCAGACGATGATTCGGAGGCTCCTGATAAGCCCTCATCGGGGTTTCCTGGGGCTACTGGTCTTAAGCACCACCAAACAATCATGGGCAACAGATCTGGGGCGTTTGGATTGAGAGTATCAGGTCGACGCGCTTCTACCTCAAAGCGAGCCTCTCTCATCGCAAAGAGGGCCGGAATGCTTGGCGAAGGAGCTGATGCTCCCGCTGCCCTGCCGCGCGTCAACTTCATAACTGCTGCTAGCAACGTTGATCCGTGTCTCATGACTTCAGAACAGGCTGATATATCTCAACCTCTACCTCTGCAACATCAACCACGGAAAGACGACACCCCTCCTGAGCCACTCCCAAAGGATGTCCTATTTGTGCCAAAATTCAAAGGTGCGGCCGAAATGGAGGCCAGGCGCAGGGTGCGAATGATGGCGCGCCGCGGCGTTCCAGCTTCTATGCCAAAAATTCCCTCCATGGTGACCCGTAGCCTCAATCCTGACATCTCTTCATCCGACGATGAGGATGGCATGTTGGAAGATGATAACGATGACGATTATGATTTGGTGGCCCCAGGAGACGATAATATGGACGAGGTTGACGAATTTGATCCGTACGGTGATATTTCTCATCTATGTCGTTGCAAAGCTCACCGCCCCATGTATAGAGATTTCGCTGCCACCCGAGGCATGCACTCGGACAGTGCATCTGATGGGGTCTCCCTTCTCTCTGGGACTGCCTCAGCACTGTCTGGGTCTAATATATCCACCCTTGGAACATCGCCGTTCGTTGTTCCCTACCCGCGAGCACGCTCACGACTCAGCCCCGTGTCTGAACATCGTGCTACGGACAATACTCACGAAGGGTGTCCTCCAACCCTTCATTCCAAGCCCACCGAGACTTACTTCGAGATGATCAGTCCGGTGCCAAAGCCTGATCAGCGATCTGAACCGCCACCTCCCAGACATGAAACTCGCAGAAGAGGCGTCTCAATATCACTACCTGTTATCGACGCTCCGTCTGACATGACATTCACACGCAAGCCTGTCGCGCCGGCAAGCCCGCATACATCCGCTCTCACCGCTATCCTTGCTTCGTCAGGTGGTCCCACCAACCCATTCAGTGAACTGTATGGTGCCATATCTGGACGGGGAGAGACGGCCTCGGTAGACGTCAAGGTTTACTTTCCGCATGCGACAGAACCTCATGGTGAATATGTGACTCTGAACGTGCGGAAAGACGCAACTATCGAGGAAGTCATCGGTTTCGCTCTATGGACTTACTGGGACGAGCGATGGCAGCCTGAACTGAATGCAGGTGTTAAGGATGATGACCCAAAGCTCTCTGCAATAGGTTGGATCATGCGCATTGCAGAGGATGATGGCGAGGTTGATGAGGATTTCCCGCGTATGTCCAGTTGATTGGTTGCCGTCGCAGAAGATTCATCTTTTTCTATCACAGCACCCGACCGCACGGGCAAGATCTCGAAATTTGGTTTCGAGGCATTCGCTATTCTGGCCGCTACCCCACTGCAAAGTACGACATCTTTTTCTTCGTTTGTCAATGCTAATTATTCCCTTTAGTACAACAAAATGAACAACTGGAGAGCAAGATACAGCGACGGCCCTCGAGAGTTATGGCAGCGCCAAAGAAACAGGATACAGGACCTTCAGGCGGCTTGGCGTTGCCGTCCATCTCCGGCCCTACAAGCGCGATGTTCGGTACAACTCCAATCTTATCATCTTCTTTGGGTCCTTCGTCGAGCCATGGCCCCCAGTTGTTTTTGCGTATTCGCGTTGCAGACACCGCTGACGCAGTTCATATATCCACCACCATCCCTGTGTAAGTTGCATTTGGCTAAGTTACCCACTGCCCACTCACCACTGAGCACAGATCAGCGGGTATGTACATGCAGGAGGTGCTTGAAGTGGTTTGCCGGAAGCGCAAGCTGGCAAACCTTAAGGACTATGCTCTGATCGTCAACGAACTCAACATGCTGGCATACCTCGACCGCACGGTTGCTAGTCTCGGAGGTAGACGCGAGCTGACGCTGGTCAAAAGATCTACGCTGCCTCAATTGGGCATCGAGCCCGAAAGCAGATCAGCACGCACCACTGACCCAAATGGTACTAGTAACCATCTTATGCTCAGAATAGCTGCTCAGTGTTTTTCTTTCTCCAGCTTCTATTTCCAAACGAATATCGGATGTCCCAGAGATACAGCTAAACGCTGCGGCCGACTACGCGACAGCATACAAGGTTCGCTATCCTTCCTGATAGGTGTTCCTCACGGTGTTAATTTTGCGATAAAAGAAATACACCATTTACCGCAAAATGCCTATGCTAGCTCGCCAGGAACGTACTTTGGCTATCGATGGTGTTTATATCCATGTAAGATTCTCCATTGTCACCAAAGATCGGAAATGACAGTCTTCCTCCAGATCATGCCATCCACAAACAAGGCCAAAGCGGTCTTTGATAGTGGAAAGACAGTGTCATTCCATATCAAGAGCATCATTCAATGTCAACAGTCCGCGAAGTCGTCTACGCTGTTCAAGATCATCGTACAACGGGACAGCGGGAGCAAGCGCTACGACTTTGAGGCGGATACGCCGAAGCTTGCGGGTAAGTTGAGGCATTCGTTATTGTTGTCCTACCGAACTGATGGCGGCGACAGGTGAGATTGTGCAGACCTTACGGATGCTGAAATCCCATTTGGACCGTTCCAATACTGTCAACCGCTTGCGGCGTAGCAGACAGGTGGTATAAACAAAATATGAGTCCTCGTTTCATACCATTGTAATTGTGAAATCCAATTCCCAGAGTTTTTCCTCTGCCGAAGAATTCATGAAGCTCGTTTCAAGGGTGAAAGAGACATTATCAACTGACAAGTGAGCGCTGGGTGACACTCCAGAAGGTGCAACTACTGGACAACGGATTCTACGAGCATGGTCATCACACGAGACAACACAATGTACACAACAACTGGTAAGACCATGTGACTTGTGTGATTTCTCCCTCTCCGACGAATGTTGATCAGGGAGTGCTGGTGTCGGCAACAAGTTCGCGTTGGGCCAATTGTTCCTTTTCTCTTATCGGAGTGCTAAATGGAACACTAAAAGCCTCTGTCTGGTTCATCCGTTGAACATGCAAATAAAACCCTGTCTTGAGACATCTAGATTGCAGTATCAGTCGACGCTACTTATAGATCATTTTCATCATGAAGAGCTAACTATTCATGATATTCAATTAGGCGGGAGAAGATGTAGGCAGAGGATGTTCGATGATATGTTTTCTGACTCTACTTGATATCATTGCCGAACTTGCTGGTTATTTGGCCAGCCACACCTCATATCTCAGAAGAATTGGAACTTGCCCGGAGCTGATGCCTTCTGGCCGCTCACGAGGATTTACATTCAATTGTAATAGGCACCATATAGTACGTACGTACTACATCACACATGGAGATATCGTTAAAGACGACGCAAAGAATCCAGCCTAGGTCAACAATGATAGGCAATCTACATACTGATTTTCCAGTCCAAGGGCCCATAACAATGGACAAATGTTATGCGAGAATAACGGACATAAAGGACATGGAGATGAAGCAAACAATCTTCTGAATGCGCGCCTAAGCTCCACTTGAAAGAAGATTCTAAAGGCGCTTGAGGAAGTTTACGCGCTGCGTTTATACACGGACAGGCACTATCCTTCAAAACGGCGAATCATACGATGCAGCGGTCAAAAAAGTGAGTAACCCTTACAACTTATGAGTCCAGGACGCTGTCGTAGTTGCGGCCTTAGTAGTTCTACGTCGGTGCTAGGTCGGTTGCACCGTCGCTGGTCCGTGGTAGCTGACTTAAACCGTGGACTTCGCGAAGAAATAACAGACTTCTACAACCTACAGACACAATATCAAACAACGGGGATGCATAAATGGGCAGACAGCAAGGAGATCAATTAGCTTCAAATCTACCCCGTTGTGTACATACATAGCGATATTACCAGTCAACCCAACACAAGATGTTGACACATATCGTAGCTCTTTTATCCTTGACGATCCTCGTCATAGCCGGCGACTCGCAATGCGACACTGGAACGATTATGTGCTGTGACCTGAAACCCACGGTACATCAGCAAAATATTACTTGCCAAAATAATTACTCACTTCCATTCCACAACAGTCATCCGAGGCAACAGAATATTTCGCACATGGGGGAATCGTCCAGCGTCGGGCAAATAACGAATGCTCGGGGGTTAGCGTTGTGGGCACCTCCCAAGGCTGCAGTGCGAATCAGGAACCCTTGTGTTGCGAAGAAGTCAATACTGTGAGTACATCTGTCTTGTCGAAGTATACCCGACTTGACCATTATTCCAGAACGGTCTGGTCAATCTCAGTTGTTCACCCATCAATGTCAATGCGTGACAACCGAAGAACTTGTATATCAGAGTTCGGGCGAAGGATGGACCCCCGCAGTTGCATTAATAAATACAATTGAAGTATCGATTTTGCAGCATAGATAGATTGGGGCTTAGCCATAGAATTATTGGATGTCATACAGACCCTGAGCTCAATTGCTCACCAAGCAACGCGTGAAGATAAACAAACACCTCGACGAAGCAACGAATCTATCGTGGCACCGATCCAATGTGGATGTTGAGCGCAAAAATCGGTCCTTTGAGAGAAAAAAAGATTGAACACGAAGCGCCCCGGGAATGAATTTCCTAGGATCTCTGGCATGAGTTCGGGTAGCGAATATGGCGATTGTAATCACGAGACGGTATTGAAGAGGTGAACGTTTGAATAAGTCTGTTTGATATATAGGACAGCTAGAGAGTAATTTAGATGAACAAACCATGACCTCTTGTTGCGTACCAACAAATGACCCTCGACGGGGTCAACGAGCTCGACAGATCACCTCCCCATCTAAATTTAATTGCAAAGCCTCTCGTGCCTCCAACCATTCATGCTCCTTGCTTTTTGTCCGCACCACCGCAATTTCGCCCATGCCCAAAGGTTTGATCGTTTGTGCACGGCGTCCGGAGCAAATCCGCCGCAGCTCCCCAATGTCCATGAAAATGCGTCTACTAGGTCTACTAATGAGCTCCATGTCCGAAAGTACAGGCCGGTCGTCGCGGTATTTGAGCTCGGCCCATATACGGCGCTGGGCTTCGCCAACGCGGAGGAAGTCAGTGGGAGAGGGTGACTCAATGGTTCCGCGCGTGACGTTGGAGATGAAACCAGTCCGCAGGAGTATGCTGAGGATCCCAAGGTTTTGTGTTGTGTGGTCCACTGCTATTTTGTGGTGTCGTGCTCGAAAGGCGTTCTGGACGCGAGCGCATAGGTCATATGGCAAAGGCATTCCAACTATATCAAATAGGTCAGAAGAACACATATGAGACGCAATTGAACGCACGAGACAATCAAGTATGACACCTTGGTTGAGTGCGAATGCAAGCAGTGACTAGCCGTTCTCTGCACAGATTGAGCCGATATCTCTTTGATTTCCCGTATGTCTCCGTGCTTCGTGTTCTATTGTATACTGTGGTGTGTAGGACTGCAGAAAGGAATTGGCCCAAAGACTTGGCAATTGACAAACAAGTTTCGGCCAGAAGGTTTGGTTCGAAGTCCGATGGTGATCTAAACTACCTATTTTAGAAGTGGTGTGTTGTGTCTTTCTCGAATGGCGGAAGGATTACATCCTCCGTTGCAGCACACTGCGCATCCTCATGAACCCAAGGAAGACGATCTTGAAAAATTCAAGAAATGGCAGGAAGCTCGCCTCGAACGAAAACTCCGAGGAGAGTATGAATCTGCCGTTTTTCACCTTGCAGAGCTTGTGAGTGATGCCCTCGTCCGCATTCGCATCATTTCCGAACGGATTTACGACAGGTCAACCAAAATCTGGAGACATCACTATCAGTCGCTTCAGTCCGTGTAGATGGTGCTACAAATACCAGGAAATCTTTTTTAGGCTGGCTAATTCAGCCATGGCTTGCGCGGCATACAGACGACCGGGCAAGCAAGACGAACAATCTGCAGGGAGCGCTATATACTGCAAGGGGCATAAGCCACATTTTGCAAGAGACAGACCTGTTTCACTCTGTTGACGCAAAAATACAGAGGAGTCAGGATCACCTTGCCGGGGAAGGGGACGTTGATATTGTTGTCACTACACGTGAAAAAGGCCGGTTCTACTTGAAAACTGCCACTGAATTCGGTAACAATGAGGGTAGCGTTGTGAGTATCGTCTTTTTACTTGTAAGTAGATGACACGTTCACACATCTTCACCATCATAGAGTGTCACGGGCAGAGTGCGCAACATATTTGGCGGAGCTGAGTTCCTGGAAGGACACTACTCAGCAGGCACGAAAACGCGTCGTTCTTTCCAGGGGCTTCTCTCCCTTCCTCTTTCACCATCTTTGCGCACAACGGGCCAACTTTCGTTGTTCAGTCAGGAGCGAGATCTCTCGTCTTTTGCAAGTTGTTCGGAAATTTTACACGGCTTAAAGGTTGCAATAAATGTAAGATTGCTTCTCCTGTGAAATGCCAAACATACTGAGTGTGTGCTTCTGAAGAGCAACTGGGGAGTACACGGTGTTCACGAAGTTGCATATCAGGCCATTTTGAGGCACATCAACAACTTAGCACCAAGTGCATCAGTCAGGTGAGGATGAATATGTTTTACCGTCGAGCCTGTATCGAACGATTATCCAGCATTCGCGAGCATGCCGGTCAAACCATCAAGTCATCGATTTCTCATTCATGGACAAAAGATACCAGAGACGACAAGCTCGCAGCGTCACGTGGCTATTATTGCAAACTTTTTCAAGAGCTAGCTGGACTGTCAGGGGACGTGTCATTTTACAAGGCCGAGGTTGAAAGTCAAATTTCCCGGCGCCCGGTTCCAGGAATGGTGAGAGTCGTGCTACTATTGTGTCAGTGTTAACTTCATGTTGAATATGCAGAGCCTCTCGTTGGCTGCACGGTGTGGCCTCTTAAAGGCTCTTACCGGCCCCAGCCATTTTCCCGATAGGTTCCAGCTCGGCGGACCTCTCAGTTTAAGGTCGTTCAAGGCGAACAGCATGGGCCCTCGAGATGGAGGTATTTCTTAATTTTCATGTCGAAAGGGCCTTTTTTTAGTCTGACCGCACTAGTCGATTCACTTGGCGGTGACGTTTACTGGTCAACAGGTGTTTCTTTAGTGTCCGATATCCCACGGAAATCGCATTGGCCCATCAAGTCACACGTATTTGTGAACGCTGGGAGGTTGGATGCAATGGACGGAAGTGCGTAAATACCCAATCCTTACCTCTTTAGAAAGATACTGATTGCACTTTTGTTCTTCGCCTATAACAGCGAAAGGACTGAGCGAGAATTTAATAGGGTGCCTAAGAAAACCCTCAATATCCGCGGGAGTTGGCCTTATATACCGCTTCGATCCTGTGAGAGTAGAGGTGAACTTTGGGGTACCGCTTGTTGCAAGTAAGAGCGATGGTGTGCGAAGGGGCTTTCAAGTTGGTATTGGCATGGAGTTCCTATAGCATAGTACTCCCAACTAGACTTATAACATGGATCGTGCTAATTCACATCGACATGGCCAGCTAATGATGTATTCATGCGACTTGCTATCCTAAGCGCTGCTGCAGTACAAATATTTGTGTCTTGAAAAAGAATGACAAAATAGCGCCGGTTTGCGCGGTAAAGTGAAGGTGTAAATGCATCAAGGATGAATGAATATTTGAATGATGGCTAATGTGTGATATGCAAGACGATTCGTGATGAAACGTTTGTTCATATGTCCATAGACTCTTGTAAACCGAGTACTACATGAAGATTCTTCATAGTATGCCGCTGGACCAGACTGATATGCTGTCAGCGTTCAAAAACACTACGGAAGAACCATCACGCACCGCTGGAACACATCAAGCGGGCTGTCGTGACCTTCAGAAATACCGGGGAGTTCCGGGTGCCCTGTGATCGCTTTGTTGGGTATCCAACAGCTTAAGGGACTGGTTCCCTCTTCATAGCTTGCGTGAGACACATACAGCAACAACCCATCGGAGTCCACGCGCGCAACAACTGGCGTAGTAGAGCGTGAGACCATTGAATCATGAGCGCCATCGATAGTCATATCATGCGATGTGAATTCTGGTGGTGAGACATGCACAGGAATATCAACACTAATTTCTCGTGCTGATCGCGCCATAGGGATGACAAATGAAGAGAGGGAAGTCAATGTCGTGTCAGTGTGATATGGTATTGGGACAAAAGATGTCGGATACGGAAAGCGGTAGCGTTCACGCTCAGAAGTAGGTATATTTGAAAGTGACCCGGCATTTTGAGATGATGCGTCCGCCGTCGTGGAAGGGGCTGTAAATGAAAAATTTCCAGATGGTAGAGGAGGCTTTGTAAGTTCTGCTAAGCGGGTATCTCTCCACCAAAACCTGCGCATAGGATGTCAGTAAGTGGATCGTTCGCATGTAATACATGCCCACCTGAAAGGGGTCTCACAGTCACCAACATCTTGACCCTTCCACTTGAGCACGTCCAAGACATGAATGATGCCGTTGTCTCTCCAGTTGACATCGAGAATACAATCGAGCACCGTAAGAGGTGGGAGGGAGGATGGAAATCTAGGAAGGAGCATCTTTCCCAATACACGAGATCGAAGAGTCGTATTTGGCGCTATCAGGACATGATTAGCTCAAAAGTTCATCCAAGAAGCTATTGCATACATGTGCCAACTATTCCAGCCGATTGATGAGTAACAGCCAAGCATCGTTTCCCAGTAGGAACAGGTGCCACCGCTACCCAGGCTGCTTCTAAATCGCGTGGAAGCCCATCAATCACATCACCAGATTGACTGTCCCATAAGTGGGCTTCTTCATTCATCTCCAGGAGCTCAGCGTACATGCATTTGTCGGCCCATTTGGACGGCTTGGCTTTAATACGTTTACGTCGGGGTTTCCCTCGTCGCTTCCCCGATTGCACTGTCTCGTGATTGTGCACATCGGAGGACAAAGACTGAATCTCCACAGGTTGTGACACCATCTGCACAAAACCGGATACACCTTCACGTATTATCTCTGGCTCATCCTCGAGGTCACCGTCATCATCAGAGTTCCCAAGATTGAGATCGGCGAAAGCATCGAGTTGCCGGGAGGACTCAAACTTTTGTGCTCGTCTCTGTAAGGCGATGTTATATATTCGAAAGAAATGCACAAATGAGATCACACACACGCGTTTTTGTTCTTCCAAAGCCTGGTAACATGCATTCTTAGACAAAGATGAAGAGGTAAGGGTATCCTTGACTCACCTTAGATCGACGCGCCTCTTGGGATATAAGCTTGTCTGTGAATACAGTTGGTGGAGACTTGAACAGATCCTTTCTGTTGATTTTGGCAAACATGGCCCAGCGTAATAAGCGCTGAGCGTTGATCCAAAGTTCAAGTTGAGTAGACCAGAAATAGTATTGTCTATAAATGACTAAGCTTCGTTCTCGGGTTTTACTAGATTAGCAACTTGGCCATGCGCAGGTCGGTACCTTCAACCACGCTTCTTCTCGTCAATATGTAGTTTAAAATGTTCATTGGACTTGGGCGATGAGTCTGCCACTGTCAGATAGGCCACAAGATGCCACCATCAATGTGATGCACTATCGTTCTAACAAAGGCTAGTGTCCATTCATCGTTAAACTCCAGACATCTAGTACTTATGTGGTACTTCCCCAGGTGATTTTGGTGCTGCTGCGTTCAGTCTTTCAAAGGCTTGTACGAGAATACACCACTTGGCTATCGATTGCAATTTGCAAGTGAACGACGTTCTCGAGGGCGGTAAAATTTGTCCAACATATAAGATGTAGCACCAGCCTTCAGGAAAAGCCCTGTTGCGATGGTCGCGGAAAGTGATATACAGTCACTGCGTACCACATACGTAGAAATCCGTCCATCATTTCCTTGCTGTTCAGCGTACAGGTGCCTACACAAATTTATCTTACAAAACCTGTTCAGTACGCTCCTACTAACCGGATTCTTGTTGTAACAGTCCTGCAGATACTTCAGCTGTACGACTAGCAATGGTCGCTATATGGTATACTCTGTTAAATTAGAACTGCAAAATTTACACCTGAACCAGGCACACTAATACACCTAGGATGCTCATACGCAGCTCAGCATACAGCTGAGGACGAGTGGGGGATACCAAGCTTAAGGAAATGCTGCAACATTGTCGGACGAATCTTGCAAACCTATTTAAACTTGATTCAAGGCAAGTTGATGTGACTGAATACCAATGACCAGAAAGGAAATGTATCATGAGGTGAGTGACGAAACTTGAACATCTCCTATGTTTAATCTCGCTGATGACGGCGGGCCAATCGCAACTTCAGCACTATTCACCACAGCCTATTTTATTTTCCTGTAATTCACGCGAAAGCTACAGTTTAGCCCGCTTTAATGAAACGACACAGTCGTCCATGTCCTTCCGTTCCGGCATTCATCGGCGTGTTAATCGTGTTCAGCGTCCTGGCGAGCTTAGCACGGAAGATGCTGAGCACCACCTCACATCCACTTCCCTTTGTGCACACAACATTAAACGACTCACAGTCTCTCTCCAACGTCACCTCAGAACAGGGCGGGTCTCTAGAGGTCGATCCTGAGCTCGACGCTCTCCGCCATATAGTTTCTCAAACCAAAGGATTTTATGCGCGCGACTACAGCCTCTGGTTAGGCTGGAATAATGTGCGTCCCAGATTCATTTCTGAACCACGCAAGTCATGGCTAGCTCCCGATAGATGCGATACATCATCGAGGCAGCGGTCCTCCACGGACGTATTCTAAACCGTACCACAATCATCCCCTCTTACGTGTACGCTCGTGCCTGTGAATTCGACAAGTACGTGCTACTCTTGTATCGACCTCCACATTTTAATATTTTTCCAGTTCCGTATGCGCTGCATATGCTACCATGGTCAATAGGGGGGACGCAACCAGCACGGACGAATGGCGCCAACTCCCCCTAGAAAAACAAATGGCTTGGAGAATACCCGTGTCTCTCATGTTCAACTTGACCCACCTGCGTGAGACGCATGCAGTCATCACAGTATCTGAATACCTCCGCTTGCACAACATTTCGGCTGATGTGGAAACCACCAACGGACGCTGGGATACCGATTTATATCACCGCGGCGTCAACATATTCTCTGATAGTGGGGTGGAACCCAGCCTCTACGTTATCAAGAATGAGTTGTACGATGCCGATATCGTTCGGGTTGATCAACTGCCACAAACCATGCGGGAGAGGGGGGGATGGAACGTCACTCATGGACAAGTCGGGTCTTGGACTATCACAGAAGAGACCCTTCTATCAAAGGCGTTGCATGATGCAATGTCATCCAGAGCATCGGTTCTCGATTGGGACACTGTCCTCATAGTTGTGGGAGATCGTCATGACCAGAATGAAACCGAGTCATCATCAACTAGCAGTATCGCAAATACACTGGAAGAGAATGGCTGGGAAGTGCTTTACACTTACGGCGGCGCGTGAGTCCATTTTTTTTAGTTTGGCAGGCTCCTGAAATAAGCCCGTTCGCCTAGCTGTGGCTCAGAAGCAGCGAAAGATGTCGCGGTTCCAATCCGACAAGCAGCCCCGCGAAACTTACTGCGTGGATTGTACGAAGACTTTGGGTTCATAGAGCAAGATGTACTTCTCCTCGAAGGTGAAGTTCATTTGGGACGGAAGCCGGTAATTTCTTTTGTCTTCCTCTACAAGACGCTTTGATCACACTTGGTGAATAGGGTGCTCTCAAGTTCAGCACCTTAGAAAGTCGAGAAAGATACACGCAAACAGTCCTCTACGACTTTCGTCTCACAGACAATGTGGTCGAACTGGCTGATATACTGTCTAACCGCATGGTCGAGAAGGCTGGTGGACGGATGTGGATGGGAGCTCATATGCGACGGGGGGATTGTCAGTTCTCATGTTCCTTGAATACCTCGATGCTCACAACAGGGCATTTAGTTGCGACGTTGAATTGGACTATGGAACCGAGTTTCGAAGCTCATCTCGCCCGGATCAAGCGCCACCTACGCGACGGGCGTGATATCCTACATTTTGTGCATCGGGGGCCTCTCTACACGTACAAGGTTCCCCTTGGTAAAGCCGATCGCACGCCCCTACTTCTAGATCCTCCAGCAGATCATGACCAGTGAGACATCTAGCTTACTTTTGATAAGGACAAAAATCATGCCAAAATTGTTCAGATTCTACATCGCCACTGACGAACGCGATCCCACGAACCTCACATACCTGCGTAATCAAGGTGCCGTTTTGATTTCGGACCTGCTAACGACAGACGATCGACGAACCTTTGGATGGTCTCTGATGCTCACCGACGTCCTCAGTGTGGTTGAGCAGGCAACCCTTGCTCACGCAGCGTACTTCTATGCCCATGCACATAGTTCGGTGGCCGGTGGTGTCGTGAATCTTCGTGCTTCTCATGGAGCTGATCCCCGAACTGCATTGCTAGAGACTTGATAAGTTTAGCATATTTCAGCATACTATGATAGACTAGATATAATATGTGATTATAATAACTCAGGTAATATGTTGGAGTTAATGATGAACCATACCTAAATAATGTAACGGATCAAAGGACTGCATCGATTACTAGATATCTTACAGTTGTGTCGAGTTGATTCTAGTGTCGATGTGTCGATCGACCTCTAGGCTGTTAGCTCACCAGTGTGCAATCAGGGATAATCGATAACGTTGTTGAGCATCGACACGGTATCAATTCTAGGCATTTGATAGGACGCTGAGATGTCACCGAGCGACTGGCTAGACTTTTTAGTAAGAGTTACGCGGACAACAACCCGATGAAATCCCGTCGGCGCAAGTGCCTGTGTCCACTTTGGTGCGAGTGGTATTTTCAGCTAAAAGATTGAGTTGATCGAAGCATATAGAATACGACAAACGATCAATTGGCACCTGATACTTGGTTTTCAATCAGTAGGAGCAGGCGCTGGATGACATATCGAAGAGGAAGAGCTTGACCTCAGCCGTCAACGCGGTGAGATCGTACGTGCGGAGATCAGGAGGTCGATCAATACCACTCATAACAACACGAAAGTAGGGCTCAGCATGCCCTTCTTACCTAGACTGTCAGTTCAAGGTTGAGCAAAGCTATTGTTGTTTTGTCTCGACCCTTTGTGAAGCCTTTAATTTGAAGGAAATTACTTGACAAGGTGTTCGATTTGAAATACAGGAGTTTCTGGTCGGAAGGTTTGATGGGAAAGTATATGTTTCGCTCACAGCCGGAGCGGAAATGAGGGGTAGGCACGATGGAAAAGTGGGACGAACAAGTACTAGCATACTCTTCTCATTCCACATAGTTCTGTCGATACGAAGAATTTATAAGACGTCATTGCGAAATATACCCGACGAAAAAAGTGCTATACGAGGATATTCCGGCGCGCAAACAAGGCTCTTCGGGAAGCAATTTCTTGGGAGGACGTTGCCATTTGCAGTCGGATGATGTTGTCCAAGTCGTAAGCCAAGAGAGGCACCGGGATTGCGCCAATACCAGCTATCCGGTCGAAACTGAGAAAAGCGCTGTAAGATCGCGCGCAACGATATAAGGTTCTTAATTAGCAGGCGGAAATAGGTTCTGCAAGGGGATTTCCAACTTGCAGATTTGAAGTTGTAACAGCGACCCTTTCCTCGGGCAACCGATAAGCAGTGACGTAATGTTTGCGGGCGTACATCATTAAGGTACCGTGAAGTTGAGCGCCATCGATATACGATAGCCTAGCCCATCGAGCGTAGCAAGATGTAGTACTCCTTCATTAATTCAACTAGAGCCAGCCAGGATTGGCAGAATATACGCGCGAGCATGCGCACGAGAAACCATAGGCGGGTATTAGCCTGTGCGTGTGAGTAAATCGCTCAAGGTATTGCTTCAGCGGGGGGCGATAAGAAGAAGACTCCTGAACTATAGTCGGGCTAGGCAAGAATTCCTTAGGCAGAATCTTCGGAAGTGAGCCCGCAAAAACTGGCCTTGAGAATCAGTCCTGCTCTGCTCTGCGGCGGTCACGAACATTGCAAGCGCCATACCAAACCCATCAGGGGATTCCAGCGCCTACCTAAGAGCACAGACTGCGCATCGAAGGTTGCCAAGAAAGTGATATGTCCGTTCCGAACAGTGATACCAGGTCCAACTCTGCGGCCGTAAGCATGTCGCAATTGGATGGTCTGATGTTGATTTTTTAAGATCAGTCATGTTATGGAATTAATCATACGTGGAAGTCCGACATTCATGTGGTGGTAAGAATCTTCATGAATGTCCGCACATATATTAGAAAGCCGTCGCATCCGGATATGTATAGGCTCATTCTATATAGATAACTGGTAGTAGGGCTCACCAATTTTCCATGTTCTGTCAAAGTCAGTCCAAACTTCAAGACAGCTACATCGACAGGGCTGCGAAAAGAAATTTGGGGTGACACGACCAAGTGCTGAGCGCTGAGTACTGAGAGGTTGTTGTCGTGTGAAATGGGCTGGAACAATTTTGGGTGCCTGATAGCTACGGCCGACCAATGATAAGATATTCTCTTGAACGACGGACGAAAATGTGAGGCGCCTGGCATGATATTAAGGACCAATCCGTTAAGAATGGCATCGCATTTCCGCCGACGCATAGTGACTCCGGGACGGTGAGCCATAATGAATTTGAAAACATGTTTACAGTTCATGATGATAGTGGACCAGATGAAATTAGTCATCTTCAAATTTCGGCCATGACGAAATACCTTATTGTCCGCAGTTGCAGCGCATCTTGAACCAAGGAATTTCCCCCGCCCCCGTTTTGACTGCATCCCAAATGAATGAACTCGAACTTTGGTTATATTTCATCTTCTTCCTTCCATCCCCGGTTCTACAGATGCAGTGATGAGTAAGTGATATGCAAGTAAATGTAAATGTACGTGTATGAAAGATGCGGCGGTATGACCTCAGTACAATTGCTATCTATGCGCAAAAAGATGGTGATGTTGAGGTTGAGCGGGATTAAAATATCAACAAGAATAAGGATCACGAGAATAATGACGTATAAACAAGACGCAGGCGGTGTACGAGGGTATTAGGGCGATAACGCAGAGGGACCAGCGAGACGAGAGCGGCTCGAAGACATAGATTGGAATGGGCCAGGAAAGGTAAGGAATATGAGTACATGTATAATTCCACAACAGATAGTGCAGATGGATGCATGGAGGATGAGAGCCACCACCAACGAGCGGAAATCCAGAGGAACCATACAAAAACCGGACCAAGGAAAGCAGTGAGCGAGCAGGATAGTTGAGTAATGACCGAGATGTACAATTTTGAATAACGAGTGTGGTAGACTGAGAATAGCCAATAGATAATAGTATGAGATTGATGAAAGCGTGCGCCGGCGTGTTGAGCAGAAAGAAGCGACAAATTCCCCGTCCTAATTTCCATGATCCTCTATTTTTTTTTGACTGTGAAACCCATGTTAGGGTACAAGAACATGACTGAACTAAACTCGCATACCTAAATGGCACCTATTGTGCCCTGCGCCAAAAGCCTCTCACGGTGCTAGTGCGGGTTGCTTTCATTGCGGAAGGCAATGGAAGTCTCGAAACCAGTGCAGTTGGTTCATCAATCGACATAGGTGACTTCGGTTCCATAGTCGAAGGGCTAAATTGCGGGATATATGGTGTCCGAGAACTCGGTACAATAACTTTTGGCGGTGGAGCTATCTTCGACGGCGGAGGTGGAAGTATGGATGTTGGTGGCGCGTTGAAAGACGTCGGATGAGGAAGCCGCGATGATGAAGACTGCGAAGCAAGCATCGATGCTAATTTTGATGGGGGCGTGAAATTTGTGGGCGGTGGTGGGATCTTCGACACAGTTGGGCTCGCCCCATTTGGGAAACTGGAAGAAGACACAGACACCGTCCGAGGAAGAGGAAGTTTTGAAGGAGTTGCCACGGCCCGAACCTTGGGGGTTTTTGGTCGCGAAGATAGCTTGAAGATCGACTTGGCTCTACTGGGCATGGAACTCGGTATGGGATGAATAGAAATGGGCGCGTCCAATGCGGCAGATGACACAACCGAATTCCTGGAAGATGCAGCTGCCAATAGTAGAGATAACCTCGATGTACTATGACTTGCAGTGGGTGACGCAAGTAAGGACAGCTGTGATGCTGAGCCGGAAGGAGGGGTAAAAGTCTGCAGAGAAATCAGAGACGCACTCCGGAAGGATGTGATAGTCGAAGCAGATTGGGGAATAGGCGGCAATGGGTCGTCAACCGCGGTGGCGCGGGAAGGAATTCTCGATAACGAGATGGTCGGTACCGGTGGTACCGCCTCCCCGTTGCTCATCGCACCATCCGCTGCGAGAGACATGCGTGATGCGCTGAATGACGTACGAGTGGGCGACAGAGGGAGCGGAGGCACCTCTGCCAAGGACGACACAGGTGGACGCTGAGATGCAAAAGAGGCACGAGATAAAGAGAATGATGCTCGTAGACTAGCTAAAGATGATTTCTTTCCAATTGTCTTTGCAGACTTGATGACTTTCTCATCTGTATCCGACTCATAGTCATAGTCGGTCGAGGCTGTGACATTGCTATCTGAACGACCCGGGGAGAGTTTCGAGATGAAACTCATAAGACGGGCGCGCTTGCGCGGCGTTTTCAGCTCTTTTGATCCCTCCCTGTCCTTTTTCCCCCTCGAAGGAGTTCTGGACCTCAGGAATGTCCCCGAGGGTGTCGGGGTTGGATCGGAAGGTGAAGGAGTCACTGATGCCGTCGTTGCAACTGACCACCTGCTTTGGAGGTCTCCCGAACTATTTGTGGACGAGCGTAACTGCTGAGATTGTGCGGTATTGTCATCCACACAGTCCTTCGAGTCGGAAGGGGTAGCGGGACACACTGCCACAGGTGACGTAGAAAACGAAAGTTCAGGCGCGCAGGTGGGAAACATAGTGGTGCTCGGTGATACCGGGAATGCAGTTGATGAGGGTGATACTGAAAATGCAGTTGTTGATGGTGATACGGGAAGTGCCGTGTCGGACGGAGGTCTCGGAAATGAACCATCACCGCGATCCTCGGAATGAGGCGCCTCGGGGAAGCAATCAGCATCAGGGGATGCTGGCAGTGCAATATTTTCCGGCAAGCATGGAGTGAAGGTCGCGCTTGCAGGTGATGCGGGAAAACTGGTGCAGGGACTCGTGAGTGCAGTTTCGCGAGAAGGGGTGTACGAAAAATTGGAGAGGGTAGGGGATGGGTATCCTGAGTCACGATCATCATGAACTGGTGACAGCAGAGAAAGCTCTTGTTCATCCTGAACCTTCATATGTAATGATTCCATGCGTCGGAGGAAAATCGGATCGGAACGCTTGAAGGTCTGAAATGAGTTCATGTTGAGCGTCCCCGTGAACGATCACGGAGACAGGTAATGGCGGTGTAAATATATCTTGTGGTTGGCTCTGATCAGACGACAACGTGCTTGTGAATGAAGGCAGTCGTGAAATGCGCATTGATGAGGAACGCGAACGCATGACACGCGACGAAGTGGACTGCGTTGTGGACGTCGCTGGCGAGGGTGGTGGTGGACAAGGTAACGGCTAAGTAACCGAATTTTAACTCGATAAATAGCGGATGAGAAATAAAAATACCTTGTCCATATTCTTGCGGGGAGGAGTGGAACTGGACTGCATTTTCCAGTGTGACATTTCCTGCACGAGGAAACGAAGTGCGCGTTCCCGTTCGCGCTCTTCCCTCGCCTCATCCTCAGCAAGAGTCTGAGGAGAAGGAGAGATGGGGAAAAATAGAGCATCGTAAGATGGACAAGGCTCTGGTGTTGAGGAACATTCTACCGATGAGCGGGGTAGGAGGGGAGAGTCTGGTCTGTCAGAACAGAATGTACGGTGGGCTCCCAATGAGGATGGTGAAGGAGAAGGAGCCCGAGAACAGCTGAGGGAGGCACTATCATCTTCGTTGACTTGGGTGTCTGACTCTGAGAGAGCAAAATCATACTGGTGCTCTATCCAAGAGTGTACGCGAGCGTTGCGTGTAGTTGAGTTGTCGGATAATAGTTGACGAAGGAGGGCAGTGTAAGCCACGTCGTCTTCGGACATACTGGCAGCCATGTTAACTGGGGACGAAAATGAGAAAAGGAGAAGCGAGAGTGTGCATTTTATTACAGGTGCGGCAACTTGCAGGACCTTTTCGTTAGGAAAATCACATAAAGTTTCGTTCCAAAAAAATACGAGTTAACTAAGATTGGCCTTCCGATCTTTTCAGATCTGTAACGGTGCTGCAATATTATTTTGGCTTCTAGACTTTCCATTTTGGATTCTCAGCTTCCGACTGGTTCGTTACCGTTCGTGGGTTCCGTCGCTAACGTAAGCAGAACCCCTCAAATTTATTCAATTTCTCTCTCTGGTAGCTTCGGGTACAGTGTGTTGGCGCCCCTGCACCTATCCCTGGAAGAGAAGGTTCTTAGTCCACACGACGCGAGGCAACGTGTCCCATTCCACTGACAATCCAGCTTCTTTCATCGTCGAGGGCATGTCACAGTCGACAGAACCTGCCATGAAAACGAGCTAAGCCAGAATTTCTTTCACCGAGGATATCACCATCCCACATTCAGAGAATTTCAGACCACCAACAAGCGCCTGTCAGCGGTTGTCGGGTGCGATAAGCAAACAATTTTAATTGATGCAGACAACGCCAAATGGCAACAGTCTACACCACAACCTCACACGGCCTCGGGGTTTCACTCCAATACTACCATGGACCTCGATCGTTCAACCAGGTCGCCGCATGTGCCTTTTTCAAGTCTGTTTCTTTAGTCTTCGACCTTCTTGGACTTCTAATAGACACGCGGTCACATTAGCTCCAAGCTCCAGTGTGCAAATCAACATCCGCCCTGACCTGCCCTGACTAGCTATAGTTTCGGCCTCGTAAACAGCGGTGACTTCCATGTCACCGACCCTCCGTCTCCCATCATAACTTATTTGCATCTCGAAAGTTTTTATCCTTACGGCACCTCAAGTTGCATTGCATTGTAATCTGTCCCCGCAACGATCAACTGCGGGGTGTCACAGGGTCCTACATCTAAGGCTTGATGAACCGTCCCTCTTCACCAATGATACCTTTCGGAAAGCCCTGAGAACTCATTTGAAAAGTTTCAAGCCCTTCACCCACAAATCCACGTAAAGAAGCCGCTTCCACTCCTTCAAAGATGCCGTTCGGTCGGGTCCGCGAGCGTGTGCAGATTTTAGCGGAAAACATACGTTAACATTGATGATCCATTGATATGTCCACGATTATTGTCTGCCCTACTAGCGGCAGTACTTGCTACCAGTGAAATGTTATCTCGTGATCGCCGTTTCGCGCTTCAAGTTGAATAGGTTTTCGACGCGTTCAGTCCATTCAATCCTCCTTAGTGGCCGTGTGTTTATTGAGGCACCATTTGGCACTAAGGAACTCCCTTCTCTCATGCCAGCACTCGCCGGTGAGTACGTTACAAAGGCAATAATTATGAACAAGAGGTTTGCAAGAGATTCATATTGCATTTTAATCTAGAAATTCAGAATGCAGCAGCTTTCATTAAGCAGCAGAACAAAATTGCCCTTCCACAGGCGAGCGCCCAATATTCCAGATGATCCCGAAGCGACATTTTTGAGGTGTCGGCTGCTAGTCGAACCCGCAAATTTTTAGGTCCGCTTAAGTTGACATGTGAGTTATGCCTCATCACTATGAAGTAATCACTCAGGACTGATTTCAAGCGCAACTTGTTGCTGATCATTCCGTGATTCCATTCCCGCCTACCGCGAACGGTCAAAGTAAGCATATTTAACTACCCTGACAAGTATTTCATTATGAGGTCTGATAGGCTCTACACTGCTTTTGACAACGCTTGGCAGAGACATGATGTGTCTTTAATCCAAATAGCACGGCTAGCATGCTCCGCAACTCGGAAGGGACCATCATTACTATCAAGTAATCTTAGGACGGCTCTCAAGCGTAGCTGATTGCTGATCATTTCGCGATTCCATTCCCGCCTACCACGAACGGTCATAGTAAGCATATCTAACCACATTGACAAGTGTTTTATTATCACAACGTGATAGGCTCCACGCTGCTTTTGACAATGTTTGGCCAGGACATGAAGTGTTTTTAGTGCAAAGAGCACAGCTATTGCGACCAAGCATGTTCCGTAACTCGGCAGGGACCGCGGATCTTTTTGCGCGACCAATAAGCACCACAGCTTGGGCATTCAACGAAGACATGCAGGTCTGCACGACAGTGGCTGGCACTAAAGTTTGGCCCATCAAGGTAGTCACATTCTTTGAGCCGAGCTCGAACAACAACCACTGCTCTTCCTGCCCGGATAGAATTGGGTACATAGTACATGTTGCTCGGGTCTTGTAATCGGAATGATGAGCATTTCAATAGTCTTCTGCTCTGCTCTTGCACAATACACATCCATGTGTTGGCTTAGTAGATGGATGCCACTACGTGTCAACTACGTGATTATAATGCATATCAGTCCTCCTACACGTCGGCTCATGGACTCACACACTAGACACGGCTTGCACGTTGCATGAACTGAAACGGTGTGGCGTCGTCAGTCGTCTGCTAGAACCCTTTGAGACTAGTATTCGGGTATCCGGAGACATGAGGAGAGGGTGATAGACTCTTCGATCTCGGGCGGTGCCACTCACCGCCCGGGATTCATCACGTGGTCTCCGAACACCCGCGGACCAAGTGATCTGGGTAAGCAATTTACCGTTACGCTCGTCACGTTAGAGCTCTCGCTTATTGCCACTGCGACAGTCGCGGGACGGCTTGAAGTGTAAGTCCTATGTAATCACGAACATCACCGCGATTGACCAGTGAGTTGAAATGTTACCAGCCTGCCGATGTAGGCCTAGAGCTTCCTCTAGCACACACAGCGACTATTCTGGACCCTGGAGTTAGATGCGATTCCGCCGCGGAACTACCTGATGTAAGTACTGATCATATCATAAACATATAAAAGTTGTCTGAGGCACCGATACCAGCCGCAGTATACCTTGTTGTTTACTCCACTCGGGGATAAGGACACCAAAATAATGCAGTCCTTGACGGAAATTCTGTTTGTGTGGCTTCTACCCGCGAAGTAAACGGATTGCTGAAATTCGCTTGAGATTTAAGAAAGAGTTGGTACTGATGGGCCTGGTTGCAGACGGCGCAGAACCTAGATTGCCAAACGGTGCCTCGCGGAGAACTCAGAATCTTATGAGTTTCGGATCTACAGCTGAAGGGTTCTGACGTTGCGACAGCTACTATCTCTAACGAGTCCATCACATTTCCCTCAAAGTCGACCTCCACATGAAGTGTCAGTCTGAAAAATAGCAAGCGGCAGGTCACATAGAGAAGGAGCGCATCGAAGCCGACGCCGACCTTGCCGCGAACTGGGTGGACCCTCGGAACGTCATCATACGTAGTTCCCACTCAAGCTGAATGGATGATGAGACCGACTTCTTGAACCTTGTTATCTGATGTCGACCATGCTGTCCGATTGGCTTGGAACCAAGGCGAGAATCAGCAGAGACTGTGGACAGGTAATAAAGAAGGAATGTCGGTCTTCCTTATCCTAGCTAGGAGACTAGGTTCCCTCCGAAACATACAAGGTTTGTGAGCACAATGTCCTGATGAGATAGCGAACTGTACCCGTCGCGAAGCCCCGATGGACAGAAATGGGGTTGGAAATGCAAATCTAGCATCTTTCAGTAAAATTTTTGTGACCCGGGCTCACTGTTTAGGTGGGTGCACCTGACGAACACCGACGCGTGACTTCATCTAAGTACTATCATCGCACTCCTCCGAAACCAATCCAATGGATTTTGAATAGAAATGAAATTACGAACATTGCCAAGAGTCCTTGAGACTTGTTCCACGATGAAGTTCCTAATCGGAGGATTGTATATATACATAGCACAACCATTGACTCGGGATATGGGCGGCTGTTGGGCACTCTTCAATTAGATGTCGGTCGTGGTGGCGTTTTATTCGCGAGGCATCGCATTGACTCTGTAAGTTGATACGGACAGGCTAAAATGTCAGATATCAATAGCTTCAGCCTGAGTACTAGTGTGCTTGAGGACAACGTTCAGTTGCGGCGGTGGCGGTGACCGCGGGACATGAGTTTGATAGATCAGCTGATTATCGATCAGGCGTGAATCTCCGAGTTGATTAGTAATCACAGCAGTCTTCCGCCATGGAAGGAAAATAGTAGTGGCTAGACCCTGCCATGTAGTCACAGTTAACATAAAATTGAGCACGAGCTGGCGATATGTGGTTTAGGACTAGGTGCGTTATTAACGCGGATTCTTTCTATTGCTCTATAGATCCTACTAAGGTCAATGATAATCGCAGCTTCGCAGGTTATCATGATCTTAGTCGGGACGGCGTTTGCATCACACAATTTTTTATCCATTGAGCCTGGGAGGCCCAGCTGCTAAATGACAACGCGTGTTCGATCCATGCCAGATTGAACTTTCACTAACGGCGCTCGCAAAACTCTAAAACATGTTTTTCAGGCTCCAGTGCTGCCAGTGTCATAGCAGCAGCACTTACTCTGTCAACTCCATCATGGTCAACGTATTACGACTCAGGAACTGACATTCGACCGACAGGCCCATCTAGCTATGTCTAGTCCTTCCAGCCCCAAATGCTTCAGGGCCTGGACGTTCATCAATTGAGGTGAGCTCACCCAAGGCTTTCATCTCCACAGTGTCTCATTGTATGTCGTTATTTAATTGCAGTATGTAAACATTTCGGTTCTTCCCATTATCATAATGCCACGAGAGGTCATCCCTTTACATAGCGTCGAAGTCAACTTTGCATGGACTGAAAGCCAATCTGCTGACAATTCCTCGTAATGCGAATATGAACGGCGATGTCCATGATTGCTTCTCAACTTCAGCTCTATCAGCCGGTTGAAGATATCTCAGGCAAAGAAACTCACCTTTCCTCATAAGCAACTGCTTAATTGTCATCTCTCGCAATGCCTGATATGAACGGTGATGTCCATGATGACTTCTCGACTTCAGCTGTCAGTTTCGAGCAATGAAACACATCTTTCCTCGTAAGCAACTACTCAACTATAATTCCTTCTGCTCGGTAGTTTGCCCTGAACCGAGGAATGTCATCACGGGATGCAAGTCACTCATTGATGTCGACAACCAAGGGCTTATTGAACTCCTATTCTCAACGTAATTCCTAGGAGTGTCAGCGCCACTCGAGTCGGTATGACGCAAAAGATCCGTCAACATCACTCATGTCCATTTCTTGACAATGTTCAGCGTAGGCATTCAGTAATCGGTGGCCTCACTTGGACGCTTCCCTGCGAAGGGTTCACTTCGTGTGATTGAGCCAATAATAACGTGTTCGTGAGCGTTCAACGTTCAACTGTCACTGACAACAACTTTCTTGCGCTTTGCTCGCCTAATGGTTTTGCATGATCCAACGGGCTGTGACTTCACTAGTGACATCAGGCGGGCCGCCGCGTCAGCATGCATTGCAGGGACAAAAGGATACGACGGGTTATCTTTTTCCTGCCGTTCCAGATGCAGGCAGCCTCACGTATCCTTCTGCTTCTTCAGATCTTGGATGCCTCCAATACCCAGGTTTCAATTAATTATGTTCGGCACACGTACAGGCGCACTCCCAATCGTGATTATAACAAGAATCTTATCGCTCTTCGCTTCCTTGCGACTTTACGGTGCTCTCTCGGATTATCCGTTCTCGTTGCCGGCACCGATCCACGTCGTGCATCGACGTGGTGTCATCAGATGCTTATCTCACTGCAACTTGGGGACAGTCCTACGTATTCCGAATCCAAGAATCGAAACCTTGATTTTGTCAGTGGTCCCAAACAATATGGCCAGATCGAGTTCTGCAAATTTTCGGCGGAGGAGTTTACAGACTTGAAAAGTTCAAAAGTATTAGTATTCAACTCGACGATGTAGTAGTGTAACCCTATCACGATTGGTAGTAAGGCCATTAGCACTAGTGTCTCTAAGGGTGCTCGTTGTTTCACCCTGCAGTTGTCAGGGAAAGTTAGCAGCTCCCTGTTGTCGTGATTCACCCATATATTGCGTTTGGGGTAAAATATGTCATCATTGATCAACTCAGTATGCTCTGCATGACAAGCGCACTGAGAGGGTGACGATCACATAATGATATAGATACCTTGTCCAAAGATGAAACATTATTCTCTTGATGACGCAGGTAGTATTTGCAAAGCAAGTTCTTCTGCAGCCCCTGGGCGCCCTTCGGTCCATCGTTCGCATAGTTCCGATACCAATCAGTAATCTTGACAGGACACTGATTGACACTGAACAGGGGACCGACCAAGAAGCGGGGGTGCAAGCAAAATACCGACGAGTCTGGGTTCAGGGTTCTGAAGATCAGTGTACAATAACTGCGCCTACTAGTAGGAAGGCCGGCTAAAACAAAAACAAAAGGAGCTCAAATCAAATAGCACCCGAGAGAACGGCCACGTACCAGGTTGCTGCGATATCCTCAACGATAGGAAAATTCTCTTCATCATAATCAGGAAGGTTCAAGACAAATCATAAGTTTGAATACAAGACCCATCAGAGCGCCTGCATGTGAACCGAAGCCCTCCGGGAGTGTGGACCGAGTTTCAAAATGGAGGAAGTTCGGGAAATATATGAGGCGCATGTACTCCATGGCCACTCATGATCAGGCTGTGGCGGCTTGTGGATGTGAGTCGTGGCAGTAATGCAAATAGAGATGTGATAGGAATCATGGGATGTGATCCTAGTAAGTGAATTGCCACGTTGCAATTGTTGTTCATCGATGGTTCATCGTGGGTTCCCCACGGGGCACGCGGGATGAATCCATGATCATCAACCTATTCATGTCACACATATCACTTTCTCGGATCTATGTGATAAAGACGGACGGCCAGAGCATTGAATTTCATGTAACAGGTTCGAGATACCAGGACTTACTACAGTCAACTCAGTACCATATACCACCAGTGACCAGTTAAAGGTTAGTCCAGAACTGAGTCGGACCATGTTGAAAACTCCCGCCGGCGGTTGACCTCACCAATTGCTTCCGCTACGCCACTGATCAGCCTGTAGTTTGCACGTTGACATCCCCGGAATTTGGAAGGAGTTGAAAAAACATGGTGATAGCCTGATAGGTCAACCATGTAGTACCTTAACTGCTCACATCGTGACGTGTAGTCCGACATCTAGCTTCAAGTTTTGTTGTCGTAGATCAACAGCGAGGATGACTAAGCGCGTACCCCGGGCACACAGGCATGGCACAGACCCCAGGCAGCGCACGCTCGTCGTGGTTCCGTCATGTGGGCAGTGAAAACCCTTTGGGAAGGGCGATGAGGTGGGAGTACCTAGTTTACATAGCTGAACAATATACTATCGGGTAGGGCAAGCGAGAAATGTGTGCCGTCATCATGAAACCAACTCATAAAAATGTTATCATCCCACCAGGATAAAGTTTTTCATAGGGCATGCTCTCCTGCAGGAACCAGAAACAGCATGCACCACGAGTTGCTTGACTCTCTGGATCCTCATGGGGCATGCTGCTTCCATCCGAAAGACAGGAACCGGTTTCTTTTTAAAAACACTCGAAGCACCTTCAAGTTGTCGGCATTGACGTGAATCAGTATATGGAGACACAGCAAACGTATTTTTGCGCCCAAAAAAAAATCGCGCCGAGGGGCGGGATAGATTCTACCGTAGCTAGCTACAAACCTTTGCATCGAAAAACAGTTATCTTCCCCCTTTCGAACTGATATGGTTGGCGGCAGGTTGGCGGGACATTGCAAGGAATCGACTAGAAATAAGCGCTACGTGTCGATATAGATCGAAGAAATCACAGTGCCTGTATATTTTATCGTCGTGTTTAGAGGTCGAGAGGAATTTTTGGTGTATTGATAGACTTTCGTTCTGTTTAGTCGAAACATGCACTCTAAAAGCATTGCATCGAACCCAGAAAACGATATCGAATGAGTTATCATATTAGGGTATAGTAAGGTCCTTACCCACCATACCACCTCTCACACCTCGGTCTCACTTCTCGGACCACACCTAGGATCATGCTCGGGACCCGCTCTTAGTCGTTTATATCGGCGCTCTCGCCCGCTTGCATTACCGAAGAAGAACTAAGCTAAAAGGACCCTAGTGAGTAGAAGCCATAGAACGAGTATGATCACACTCCACCGCACCGCAGCCTTTTTCTTATATTCCTCGTGTCAGTTATGAGTCCTCAGAGTAAATGCAAAGTGCTGACCTCCTTGATGCCAGCCTGAGCTGCTAGCTGACATGTTGTTCCAGCAGAGAGCAAATGCACTTGTTGGTTCCCGCTGGTGACCATGCAACAGTGAAAATGACACCAGGAAATGATAGGTGGACCACCAGACGAGGGATTGGTCGGTACTAACCGCGGATGATTCGCGGAGCGCACAACAAGAATTTACCTTCGCAAAGGTAATAGTCGGACGTTACACATAAGTCGCTTCTTCGCTCAAAAAGCTTAGAGCAATCTTCACGGCAAGAAAAGGGACTATACCTATTGCGAAAGTATAACTTTACGCGTGTATTCAAAAGTAAATATGAGACCATCTGGAAGTCAGTTTCCTCATGACAATAGTTTCGGGTATCTCGGCAACTACCATGTTCGTAACGCCATCGACTTCACCAAGATCAACATTTCGAAGGTCCGGACCGCTGCGAAGGTATCCGAAAAGAAATGGTGGGGATTGGGATGCAGCAAATTGGTGCCAGAGTAAGAACAAGAGAGGGCCAGAGAGATCAAGCGAGAATTCAAAGAGAACCGATCATACATGATTGGGAAAAGAAACAGAAAGGTCTCGAGGTAAAGTGATATTTACCAGTCAATTAGTCTTGTCTCATGTTTGCGACACTTTCAGCAGAGAGGTGAACTGCTGTCACTTGAGAATACAGCCATGGCTCAATTATATACCGTACGGCAGTGATGTCAGGCTTCAGAGACAATCTCTGGCTGGCACAAGTGGCGAATAAGTTCATCCGGTGCAGGCAGTCACAGTGAGTGAATCAATTGCTCACCGTTCTGGGTTCGTGGTTGTCGTGTTTTAGTCCGCGAGAGATGCAATTGAGGGCTAACTTGAAACACAAGGGAATGGCTGCCATATCGAGCCGGGGTTGCGGAGGGACGAATGATGAACTTAGAATGTGCGTGATTCGACTACACTGACTTGGAATAAAGCAAATACTTACGTGGGGCACAAATTACGGGCTTACACAAACAATATGCACATGCACAACGCATGCATATGCGAAATTGGTCAAACAATCGCTGAATCGATTTGCACTGGTGATGGGCGCTCGTAGAAAGAGTTTAGGGCAAGCGGCCCTGCAGCTCAATGCCCGGAGAACCCGCAATCAGTTCAGTGCCGAGATGTGCACACAGCTCCTACATGAAACAGAACCATACGTATAAATACAAGTCACCAAAACCACCGGTGAGTTTCACTATGAGTTCGAAGTCTGGATCTGACAGACGTGCATTTTTGTTTTGAATTCTGTGAAGTCTGCATCAAACTCAACTTTGTTCATCTCGAATTCTTAGATTTTGCACGCGACTTGACGATCTCCATCACTGGCTCACGCACTACTCGACCAGCTGCGACATGATCAAGACCAAAGAATAAGTTCCCGATTTTTACGCGTCCTCAACATATTACCATACACGCCACAACCAAATCCAATAAAAAAACATGAATATTCAATTCTCATACACCATGTCATAAGCCATGTAATCCGTGTGCAGCATACAAATGATTGAGCGGGTATCATACATGTGAAAGAGCTACAACAAAACATCAAGTCAGCACTCCGCAAGTCATGCAAACACTGAGGTGCGTGCTTACTCCGTGTGCGTTCTCAAGCAAATTCTTGTGTACTGGAGCGCAGGAGATCGTTCAGCACCCTGACCACCGTACCAGCAGCATCTCGCACGATGTCTCTGTCGCTCTCCTTGACTTTCGGCAGTAGCTGGGTCTCGAACCGATCAGGATGCCATCGTCTAATGTTCTCCTTGATGCGGTCCTTCGCAGACTTGTCGGCAGGATGCAGAGGGGATAACATGTAGGCTGTGATGTAAGGAGCTGTCACGTCATCGGGGCCACTTGGCCGTTTGAACACAGGCCACGGGAAATCGTCCCACATCAAAACGCCCAACACGCCAGATATCTGCAATTTATCCCACTGACCACGATGGTGCTCGAAGAGTCTGATAGTGTCCTGCTTTCCCAAGGCTTTTCCAGCCTTTAAGAGTCTTTCCTGCTCTAACTTGGCTTGCTCCCGACGGAACTGTTCCTCACGCTGTTGAGCTTGTTCAGCCTGACGACGGTGGAAATCCGCTTCTGAAAAGGGGGTGGGCGGGGGACCGGACGTTGTTTTGGCGTTCTGCTGGGCTGATGGCGTTGGCGGCTTAGGTGTGCTCGGTGACTGCGAGCTAGCTGTCGAGCTCGGCCGAGTCGAGGATGTCCAGGCAGCACTGCTACGACTAGTACTGGTCGATCCGGAGCTGCTTCTATCTGTGGGCGGACTTGGTCCAGGCATGCTACGATCACTACGATTGGGAATTGGCCAAGGTCCCGTAGAAGACGAAGAAGATTGAGATGGAGAAGTAGCCATCTGGGGAGGTGGCGTGGGTCGACTAGTCTCCGGTGGATAAAAACCCCAGGTTTCCCATTCGAACCTTTCCTGCCTCTTCTTCTCTTCTGCACGCTGGCGGCGTATCTCTTCTTCACGCTTCCGAAATTCATCCTGCTGAACTTTCTGTTTGTCGTCTGATCTGCGCATCGCCTCTGCCTCCCGGCGAAGCAACTCCTCCTCCCGTCGCAAAAGTTCCTCCTCCTTCCTCTGGATCTCTTCCTCTTTGGCGCGTGCTGCCTCTTCCTTGAGCCTAGCGTCCTCCTCCTTGCGTTTAACTTCATCTTCCTTGCGTTTCGCTTCCATAGACTTTCTCGAAATCTCTAGCGCAACACGCTTCTCCTCCTCCTCTAAACGCCTGGCCACTTCCTCCTCCTGTCTTCGAAGGTCTTCCGCCCGTCTCCTGGCCTGGGCTTCCTGCCTCCTAACTTCCTCCTCTTTCCTCCTCGCAAGCATCTCCTTCCGCTGGATTTCGTCTTCCTTTCGTTTAGTTTCCTCTTCCTTCCTCCTCGCCTCCTCCTCCATTCTCCGGACCTCAAGCTCTTTGCGATCGGCCTCTTCCTGTCTCCGCCTAGCTTCCTCTTCCTTGCGTGTGATTTCATCCTCCTTCCGCCTAGTTTCCTCCTCCTTGCGCTTAGTTTCCTCCTCCTTGCGCTTGAGCTCCTCCTCTTTTAGCTTAGCCTCCTCCTCCCGTCTCGCATCCTCCTCCCTTCTCCTCAATTCCTGCTCACGCCGAGCAACTTCCTCCTCCCTCCTCCTCAAATTCACACTATCCTCTCTCTGACGCATCTGGCGTTCATCATACTCCCGCCACTCAGCATCATCAAGTTCCACATCATACTCCCCCTCCGACACCTCATGATGCGTATGGACAGGCCGAGCAGGATAATACCCACTCTCGCCCGCATTATACCCATAACGCATGTCTTGCGACGACAGCCTCGCGCGCAAATTGGAAGACTGCCAACTCCGCGGGACTTCTTCTGGTGTCTGAGGAGAGCGCGAGGTCTCGTAGCGGGTGTCATACGGCGAGCGTGAGGGGCCGTTCCAGCCTTTGGGACTCGGGCTGGACTGGAAACCGCCATCGTCAAACGTGAAGGATTTCTTGGTCGCGATGGGTCTGCTGGCTGAAGGTGGGGGGCGAGTGCTGTCTGAGGAACGGGTGTAGCTTGGGCTCTCTATGGTGCGTGAGGATGGGATTGTGGAGCTTAGGATGGGCGCAGATGTAGGCGGTGGATAACGGTCGTCCAGCCGCTGAGGGGTAGTCGTTATGCCAGCCCGAGCTTCAGCATACGTGTACGACGTCGTTCTCTCTCTATCTCTTGCTCTATCCATGAAATTCCACTCTTGTTCCGCAGCCGAAATGCGCTCTCTTTCTCTCTCCGACGGACTGGGCATGATATCGTGCGGCTCGGAAGAAAACGGGATGTTGAACACTGATGGTGCACCCCGATAGGAAGAGGTAGTGCTCGCCGTGCTCCCACGACGCGCGATACTGAAAGTACGAGACATCTGAGCATCTTGTTCAGGAGTGATAGAAGGGTGCCAGAATTCTGGGAGTTGTCTGGTAGAAATGCTAGTTTTGCGGCGAAGACTTCCGCGTCTGATGCTGTCCTGAGCATCCGTAGGTGAACGAGCAGATCTAGGCATGTCGTCTAGTTCGTCGATGGTGGGTGAGGGCTTTGGGCGCTCAAAACCTCTGTCTGTGGTATCCAACGTAGATGGTGGTTTGTATGATCCCACTCCAGAACTACTGACAGACCCGGCACGAGCCTTGCCGGTATCGCGAGGTGGTGGTACGTGGTCTTCCTCAAACTCCCGACTGGGTAAACGAGGGAAGTAATCTGCCTCGTGCTCTAATTCCGCTTGCTCGTGTGGGGTCCAAACACGTTCTGGAGAACGGCTAGAACGGGATATTGAAGGATCTGCGATAGGCTGCGAGGAAGAAGAAGGATGAGCAGCTTTATCTTTGCGTTCTCTTTCAATCTTGTCTAGGATAGCTTGTTGCTCCTTTATCATTGTGTCTGACCATTCTTGATCTAAGGCCTGACCGGCAGCCCAACGGCGTTCTTGGCGTTCGCGTTCTAGGGCGATACGGAATTGCTCCTCGGCAAGATTACGGATGTTCTTCATGGTAGCAAGGTGTTCCTCGGTCAAGCGTTCGCGGTCGAGAGCACTGACTGGGGCTCTCTTGAGGGTGTCATGCAGGTTCTGTTTAGCTTCGTCGACCATGGAACGCAAGTTGTTCTCGATATCGACTTTGAGACGACTCTTCCATTGTTCGTCAGGCTCGAAATCAGCAGCGGATTGATTGGTAGGTGATTCAGTGGTAGTTTGAAATAGGGTCGTCATGACGTGTCTGTAAGAGGTAGATCAGCCAAGTATGATGAGATTAAGTAGAATAGTTTGAGTACCGTACAGTCGAAGAGAGTCGCTGGCTTTGGCGGATTGAAGAGAATAGTGAAATGGAGTTGGAAATGATGTGAGATGACCTCGAACACTCTGTTTAGAAGACTGCGGCTAAGTCTGATTGCGAGGAGCCTGTGATGTGATTATGCCTCGTGTTGGGGCACGCGTTGGGGAAGTTTGAATATAATATAGGCGGACGGACTTACGCAGCTGGTAAAGGACCAGCAGCATTCACGATGAAGCTGGCAGATAGATAGAAAATCAGGGTAGTAGAGTGCTGAGAGATGTAGATTGCAAGAATCAGGAGGGCAGATATGATCAGTGATCACAGGCTAGACATGAGGATGAACTGATTGCGATTATAAGACTATGTACGTTTAGATCAATTGATCTGGAAGAAAGAGATTGCTTACCCCGTTACTAGAACGTAGAAATTGGCGTTAAGAACGGTCAAGCCGATGATGTCGAAACTGCAGTAGTACTGCTAGAGCAGTAGAAGGCGTCCGACTGGAAGCTCGATGAACTGACCACAATTAGCAGTATCCAAGGTACCCCACACGTTTATTATCGTTGCATCTTTTTTTCTCTCGGCACTTCTTACTTTGAAGCCTGATTAAGTCCCGCGAAGCTTAGGGCTCACGAAAAAGAACAAGGGTGGATGTTGATAGCGATTGCATGCACTGTTGTAAATAATTGGCTTGAAGGTCGAACGAGATGATCATGTAAACGTGCAGTTGGCGAAACTGTGACCAAAGTTGAGTCATCGGTTGACAATACGTTGCAAACATTCACTTGTACGGGGAACGTCGAGGGTGATGGTCAACATAAACAACGTGTGTTTACCTCGGAAATATTGTGACTTGTGAGGGCAAGGCTTTTAAGTCCCTGGAACTGTGCCAACGAGTGACGAGATTGACGCCTTGTCTAGCGGGGGAATAATGACTAAAGTTTCCCATGACAGCGAACAGCAAGCTAACACGATTTTGGCACACTGCAGCAGGTTAGTAGTAAGTGAATTCCGACATGGTGGGATTACTCTCAACGATGGGAGAATGATGTGCTCCTGAAAGGACACGCACTAGGGAATACCTGTTGTTACCGTATGGGTTAGTACTGGGGCAATGAGTAGCCTAGTAGCGTTGCTCAAACTAATTAAGTTTTATCGAGACTGTCGTCGTGACGAGTCGGTGATAGAGCTGGCAAGGCACAGGATCCTAAACCTAATAAGGTGTCCTCGAGGTAAACACGAGGCGTATGTTGAACCGGTTTGATGTTCTTGGCCTTCTAAAAAATAATATAGTAAGCACTGCCAGTGGTAAAACAAACAAACCAGCTGTTCTCAGATCACAGAAGTGTCCCACCATGTACTGCAACTAATCTCACTCGATCCCATAAATTTACAGGCAGCCGTGATCATCTTCCCTATCATGGATCGATCCTAAACTCGATATCACCTTTTTCTGGAAATTTGGGAATTGCCATCCCTCAGCGCTCCATATGCCGCACGAGTCACTAATCGAACCATATACTCACTATACACAAAAAAATCAACATACATCTTTCAATCCCTCCCACTTGATCAATGCCTCCAAAACGTAAAACAGCTGCAAAGAGCACTCCTGCTCCAGCAAAGCCTGCTGCTCCTCCCCCTCCTAAACCAGCGCCAGCGCCAACTCCACCAGCTGTCAAACAAGCCCCACCCCCGCCACCTCCACCTCCGTCTCCACCCGTCATCATCGAATCCCCTTCAACCAAAGTTCGCAAAGAATGGCTAGATTTCATATCTGCTTGGTACGAGCCACAGAAAAAGAAACTCGTGGACCAACTCACCAAAGAGCTCGATGCCAAATACAAGAAATCAGCATCTAGAATGCAACAGAACGCTCGTCACGCAGAGATGGAGAAAAAACTCTCCGAGATCATGACTCAGCTGGCTGAACCCGCTCATGAAGAGTGGAATAGTCGTCTCGCTGCACAGCAACTCCGCGTAGACGATTGGACTGATATCACAGAACAAGAACAGCAGTCTGTCATCGACGTCTTTAATGCGTTCTATGACGACAATGAAGAAGAAGAAAATCATCCCATCCCCTTTGATGCCAACGAATTAGAGGAGCCAGTGGCCTCGGCAGTCGAAGAACCTCAACTTGGAGATTCTTCTCCCTTCTTCACAATCCGTCAATCACCACCAACACCCGTTACAGCCAATTTCCAGCTCGTCAATCCATCTTCCTTCTTCATGGACACTATCTCCCCAGCCAAGCAAGCCAGAAAGCTGCCGGAGCTCGCCATGGTACGTCTTCAATTTGTTATCATGACGTGTCACCCTGACATGGTGCTGTGCCGCAGGATAACCTGGCAACCCTGAGCAATCTAAGCACGGGTCGCCCCCCAGCTGACACTAGCTCAAACACTAGCACAGCACTCGGCTTCCAAGGCTGGGCCTCCGAAGCTGGACTAGCACCCCAAGGCGCCTCCCAGTCAACCAACCGAAATCGCGCCACAGATAACATATCCCGGCAACCATCCGCCGCATCTTCTCCCCTGTTCTCCTCTCAAACCGCTCCAAATAACTCTCCCCCTCAGCCCTCTTCGAAAATATCACCCCTAACTGCCAACCACACTCTTGTCCCAGGCAAACGCTACATCGGGCCTGTTATCGCCGAAGAGGAAGCCGAACCGATCGATGAAGAACTTCTCAAAGCCAAAATGGCTGCCGATTTCCTCGAGTACAAGATGGAAGTCCGGATTCAGATGATCCAGCAATTCCACGCGAAGGCATCTGCTATCGAGATCGAGCTCGCGAGGCAGCTCGAGAGCAGCAATAGCACTAGCTCGAAAGAGAGCAGACTGCTTACATTGCACGAACACGAGGAGAACATGATGTCGCTTCGCGAGTCTAAGGAGCTAGAGAGGAAGAAGCTGTGTGATAAGGAACGCGATCGGAGGTTGCAGGAACATAGGTTCCTTCAGCAGGTCGCTGCTCAGAAGGCGATTAATCAGACCCGCTTGAACGCGAGCGCTTCGTCTTCCAAGATACCCCCTGCCTCTCAGCCGGGATGGACGACTCATTCCGCTCCTAAACTCGCCAGTCAAAAAGAGAACCTTTCCACGGGCAGCCTGCCTACAAAGCCTGATCCTCCCAGCATACTCAAGAAGTCTGCTAGCGCTCGCTCATATGATATCATACCCGGCTTCGACGAAGCTGCATTCGTGAAGGCTCAGGCGGAAGCTGCGAGCTTGGCGAAAGGCAAACAGCCTGCCTCCACCCTCAACCGACCTAGCGTGCTCAAAAAGACAGAAAGCGCAAGCTCGCACGACGAGCCTGTCGAACCCGTCGTCCCATCCCCACCTCCCACCACACACACCACAAAGGGCAAGAAGGGCAAGAAGACATCGGTTGACGCCCCACAGCCCAAAACCGTCACTTTCAACGAAGTGCCCGATGCCGATGCGGAGCCTCCTCCAGCAAAGGGTGCAAAAGGCGCCCGGAGTCCACTGTTTGTGAGGATTGAGGAGGAGCCGGATGAAGACGCTGATCCCATGTTCTCCATGTGGAACCCCAAATCTGCACGAGCTACCACGCCTGCGCCTGCTAAGAAGGGCAAGGCTGCAGTTGTTGCTCAAGAGGCGGTCGTTGAGCCAGCTCCTGTGGCATCTGCTCCTGTCTGGGGTTCGGCAGCAGTGGGGAAGAAAGGCAAAGCCCCAGTTGCGCCTGCAGAATCTACGGCAGAATCTTACCAGACATGGACCGCGCCGGGGAAGAAAGGGAAAGGGAAAACCCCAATTATACCCGCAGAACCCATGGAAGATCCTTTCCAAACGTGGAACGCCCCGAAAAGTTCGGTATCGACTAAGAAAACAAAGGTTACCGTCACGGAAGAGCTTGATGAAGATGCTGAGCCGGCTGCTACTGTCTGGAGCGTTGGGCTCAAGGGTGCATCGGCGGCGGCGAAGAAGGTGGTACCGCAGCCAGAGGCCCGTCGTGGTGCTCAATCCTTTTCAAAATCTGCTTTGGTCCAAGATGTTGATGAAGAGGAGGATGAGGAAGAGGAAGAAGAGGACGAGGACGAGGACGAGGACGAGGACGAGGAAGAATGGGACCAGATCCGGCCCGCATCTGCCATACCAGGGGGCCTGGATACTGGTGAAGCAGAAAGCGACGCATGGAGATCTTCCTACTGGGACAACCTCACCAATGGGCAACCCGTCTCACAAACCTCAACCGAATCCGCTTCTCACTGGAGCAGCTTCGCCAAGGCGCACCCCACCGCAGATGAATCTGCCCAACACATGGTATGGACGCCATCAAAGGAAGCAGAAGAAGAGAGCGGCGACGAAGATTTGGGTGAAAGTATGGAGAATGCCCTCTGGATGCAATATGCCATCAGCGGAGGCGAGATTCCTGGCTTCGAGGGGCCTGACCCGCAGGAGAACGTCCACGCACACGCTCCTGTGAAAAGTACTTCAGCCGCTGCCGTTTCCCACAAAAAGATCACCAACGAGCCAACCACGAGTATCTGGGAGCAAGGGAAAGGGAAGAAGAAATCAGCGCCCGCAATCGAGACCCGTGCTGCGCAGCAAGTGCCTACGTCATCCAGTGCTCGGACGGCTCAGTGGCCAAAGGCCAAGATGGAGATGGAGAACTGGGCTTCACGCTTCGGCCAAAGCTCTGGCTCCGCTAGACATTTGTAATGTTTTTTTCTTCTTCTTTTAGTTGGTTTCATGATAAGACGGACAACTCGCGATTATTTTCTAATGCTGTGGTCACTGATCGTTTCATTGTTTTTTTTGCTATACTGTTTTCGCGGCTTACTGGCTAGGCCTTGCTTTTATCTTACTAGTTCTGTTTGATATAATTGTCGAGTTTTATGTGTATCTGTCGTCAATCGATTTGCGTCGTCATTGGTCCTTGTGGTTTCTGTGTCTGAGCGAGTAAGGGGAAAAATGAGGTGACGCAGGTTTAGTGTCCCGCCAGCTGAATACTATGCATATGCCATGCCTGCGCCAATCGTGACAACACCTTAAAATCTATCGTCGTACTATCCAGCTGCGGGGGTAAGGCACCCGCATTACCAGACACAATGTTGCCCATATCATGAGACTGGGGGTGATACATCCACTTCTGTCTCAGTCACGTTGCTCACAATACGCGCAAGTGGGGGTAGCACACCCATGTAAAAACGCATCCGATACTGTGGCCAAAGCCCCGCGTCGTCAGAAAATAGGCGCTGAGCCGCTCATTCCAAGACCTCTCACACACGATCGGCAGCCTTGCCCTCGAGTAATGAGGAGGTCTCATAACAGAGCTGCATGCTATGCGCACGATGGATAGCCAAGAAGGCCGGGCAGCGAGCAAAAATATGGTGAACGCTCTCAAAGGCATCACAACCGAAATGACACCAGGGCGGTGTATCACGAAAACGCCGATGTCGCACCTCTGCGGTATCAAATTGTGATGATCGGGCATACAACTGTACAATGGCAGAGAAAGAGCTAGATGCTTGAGTGTATGGGAAGTCTGGCAGGCGATGACTGTCATACAATGCAAGAGTCAGGGGCTCGCGCTGAACGAAAGAAGTCGCTCAACGCATAATAATCTTGGAGCCTAGAATGGGAAAATAGGACAAGTTGTTTTCAACAAAACCATAGCCGGATGCAAATATGGCGTAGTTGCCAGGAGCGCAGAGGGAATAACACCACGCCGTTCTTACACAAACGAGGCCAACCGATCGACATAATCGTTGGCGAGACATTCTGGCGTCAAGCCGTTGGCATGAGCAGCGGCCCAGACGAGTGAGGGCGCGGGTGTCGGAGAGTGTAGAAGTGAAAAACTATCAGTCACGAGACTGCATAGTAAGTAGTACATCCCGAGTCTGTATATCTGTGACACAATAATCAAGAAACAATGATAGAAATCAAAAAGTAAGATAGCAGCGACACGACAGAAAACGAATCTGATACTCAAACTACCTTCTTGTCCTCTTCCACGGGTTTCCTCCGCTCGAGGACCTCGACCCACTTCTTTGGGAACCAGCCTTCGCGGCCCTCGCGCGTCCGACCTTTCCACCACTCGCTCTCCACCTCTAACCGTGGATCTACCTCCACACCAGTGCTGGGATCCAGCTTTCCCATGATAGCGACGATGTCATTCTCCTTCAGCGCAAGCTCAGATGGAGATGAAGGCGTGAACGGATATAGTGCGCGTGCAAAAGCAAGCGTCGACGGATCAAGGGGACCCAACGGACTACCAGGTCCGATCTGTGCTTGCTGCTGTTGCATCGCACGCTCATTGAGAATTTTGATGAGCTTCGTCATGGCGTAAGGAACACCAAAGATAGCGAGGAGAAATATGATGATGGGTTTTCGGCTGGGCTTGATAGGAGGAGGACCCATGGGGCCCTGGACGGGCTTTCCGCTAATAAACTCCCTGAATTCGCCTTGTAAGCTCGTAGAACTCGGGCGGCCGGTGACGAGCTCCTTCATCCACCGTATAAGACCAAAGAGGCCCAATACACTGCCCAAGGCATTGCGGAGGTGGCTGAATTGCTCGACGACGCCGACCATTGCAAAAAACGAGCTGTGCGTCGCCATGAATGTGGACTCGAGCATTTGTGCTACACCCGAGAAGGTCTGGACGATTGAGTGGAGGAGGGAGAAGGTGTGTTGGGTCGTGGTCTCGAGGGTCTGTGAAAGGGAAAGATTGTTGGGATCCATACCAGGATACATGCCCATTCCACCCATTCCGGGCATTCCGGGCATAGCGCCATACATACTGTTCATGCCGTTCATGCCATATCCACCATAGCTGCCGCCGTACCCAGTACCATAGCCACCGCCGTACCCAGTACCATAACCGCTGCTCATTCCGCCATAGCCGCCATACATACTTGAGCTGTATGGCGAGGACCCAAATCGTGAGTACGGAGAATATGGGGTGTTGTAGGGTGTAAGGTTAGATGTAGATGGGTTGGAGAGAGCTGGGGGACGTGCAGGCACTGAAGGTAGTTCTGAAGAGAAGGTCGTAGTTGAAGATGATGCGGGAGCGATGGTGGTTGCTGGGGCTGCTGCTGCTGTGCCCCGCTCCCAAGGTTTTGGTGGTGATGCCATAGCCGTGCTCACCGTTGCCAACGACGAAGGGACAGGATGCGTGTGAATTTCAGGTAGATCATTATGTAATTCGCCATAGGCTATTATTGGATGAATGCACGGTAACGGCGTCGAAGCTGAGTCACTTCGATAAATCTTAAAATGTGTTTTCAAAAATATGTGGGATAAGAGACCAGCCAGCGCTTACGGTACTAGCATAATCTATATGTGATGAGCGCGCAAGGAGCGCCTGCATAAGTATTACATTAACCATAACGACCGTACTACCGAAGCTAACTCATGATAAGGTATGCACTCTCTCAAGCTAGCAGTCTCGAACAGACGGCAATGCCCTTATACAACGCCGATCAAGATAGTAGGCTGCCTCGTGAGAGGCGATGACCGCATGCTCTTCCGAGGCTTACGTGTCCTGGGTTGCACAGGAGACGACCTGATGATTCGGGGTTGTCCATCCTTCCTAGGCCTCAAGGTTTTGTAGACCTGCCATTCCTTCCCCTCGACGGTGATGCTACCGAGGTGCTTGGTGTTCTCTTGATCCGCCGGTTTGGTTTGTATCTGCGGGGCTTTCGGGGAAGGCAGCGTCGGTCGAACTTGAGGCTTGAACGTAGTGTCGATTATGACAGTCCCATGTGCTCCAAGCATGGGGAGACCTTGAGAATTCAATCTCTCACCCCTAGGTCCAACTCCAAACTCTGATACATCCTCTTCCTCTTCAATAAAGATAGACGGCTCAGACGAGACAAAGTGAACATGTCTTTCAGTGCCCACACCAGCAGGACCATCCGCTGCCGGTGAAGTTGTGTTCATCTCTCTCACCACCCGTTCCTTTTCCTCGTGGCCGAGTAATTGTCCCACCTGAGTCAAAAATGTCTCGTGGTTCCTCTGGAACTCGTGCTCGAGAATTTGCTCTTTCGTCAAGTTCGTGGCAGAGCCGACGGGCCTCTCCAGTACATATCTCATGCGAACACCAGAGCTAGTCTGTTCGACAGTACGAGTGCCCAGTGAATTGTTGTGCCAGAAGTCGATCCCTTTGAAGCCGATGCGCTCGGGGCTACGCTGAAGTGGCTGGGGTCTCTTTACGGGTGTGCGAAGGACAGAGCCCGCGTCGAACGCATGCTGGGTCACAGGAGTCTGAGGAAAGCACGCCGTGGTGCTTGGCGGTGGTGTGGCGCCCCCCTCCTCGTCTATATCCATGCCGTTTTCTTCTTCATGATCGTTCGTGTCGTGTTCGGGGTAGATCCAGCGCGTATGAGCGCCAAGACCAGTAGCAGTTTGAGTGATCATTACAGACGTGCCATCTACATCACGACATCTGAGATAGTAGCCTTTGGCGTCGCCAACATTGGTCGGGCGTGTGACATTGGGAATGGAAGATACCATTGTGGAGTATCGTGATGTGCGATAGGGGTGTGAGTGATAAAAGTGAGTAAAGCGTTCAGTAAAAGTAGTGAGTTGGTAAACCTGGAGAGCTCGTTCAAATACGTTTTATCACAGGTGCTTCGACAGCCTGGGGTGTGGATGAAAGGATTCTTTTGGGCTTTGTTCACAATAGCTGGCGGCTTTGTCCACTCTTTTATATGCTTGAGCTGCCATTTCAGGACAGTTGTCCGGACCAGGGGCGGCCACGCTGTCCCAGACGGGTTCTTTGACTCAGTAAGTTGGGCGCAAAAGTGCTAGTGTGGCGGCCTTGGCGCTCGCAGAGCGCCCGGCGCAATTGGCATCGACGTGACTCAGTGTAAGTTTGTGGCAGACTGGCGTGGGAACCCGGTACATGAAGTGGCGTTGTAGTTTACCACGGTGGATAACTTGTCCGTTGATCAACTTCGTTATCATGACGCCGGACTGCATATGTGGACTAATGTTCTCTGTCATTTTGGGGACTCAACCAGACTCCACAAGCAGAATCCACAAGCTTGTGGTTTCAAACCATTACGATGATAAGTTCCTTTGAACCATTGAATTAACATGTCGTGAATAACTTTCATATATTGGTACGTTGCTAACTGCGAGACTGACTCGGACTACTGACGCCTGAAGCTGTTGCATACCCACTGTTACCAAGGCAAGGAAATCCAACGAGCTGGATTCCAAGGGATGCGAACCTTAGCTATAGTGGCCACAAGCTTTTTACTCGGAGCAACTTGTCATTTTTTCACTGGCTACCACTGATTGATGTCACCCCCTTCAAATTCAGTCATCCACATTTTTAAACTGAACCGCAGAAGGACAATATATTATCATGTCCACTACTTCGTCACGGAGTCCGAAACTCCTCAAGAAATCACATTGATCGACACAAGTAGCATGAATTGTGGACCATTTTACTCTCAGAACATCCACAGCCAGTGAAGCCATTAAAGGTCGCACTTCTATACGAGCGTGATGTTCCAAGACCATTACACAACATCTCAAGACACTCAGTCAACGCCCAACTACCTTGAAGAAATATGTTCTACAAATCGCCATACCGTCATATCCCCTTCTTTCCGCAAACACCTGCTGGATTCAGGATGTTGAACCCCTCGAAGAAGCCCATCTTTCGTCCCTCCATTTTTTCGCGTGATCCTTCACCGCGCGTCGACTCCTCTTCAAACGCTCGCAAGCCAAATTCCCCTGCATTCTTTGACTACAACGCACCTCCCACACAGGGTCTTCCGTATATCTTTGAGCCCGCCTCAACCAACACCGCCCGTGACAGGCATCTACCCAAGAATGTTGCTCCAAAAGTCTTCAAGAAGACCTCCCCCACCAAAGCTTTCCCCAGTCAAATCATCCACCCGCGCCGCAAACTCTGGCACAAGCGCTTCACTTACCATCTTACAGTCACTCGTCCTGGACTCCGTCGCAAAGGCCCCCGTTTCTACAACCCAGCTAAGCTAAAGCGCGAAAAAGCAGCGGTGGCCCTGGACAACCTCGAAAATGCCGCCTTCAAGACTATGCAAGCCGACGGTATGACCGCCGAAGATCGTATCTTCCTCAAGCAGCTTCAGGAGCTCCGCCTCGATCAATTGCGTGGGCACGCGCTTGGAGATGCTAGAGAGGTCATCGCACGCGCTGAAGCATTGGGTCCGCAACGTGAGTTGGAGCACGCGGAGCGCGACCGTCAAGCTGCCCTCCGATTGGAGGAGAATGCACGGAAGAAGAAGGAAGAGGAGGAATCTCGCCGTTTGGAGGAGCTGTGCCGCTTGGAGGAGGAACGTCAGCGGCAGGAGGAGGAGAAGCGTAGAAAAGAGGAGGCCAGGCGCAGACAGGAAGAACTTAGGCGTCGCGCAGAGGAGCAGGCGCGCCTTCGTGAGCAACGCGAACGCGAACTCCAAGCCAAACGAGAGGCTTTCCGTAAAGCTCAGGAGGAAGCTGAACGTCGAGCCCGTGAGCAAGCCGAGCAGCGCCTTCGGGCAGAAGCTCGACGACAGGAAAGGCAGCGCCAAGAAGAACTTCGTTGCAATAAAACTCAAGCGGATATTGTTGCTTTTTTCCAGCTCTACGATGCAAAGTGGCAAGAGCTCAAACTAAGCAAGAATTTGGCTTCAGTCATGCTCTGCGAGATGCCGTGGCCCACCTTTCAGCAAGGCTGTACATCCCCTGATGACATCTCGCGCCGCAGCATGGAGGAATTCATCTTCCACCCCCTCCGCCCAGGGATCGAGACCAAGTCGCGCAAGGACCGACTGAAGGCAGAGGTACTTCGATTCCACCCCGACAAATTTAACTCACACACCGTGCACAAATTGCGGGAGTGCGATAGGGGAAAGGCGATCGAAATTGCGGGAGCGCTGGCTAGAATGCTGACGAATATGATGGCTGAAGAGATTCAGAAAGAGACGGGTCGATAGTTGAATATATGCTGGAATACTGCAGTGATTCACATCTTTAGCGTAATTAGAATATGTCCATCATGCAATCATACGACTATCACACCATGTTTAACTTGGCAAGTGACCTCAGCCGCCCTCACTTTAATTAACGTGCCTTACAACTCATGTGACCAATCTTGTAAGCCGGCGGCATTCAATGGCCCTTTACCTTTTTCCGACATTCACTTACCTGCGGTTGCGGGTCACCGAACTTACCAACCAGTTTCGAGCAGACCGCAATGCCGACCGCCACGACAACGATGGCAACGGCAACTGTCTCAACGTCGGACAAGCTACCTAAACCTGTCCAGCAAAAGTTCGTCGACGACGGAGGCAACGCTACAATCGTTGTACAACCGTGCAGCGAGAACATTCCCTCACCGAGACGTCGCAATTACGTTCACATTATTAAGCGCTGCATTCGCGCTCCTCCCACCTCCCCTCGCGCCCTCGCCTGATCCCCTAGATGTCCACCGGAGAAAGTGGGACATCCTTCGCATCACCCTCGAGACCACCGTCTTCTGTTCTACTCCAGACCTCATTGACTTACCACAGCCGCTCCGAGAATCCCTACTCTTGTCTCCCCAATCATTCATTTCCAATTTATATGCTCGATCTCTCACTTTGTTTACTCCTTCGTCACTGTATCGAAAGCCGAGCTCCGCATTCCTCCCGCACCAAGTCGTTATCACACTCATAGCATCCAGCATCAAGGTAGATTGTTTAAATATCGGTCGCGACATTGCAGAAGACTGGCTATCGAAACGCGGCCAATATGAGTTCATACCTTCAACAGGTGAACCATATCACAAGGTGCTGGAACTCTACTGCCTGCATCTCTTGCCTCGTTTGGGTGAGTGGGAGTACGGCAAAGAATTTCTGTCAGATGAGAATGAACTCTCGTCTGACAAAAAACGCGTGAGTTTCATTTCATGAGCCTTGTGTTGCACTGAACAAGATATTTCCAGGAACTTCGTTTGGCGCTTGAGGCTCAACATGCTCAAGCGCTAGAGAGTACAGCGCGAGAGACGCCAAAACCCGAGCCTCCTCCCTCCCCTATACCAATACCTCCACTCCGCTCTCTATCCCCGGTATCCTCCTCTTCCTCTCTATCCACCACATCTACCCGCACCGCAGTCCCAGCATCTCCCCGTCCAAAACTTACCCGCCAACAATCCACATCTTCCACCTCTGCAGTTTCAGACGTCACGGTGACTAGATCCCCTCGCTACCGCCACAACCAAAGCGTGCCCCGAGAAAGTTCAAGCACCAGTGCCGTTCGCATCTCCCGCCTTCCTCCAGTCGACCACAATCTCTCGACTGCACCGCCCCCAACCTCCCTAGCACTCATTCGATCTTATTTCAACCACCATTTCACCGCAAACAGAATAGCCACTCTATCGGTTTTGTTCTTCCTAATTCCCATACTGACTTTGATCCTTCGGAGACGGCGGCGCTTAGAGACACCTGCGGACTTGGTACGGAGGAGGTTATTGGAAGCACGTGGCGATTCGATTGTGAGGCGGTTATGGAATGAGTTGGTGAGGGCAGTTTTAGATACTGTTAAGATGGGTGGCGGGGGACTTGTATAACTTACGGTGCGTTTGCTTAGTATCAGTCTTCCTAGCCAGACTGTATGGGATCTATAAGGTATTACACAAGAGTCTCATTCGAACTTTTAACATCTCGTTGGATAGGACGATGGAAACCTTCACTTGGCTCATCGAGATATTCGTCTTGTCGCCTGCATTTCTGCCTGCGATACTCTGTGAACGTGCCTCTCCACGAGACGGATGGTTGGCTTTCTTCCTCTCGCTTGCAAAAACACAAGATGATACTCATTGTTTTTCGCGAGGTCTTCAAAAGTATGGTGTACCGCCTTTTTCGCGTCCTTTCCTGTGAATATCATCAGCGCAGTCACGCGTAGGAGCTCCGAAGCAAGCACGAACATAATTCCCCTTCAATCTCTACCAAGTCCCCATAAGTAACTGGAGCGATTTGGTCGTCAGCTACAACAGTGAAATCTATGATCTGGCCGATCCATCGTCCAGATGCAGATACGATCGCGTTCGTCAGTTGCGACTCTGTACACGTTGATTTATACGTCAGGTTAAGTGAGCCACTTCTTCAGCAGGCATCTCAGTTGCTAAGTCACAACTCAATCATCTGATAACTCACTCTCGCATATGAAGGTATTTGATGACGGGTAGTCCGTCGTCTGGCGCAAAGCCTTTGACGACGACGACATCGCCAATGCGGTATCTCTACATGCCGTTGCGGGTCGTCAAGACAGGCTCATAATGTCCTCCAGTTTCTAGCTCCCACTGCGGCAGGAATGAGTACACAAAGTCGGAATGTAGTAGATAGTTCTTACAGCGGACAATACACGCTCAGAAGGCTCGTTGGAACGCAAGTCCAGATACTCGGTGACCCCATCTATGGGCACCACCTTGAAGTCGGTATTAAGGTTGCCGTTGAAATATGGTACGGTGATAAAACATTCTGAGCTGCCATAACAAGGAGCTTGCATCGTGACAGAAGGTCCGAGGATATGAGTAACCTTGTGTCGATCAATTAGTTGTATAGTAAATCTTCTACATTTGACGTGCCATTCGAGCTGGTTTGCAATGTATATATTATGAAAATGGCTGTCTTGGATGACGATGTTCATAACCTTCATTATGGTGGTGCGTATTCGTTCATCTTGTTATAAATACTGACTTTGTGTAAGAATTTCACACATGCGGACATGAAAACAAGCACCCCATCCATTCAGTCCTCGATAGCGAGGTTTCCAATCTTGCAGCAAGTCACAAAATAGAAGGACTTGCCTCTTTCTCGTCAAAGTTGTTCGTGTGTCCGCAACGCGATACAGCTCCGTATTATCTTGTGGACCCACAAGGTTTCGATCCAACAAGTAAGTCAGGATTGATGGGTGGTGTTGGGTCATCTCTAATGTGGCTGCAGACTTCAGATTACACACTCCATGGCGTTATACGGGACATGCCTTTTCATTCTCGTTCTCTAGACGACGATGATCAAAAGGAGATATTGACTGTTGTGGAGTTTACTGGTCAGTGTTTAACCCAGTGTAGCAGCGCTCAAGGGCTCGAAGACGCCAGAGGATTTGTTGGGTGCGTTTCGGTGAGGTCCTGCCATGTTCGTGGCTTCAGAAGGTTGCTGGAGGTCCGCAACCGTCCCAGTGTCCAATATCTGAAAGGGGGAGTAACCAGTAATATTTAGTGTCTGGGATGCATTCTGATATGACGACTTAGGTTAGATTGAAACGTGGACGACTATATTAGACTCACCCACATGGCCCCAATGAACGCCCTGAAATCGAGCACCACATGGTAAGTTACCACAGGCTGTGAGTACTAATTTGGTGACAAGCCTTTGTAGTGGATTGGGTTGCCCAGAACAAATGCTATCCTCTACAACAGATTGCTCCGATCATTTCACACTCGGGCTGTCGCCCATTGAGACCTGTCCGCGCTCGCAAAAAGCAATTGAACTCATACCAGTACCCCCATGAGAACCAGCCACGATCGAGTTTAGCGTGATATCCTGAAATTCCGAAGGTCAGATCTTGAGACACGGCTTGAGCACAAACATCTGAATAGGCTAGACAATTTGAAGAATGCTGAAATAAATCTTGTCGCGCAAGATGAGTCCTGCGTGAGAAATGATGAGGAGTAGATGAATCAATGTACCATGAGCGTCGGAAATAGCGAGCCACCGTTGAAACGTCGAAGCTTAAACAGGACACAACAGCAAAACTGGGACATGTGCCGGTGGGTTAATTGGTGGACTCGATATGAATCAAGGTACGGTTCGGTGTTAAATGTGAATTGAAACCTGTTCGTGATGGCCAAACCGCGTGCTGGGGAGGTTCGGTTCCATCGGATACCATGCATGCCGGGGGGCAGTTAGTGTTAACCCAATCATAGAACTGGCGAAGATGACGGAGTACATCCGAATTAGGAATGCCGTAACATGATCTACAAAGAACGTGCGTTGATCGATCGGCTACTTGGCTATGACTCGGACTCGTACTTTACTACAGTCCGCGTGCATATAATTCTGTAGTTTTCTCTGCATCACCGACTCGGACTAGGCCGGCCGTATAATGGCTTGGAAACCCGTCTGTTTCATCGTGAGCATGCGCGTTACAGATAAAAAAAAGTACGCGACTGATCAGATGCGGCTTATAAGCTTTAAACATGTTCCCTTTCTAGTTGATTTTATACAACAGTAATTGCTGTATCTCACTATAAAAGCGCTGGATAGTATACACCTGTACGTATACAAACGCCATCGTACACAAATTTAAAGTCCCTTGATCCCAGCATGACCTACATATCAAACGGTCCCTCTAATTGGCCTAATCTCGAATGGAGTCTTAGGTACAACTATTTTATAGGTTCGTCCCATGATGTTAGTGATATCTCATTGTCATTGACTGTGGTTTCGCAGTTGCGTCCTTGACCATAGTGATATATGATTGGGGTGAGCAAGATAATGCCTTCAGAGGGAGACCATTGGTCTAAATATGCTTTCAAGTACTTACGTTTGCACAAGAGGCAAGTTGGTACCATCACGGTGCAGCCATCTCACTAAGATTGAACGACAGTTCGAACTAATATTGGTGAGCAAAATACTATATCAGAAGCAAACACTGGGGTAATACAGTCGATTTGGGGCAGAAGCAACGCTGCTCTCTTATGACTGTTCTTTATGTTTGCGTGCGTATTTGATATCATGAATGCAGTTGTCAAGTTGTGCTGACTTTGCCATATGCTAGGTTCGCTACAGTGGAATACTCGTTTCAATGTATGTTTTCAACGCTACTAGCCAGTGTACTGCGCCAACAAGCCATCTTTCACAACCAGCATCTACATACTGTGTACGTGTGCTCATAGTATACGTTCGTTTCTTCTGACTGATAGCATGCAGTGTATTTCCAAGTCTCGATTACAGATGCAGTGGGTATTCTTCGCCGTTGTCTGCCATTCCCATTCAACTACTAATTGCGCTCCTACATAGGGGTGAGTGATATCTCGCCAGCTTTTATCTTCAAGTCAACAACTTCAACAGCTGTGAGTTGATTCGAAGTATCTATTTTTTTTTTTTTTTTTTTTTTTGCATCAGATTGAGTCCTTTGGGGTCGTAGACCCTATGTTGGACATTTCTCGTCATATGCTTTTCCCTCGTATATGTTTGGTGATATGGTACTGTCGTACTGTGTTTTCGAACGCGTACTCCCCACGCCATCTGGTAGGATGACGCAAGTAAGCACAAAAGGAAGCTGCAACGAAGAAGGTTAGTAGATGATGTTAGGCGAGATGGACTTGCGATTGTTTTGATTCGATCGCGGCATGCTGGATTTGCTACTGGTTCGGGTTGGGGTTACTTGTCTCTACTGGTCCTTCTGAGGTGTTGACAGTGTCGCAGGAGGTGCGGCTCTCCTTTCGTCGTGGAGTAGTTCGGTTGGTGGTTGGTGTTGGTACATGGTATGTGGTGGTGGTGGTACATGAGTTGGTGCTGTTGTTGATTATGTTGGTTATGTTCGGTGTTATGTGCAGGTCGAGTCGAGTCTAATGTAGGGTATGGTAGTATATTATTCAGTGTTTTTACAGCTCACCAAAGGTCGTTTTGAAGCGTCCGGTACTGTTGATGAAGCGGCTGAGATGGGGAATTGCTTTGTCGGAGGTGAGAAGATATGCTAACGAGGTAGCGTCACGTCTTAAAGCATTCGAGAGAGTGTGTCGCTCATGTCGGTATTGGGGGCAGTCAAAGAGGTAATGGTGAATCGTTTCGTTGGTGCCGGGGCATATTGGACAGTGGGGCGTGTCACTTCTGTTGATGCGATGCAGGTGCTGATTGAGGGGGATGTGTCGGGTTCGGAATTGGATGTAGAGGCTGGACGTGCACTTAGGTAGTCCATCGACGAGCTTGATAAACTTCTCCGAGGGCATGGATGGGTCGATGTTGCATGTTCGGGCGTATCGGGGGGATTTCTCCCAGAGCGTCTTCCACTGGTCGCGCGATTTTGTTTTCTGGGCTGCTCTAAGCGCTGCTGTGCTGCGTTTGAGTTGGTGTCCTCTTAGATATTTGGGTAGGAGGCGTGTTGGGCTATTGTGATTCCTGCCTTGTGCAGCCAATTTGGCTTCTTTGTCTGCTAGTTCGTTCCCTGCGACATTGACGTGACCTGGTATCCACCTTACTGTGAGTTTGAAGTCTTCTTGCGCTTCTTGTCGTTTGGCTAGTCGATGAGTTAGTCGTTCAAATTGATCCGCAATATACCCGCTTCCTGTCTTGTCCATTACTTCGCCGGTTTGAATTGCTGCTTGATTGTCTACTAAAATTGAGGCTGGATAGGTGATGTTCCGTTCTGTGGCTAGGAGGTGAGCTGCAAGAGTGAGTCCGATTAGTTCACCTTCATAGACGGTGTGGTCCTTGTCGCTTCCTAGATGGTACCTTAGCGTGCGTGGGTCCTGTCCGCTCCTTATTAGAGTTGCTGCTGCGCCTATTCCACCTCGATAACCGGAGCCGTCGCTGAAGATTTGGATGATGTCTTTAAGGTCCTTCTGTTCCTTTACCGCGTCTTGTTTCGTCTTTGCTATCCTCGTTTGATATACACTTTTCCCTGATGGCCCTGTTGTCGTTTTGACTGGGTCTATTGTTTCCGTGTCGCCTGGAAAGATGCGGAAGGTGTGAAGAAGATTATGTAGGGACGATCGATGACTTTGTACGTTGTGATTAGCTATCCATACGAGTTTCTTGTGTAGCGGGTGGGATTGCGGGAGGGAGGCTAGTCGAACTGTGGCTCGATGACATATCTTTTGCATTAGGAGGGCAATCGGGAGGAGGTTGGCATGTGCTTCTAGGGAGTCTGTTGGGGCAGTTCGCATGGCTCCGGTGATGCTGATGGCTGCTATCCGCTGGACGGTCGTTAGTCGGTCTGCAATTCCTTTGGATCCTTTTTGCATCCCTCCTATGCTGTCCTTGAAGAGAGGTCTGAACCAGATGTCGGCTCCGTACGTGAACTTGGGTATCGCTACACTTTGATATAGTTGACGCATGAGTTTGGTGGGGATGCCCATTGATGATCTAGATAAACGACGGATCAGTAGAACATATTCCATACCTTTCGCTACTGCATATGCTGCGTGCTCCTTCCAGGTGAGTTCTTGGTCCACTATAATACCTAGAAAGCGAGTGTGGTGACAGGGTTGGATGATGGTGCCGTTGAGAGTGATAGGGTTTCGTTTTTTGATCTTGCTGCGAGTGAAATCCATTAGGGCGAATTTGGATGTTTCGAACTTTGAGTTGTGCTCTCTTGACCATTGGTAGCCTCCTCCCTCGCGTTCTAACATGTCTTTCAGGATGGCGTGTGTCTCTTCGAATGTGTTGGCTACCGCAATATAGGCTGTGTCGTCCACGAATGCAAGGGCAACCTCTTCGCGTCCTCTTCCTATGCGTCCTTTGGCTATATCCACGAGGTCCGAGTTATATATTAGATAGCAGATCATCGATAGAGGGTCGCCTTGACCAATTCCATTATTGACGGGGAACCATTCGGAGGTGAAGTCGTCGAACTTGAGTTGGGTGCGTCGTCCTGTTAGCATCCGCTTCGTAAATTCTATGAGTTCCAGTGGTAGCCGTCGTTTTCTCATGTTGTGGATGAGTCTGTCAGTAACTGCATTTGGGAATGCGCCTTCTATGTCCAGGAACAAGACTGATGCTACTTTTTTCGATCGCCAGGCGTCTTTAATCGTCGCTTCAAGTAGGTGCACCGAGTCGGTGGTGGATCGTCCCGGTCGCCCTCCAAAGTGATTCGCTGGGAGAAGGTGGTATTTTTCGAGCGTGTGTGTGACTTGACGTGTGACGATGGCCGTGAGGAGTTTGCAGGTGGTGTTAATGAGTGCGATCGGTCTATATGCTTTTGGGATGGAGTAGTCGGCCTTTCCAGGTTTTCGTAGAACTATTGTGGTGAAGTCCTTCCAGGGTTCAAAGTATGTACGATGCGTGAAGACTGCATTAAAAAGGTGAGTGAGGTAAGGGATGAGGGTGGAAGCATTGCGTTTGAATACTATATTACAGACTCCGTCAGGACCTGGGGCTTTGAATGGACTGGTGTTAGTAATGGCTTGTCGGACGTCTCCTTCTTCGATGGGCTTGAACGGAGTGACTGGGTCTGGGTATTTGAAGTTAGCTGGGATGTTGCTTGAGGCTGGAGCCGGCGGGAAGAATGCTTGGGCGAGGATGGTGCTTTTCTCGTCGTTTGTTACTGCTTCTCTGAGTGAACCGTCGGCGTTTTTGACTTGGAGTACTGGGATTCGTGCTTTACTGCCGTCGCTGCTTGGGGTTGTGATATATTTGTTTGCTATCCATATTTCCCGCTGGGTGGCTTCCTCTAGAAACTGTGTCCAATGCTCTTTCTTGGCTTTGTAGATGGCGTCGGATACTTTGTTGCGGAATATCCTGTGTTCTTCGTGTGACGGGTGATCTCTTAGCGCTCGAAATTTGTAGGATAATTCACTCAGCTCGTGTTTTCTCTCTAACATCTTGGTGAGGTCATGCGACCACCATCTTTTAGCATGCGGGTTCGGTCTAGATCTAGGTACTTTCTCCTCGATGACTTCTTGCAGGGTCTTTGCTAGTGCTTTTGCTGCCGTTTGGAATTCGTCTTGGGATGTAAGGATAGCTGGGGGTGGGATCTTTCTTAACTTTTCCTTTAGGCAGATGTCGAATTTTTCCCAGTCGGTTTCGCGGTAGTTGTAGCTTATGGTCGTAGTTGCTTGAGGGAGTTCTAGATCGAGTGTGCTTAGAATAGGGACGTGGTCAGTCTTCGGTGCTCGGAGTTGGGGAGCCGTGTCGCATATGATGAATGAATCCAAGGTGTTGTCAGAGCAGAGAACATTGTCGGGACGGGTCCAGTTGCCGGTACTCGTAGATTGCAGGGTTGGCTTGTCCTTGGGTAACGCTTGGCACATTCCGTATTCCGCCATTAGTTCTAACCACGCTTGGGCTTTGGTTTGAGCGTCTCTTGGTTCAAACAGGTGACGGTTCCGTTCTTCTTCCCATAGCGGGTGGTGACAGTTAAAGTCGCCTAGCCATACTATGTGGTCAGTTGCTGATGGTCGGACGGTCCTTATGTTGGTTTCGAGGTACTGCTGGATTGCTTGAGGGGAGTCCTGTTTGTCGCCATCGTTGTAGATATTAAATAGTGTTAGTTTCCCAAAGGCGCCATCGAATTGGATTACAACTATATCTGTGGAGGGGAAGGGAAGTTGACGCCAGCTGTTAGTGTTAATACGTTTGTTTACAAGTGTTACTGCCCGTGAGCGCTTGTTTTGGGTGTAACGGTGAGTGGGATATACTACATGCCAGTCTGGGGTGACTCGTGTATTACCTTTTGTGTCGATGGTGGGTTCTTGTAAGGCTACTATGTCCCAGTCTCGTGCTGTCGTGGGTCCGCTAAGGACACAGTGTTGAGCATCAGATGAGGTGTTGAGATTTTGCTGCCATATACGCAACCGTGTCGCTGAGTTGTCAGGTGTGTCAATCATTCCCAGTTGACAATGGGTTGGTTTTCTGTCGTGTAATCCAGGGTGCTGAAGAAGTCTTGTGTTTGTTGCTGTTGGTTGTGGCGAGGGGGGGAGCGGTTGTGGGCGAAGCCACGTGATGGTGGTCCACCACGTCCAGATCGGTGATTTTGTCTGTTCGGGTATGAGTCCAGCGTGCGCTGTGTAAGAGGCGGCGGTTGTTCATTCGGTGGTGGTGCAGGTTTACGGTATGGGGCAGGTTTCGGGGGTGCTGCTACTTGGGTCCATTCTTCGTTCGTTGGAAAGAATGGCATACTGTTGTCAGGGTAGCGTTTATCCATGTCGTCGCATTTCTTCTTGAAGAGAGGGCAGTCGCGACTCCAGCTTGAGTGGTCTTCCGTTTCGCATGACGTACAATAATTCTTGTCATTGGTGGTGCAGTCATTGGAGCGGTGGTTGTTCCCGCAGTTTGCACATGTGTCACCTTTTGCTATGCATTCACGAGCGATGTGGCCGAAGTGTTGGCATTTGGCGCAGCGGATTGGTTCGCGTCTGTTTTTCTTTGGCCAAAGTTTGAGTTGGTAGAAGGTGATGCCGTCTCTGATTGCGGTGTTCGCCTCCATTGGTTCTGTGAAATTGATTAGTACATGGGCTACTTGCTGGCTACTCTTTCTCTTTTCTGCCGGCTTGATCCAACGAGCTGAAGTGAGCGATCCTTTTGTCCAGTTGTTTTCATCCTCTAGCGTTCTAAGGGCAGTGTCGCTTGTTGGGTTGAAAGTGACTGGCATGAAAGGTATCACTACAGGGTAGGTGCGCTCCTTGATTGTGGCGTCTGGGTCGAGGTTCTTCAGGAGGAGGTTTTTCGTTTCTTCATTGGTGCGGATGTAGATAACGGCTTCCTTCGTTTTGAATTCAATAGTCATTCCTCCCTGTTTGAATTGTGTGACTGCCTTCATTTCAAGGTCGACGTCGTCCTCTTTGGGTATGGCTGCCAGGGCTTTGTGGACTCTTTCAACGAGCTGGGCATGGGAGCTTTTCCCCGCCGCTAGCGGACAGTTAGCTGGGAAATCGATTAGTAGTTGCCTTTCCTTGATTGCTTCTCTTGCTAGTCGCTGAATTTGTTGGGATTGCTGTGCTGGGTCCTGGTGGGTTGAGTGTCCCGTTTTCAACGTCTTCAACGTTTCGGCGTACGATGGTTTGAGGAAGGGGGAGTCTGATACTTGTGTTGCGAGCTTGTCCACAGAGCTTTGAACTTTCGTAAGCTGGGAGTCTTGAGCTAGGACTTTGGCATTGAGTTCCGTCGTGGCCTTGCTGATGGCTTCTTCTGCTTCTTGGAGTTTGGCTACTTGAGGGGAGATTGATGCTACTACTAACTTGGCTATGATTTCTGCTGTTTCATCGTTAGTTTTCTCTTGCATAATGAAGACTACTGCTCTAATGGCTGTTACGGCCGGTAGTGAGACTCCGCTGAGTTGAGTGACGTGCAGGAGAGTTTCGGTTAGCGTGTTTACGGTGTAGGGTTTACCTTTGATTGATAGAGCGGTGCGCTCGAGGTACTTCTTGCCTGTATCCGCATTGTGGACTTCGTTGGTCAGTTCCATGATTTCCTGAGTAGTTAGTTTGGGCGGAGCCCGTCTATTGGCTGTAGCCATCGGTCCGTTGGTGGCTGGGGTCTCAGCTCGGTTTGAGTCGATTCCTTGGCCGTCTAGAGTGGTTTGAAGCGTGTTTTTGGTGGTTTTTCTTGTTTGTGAGGAGAGGGTAAGTGGCATTAGTTGAATCTAGAGTATGAAGGTTGGTTAGTGTTGGTTAACGAGGCGGTGAGGCGCCGTTGGGCGCCTGGTGGTTGAAGTTTTTCTGGGGTCTTAGTCGGGGTGCCACCTGGTGTTAAACCAAGAGGCGATCGAAGTATCTATTTAAACAACGCACACCAATGACTGGGTTTTCAGGCAACATTCTGTGGTTCATGTTGGTATGGACGTCTCTGATAATTAATGCCATGCTGGGAGGTGAGTGTGGCCCCTAGTGATATTAACACGACTGAAATTTTTGCAAGTCATCATGGCAACTCGGATACATGCTATGTACCAAGGATCCAAGAGGATACTCATCTTTCTCATTGTGGTCTTACTGGCTTGTACGATTGCCTCCATGGTTATGGCGGTGATAGGGAACATCGGTGCTTCAGGAGGTAAGCTCAAATCACGAATGAAATCCTCAGAACTCATGCACAAATATTAGTGGAGATGATCCTTTCTGGCAACCATCAGTGTTTCGAAAATATGACCGCAGAGGATGGACGTCTGAATACCGAGACTACGGTACCCACCACTGTATGGGAGATCCTTGCCTTGTGTCTTGCAGTCTGGATTGTTATCAAACACTTCCGTGAACTGCAAAAATCGCCGACAGGGGCGAATATTAGAGAGTGTCTTATGGTTTTAATGAGGGGTCATATGCTATACTTTGTAGTGTGAGTTCAAGCGATTTTGATATTATTGCCTCACTGAAGTCGTGGATGTGCTAGCTTTGTCGCTGTGTCTTGCTTCAACCTCGGCACGCTGTCTCAGAATCTCTCGGTAAGCCGACTGTTCGCTATCACCTGTATACTGCTCACCATTGCTCAAGCACTTTTCTGCGGCAGTCGGTTTTTATAACGGTATTGGCGAAGTTGCCCAGGCCATGCAGATGTTTGTGCTAGGACCGCGTCTCATCCTTAACATTCGAGAATATCACGCTCAGCGCGTGGAGAGCTCTGACGAAGCAACTTGCTTCACCACAATCGATTTCCCTTAGTTGTACAGGGCAGATAATGGATCGTCTATTAAGGAGATTTTCGATGTCTAGGATAACTTTTGCGACATCAGACAATAAAGAAGCAGACTGCCGAGAAGAACGTCAACTTCAGCGCACTACGCCACGCGCCTGGGAAGATTGAATTTTTTTGCTTTGCACCATACGATCAGCGTGATCAGATGCGTGAAGGCCGCAAGAATCAGATTTGAGCGTTCTCGACGGAACGTTCAACTTCGAGTCTGCTTACAAAGCCAATTCCCCAAAACAGCACCTTCGGCCAGGACATCGGAAATGAGATCGCGTGGAGTGTACATGTGGGTGGTGAGCCTGTGAACAGAATCAACTAATGAACAGATGGGCAGTGAGCACTGGTCGGACATGAATTCATCAGTCAAATCGAGAGTCATTGGTCGCAGACCGAACGTGGAGACTTGGCTGAAGAGACGATCAAAAACGTATGGACCTGATAGAACGACACATATTCAGGAGATAGCGCAGCTGAGAAGACGTACAAGCTCGACGAAGAAAACCAGTGACAGATTTTCTGGAGCAATTACGGCAGCTAGTGAATGTATGAGGCAACGAATACACCCCTTCACCCGTTTAGAGAGGTCAGATTGAAAAGAGACAAACCCTTATGCTGATCCAAAATAAATCCGACAGAACATAATGGCATCGACATAAAGTACGAAGACAATTGTTCTGCAGCATGTTATAGACTATGAAGCTAGAGCACTGAGATGCAATGCTTCTCGTACAGCTTCCCTCTGCGTTGCCTTTGTTTGTTCAAATGGCTTCTTCCTCAACACCTACGTCGACTGCCGTGAACCAAGGCAATCCTAGTAATTTCAACTTCGAGAGAGTTACGTAGAGCGGGCAAGGGCTTAGGTGGAGTAGAAACTGATCGATCGTGATCGAGTACCCAAGAGTCGTTCAAGGTGATATGCGATAGAGATGCATGAAGGCTGTGAAAGCATTGGGCGGTGTCAGGGAAGACATAAATGCAACATAACATGACATTCATTCGATGCAAAACTCCAAGCTCCAGAGCTCCATCATCCAACTTCCATTCAACAAGCATGTAGAACATATACCGAGCGACATGATGAGATATGATAGCTGCGTCCAGCATGCAATAAGGTTTATCCGATAAACATATAGACGATACACCAAGCAATAATGAAGAGAGCACCCTGAGAAAAAGAAACATTCGATGCAAAAGGAGTGTGGATGTTGTACAATGATTCGACCCAATATATGAAAGAATCAAACAAGTATCGTAGTCGTAAAGATAGACAAGGTTCGTGAAGAATCGGAGAAAATACTAGATCACAGCAACAAGAAGTTAGCAACAGTGGCAGACACAGGCCAAGGGTGACGTACAATCGTACGCTAGACTATGTCGCGTTGCGGGCAGGAACAATATACCCGTAGACCAATTTCTTCGGGTCTTGGAGTGAACTTGCGACGTCCCTTCTTAGCGCGGGCCTTGCTTTCAAGGAGCGATCCGCATGTCGCTTGATGCCGATCCAAAGAGTCGGATCTCGACCACCGCTTTCCGCAATAAGGGCATTCGCAAGACGTAGTATAGTGGACGCTCTCAATGTGACGGCCCAAACTGAGTATCGCCTCTGATCTTGAGCAATCCTCGAATTTGCAGGCAGCCGTGTCTGTGGATTTGACACCGGGCCAGTGCAACAGGTGATATGCGACGCGGGCCTTGTTCATTTCTACAGACAGCCCGCAAGGCTGGTTCGTCCAACCGCATGCTCGTACGCAAGTCATCCCTGCGGGTAGTTCGTTTGTAATCTTGACGGACCGCTTGGAGTAGGAATCGTCGAGTTCCATCGCTCCAAATCTCCTCGTTCGAAGAAGATTACCGTGGGCATCATGAGTCCTGCGGCTGCTGATATCTACCGGCTTCGGGTCGTGAACGGGCATAGCCATGACCACGGCAGTGGTGTCCGCTAGTCTGTAACAACCAAACTTCCCCTCTCTGATTTCTTCGTCGTCGTCATCCAGGCATCTGCGCTTGTGGGTGATTAGCGCGGGAGATGAACTGGAACCATCTTCCTCGGATTTAACGGTATGGCGAGTTTTACGCTTGGAACGTTTGGCGTACATCGGCCCATTTGGAACGGAGGAAGATGGCTCCAAGCTGCTGTCATCACTCAGATACATTGTCGCGTCAGAGTCAGACGCGGACGGCAAAAAGGTTTCGGTATCCGACATCGTGTCCGTGATGGCACTAGTGTATGCGTTGCCGGTATAATCCGTTATCGAGGAGACAGACACTTCAGCCTGCAAATGCGTACTTTGCTCTTGAGAGAATGGAGGTCGGGGGCCATATGCGCGGGGATCCCCCGCTGCCCAAAGCTCTAGGTCGACAACAGTGGGAAAGTAATTTTGAGCAAAATTAGGTCCATTCGCATACGAACCACCATCATAGCCAGACTGGGACCATACGGGGACTTCCAGCGACGCTTGGGGGACGGAAGAGGGCTGCTGAGAATAGTATTGGCTCGGATCGATTGGGGGAAGCTGGGGGAGACCAGCCACCGCAGCGGTGAACTGGTTCAATGTTGGAAACGACATCTGAGTATTTGGAACATCCGGTAAAGATGCTAAAGACCTAGAAAACCGAATGAGCAATGGTGGACACTTAGTTGGGGTGGCACGTACCAGTGGTACGCCTTTAGGTATTCATCTTCCTCGCAGGCCCGAGCCCATCTGCCACAGGCCGTCAGTTGAGCCGATGTTTAGATTGAGGTGGAACCACAGGCTCAGCCCGGATGGCGGCCACATCTTCGGGATGAAATGACTCTTGGACGTCTTCCGAGACCGTGTTAGCGATGACTTCTGTGTGGATTCCAGGTTGAGGAAACGAAAGGATAGACCCGCTAAAAAAAATTATGAGATGGACCGCGTCATCCGACTCGAGATTGAATACTAACCTATCCAACGACATCTGAAGACTGTCGTATGAGGCACTAAATGCGAAAGGCATCATCAGCATATGGATATACCGAGTCAATATGTGAGTAGACTTACCTAGACATATCAATGGTTTGAACAAGCAATATCAAATGGCTAAGATGAAGTGGCAAGGGAAGGAGGACGAGAGATAGAGAAGTGAAGGAGAGAATGCCAGGTTTTTAACCTCACAACATGTGGAGAAGCGCTATACAAAGCACGCCTGTGGACGAGCATTGTGCCCCGACAACATGTCGCAAAAAGGCAAGCGTGTGTGGTCGCTTCACCATAGGAAACATATCTGTGGCGTCTATTCAACTGCTTTGAAGCACCATGCGTGCATCAATCCACAAAAGCACAAACTTGTCACCAAACACCGCTCATCCTTTGATAGACCTAGACGCGCGTGGGGCGATGAAGTAAGTACTGGCGCTTCCTCGCTAAAGGATATGACATTACTAGTGCGTAGTGCGTGCAACAGTATAAATCCATCAAGGTTCGAAGTATCGCAACAATGAGATTTTCGTGAAGGATGGTCACGGCACACTCGACTACAACCGCGAGCTTTGGCAGTGGTACCAGCTTGAGACAGCAACAAGCGACCTCCAGTACAAGCGGGCAGCTGAATATTGCGCGGTAGAGGAACATAATATGTGAAGGCGCGTAGCACCCCAGGCCTGAAACTTCTGATATATGTAGTGTCAGTTGCATGTTTAATTGTAAACGTGCAAAGATACTTACCTTCACTATTCATTGCGTTGTGACCCAGCCTAGTCCTTGCCGCTGAGGTGAGAATTGGAGGCTTTGATATCACCTAACCACTCAATGGACACCGGAATACTTTTTCAGATCGAAACCATGGTTTGACATTAGCGTTTATGTGAAAATATTAGGAGTTAGGTAAAAATACAACAGAGAGAACGCAGCCCGTAATACCTTCATTATTATGATATGAGGGTAGCATTCTCTGGACTAGATATCAACAGCTTCATTTCAAGTTGAAGATACATCACATATTTGTTCAGCCTGAAATAGGCATATCAACACGCGCGCGACTTTGGTTATTCCAATTCTGTCGGAGGCAGAAAGTCAGGGATTTGGCCAGTCTGGGACAGAGTCTGGGACAAAGTATGGGAGGAAGTATGGGAGAAAGTACGGGACATCGGCACCTCCGAGCGGAATCCAAACTCCGTTCGATGTTTCAAACGACCATGTCAATCAATCCCGCCAACGTGCCCGCCGTCACCGCCGCCTAACATCTCACTGGAATATTAATGCTGCATGTTCATGCTTCGCCTCAACTCTGCCCGCCACAACTCTGCCCGCCACTCTCCTTGCTCACTCATCTCCTTGCTCACCCATCTCCTTACCCGCCCCTCTCCTTTTTGAAACATTCATACTCCGCTTGAAGGTGCCGATGTTAAGGACCGAATCAATATATGACATAGTAATGAGCTCGTTCTGTTGCTGTATGGCTGCAAAAATACTCGCAACGACCATGGAAGTAAGTCCTTAGTGTCATTACAGACATTAAGGAAGCGTGAGGAACAGTGTCGGAAGTCGGTCCTTGGCGCCGCTGCAGACAGTGAGGAAGTGTGAGAAACAGTGACGGATACAGAATTATTCATACTCCGCTTGGAGGTGCCAATGGGCTTGCTGATGTCCCAGACTTTGTCCCATACTTTGTCCCAGACCAGCCATTTCAGAGACGCCCTCATCGGAGGCATGAAGCTGCTCGCATAATACAAGTTTTGTGGTGATATCAGAATTTGCCGTGGTAAATCAGTTGTGCTAGAGTGCAAATGACGACTCAGAGCGAAGCGTATAGACTCGTAACCAGTCTGGACTACATCTTTGATATTGTTAAGTGTTTGACGTAGTCAGACTGGTTGATCTCGGAGAAATTTGGCAGGAGAAGTGAGGAGTTTGAAATTTCACACATGCCGGTGATGCCGGTGTAGGTAATCGTTGTGTCTGTACAGCAGGACCCCTGAAGCTCCCTATAAGGTCTGTCCGTCCAGAACCCCAAAATCAGCCCTAAAAAATGCAACTTTTCGGCCGTCAAAAATGCTAAGTCGGATAGAGGTCAGTGGTCACACAGTGTGACCTCTGCCAAATTGTGACATTTCCGCGTTGTGCACCGTGCAATACTGGGAGTACATAAACAAGGTATGTTCAAGTTAGTGCTTGGGGATATCTAACTTCTAACTGGCTTCTTAGACAATCCTTTCCTCACTGCTGGAAGCTTCAGTATAACCCTCTTCACCGAGGGACGTTGGAGCAGGGGACCCCTAGGCAGGAGGTCAGGTGGCTGAGGTGTTTGGCGGTGTTTAGAGCAGAGTCGTGGGGTTTAAGCAAGGGTTTGGGCGTGGGTAGCACACATCATCAGTTTGTCGAGTCCAGCGTACGCAATAGCAGAGCCCACTCCAACTGGTGAACAGAGCGAGATCCTCTCACAGAGTCACTACCATTCCTTCGAGTTTTCAGAGCCCAGAGCAGAGTCAAGAGCAGAGTCCAGAGCTACAGAGCCAGAGCCGAGTATAGAACCAATCCAGAACAAGTATCAAGCCTCGTGTCAGAACACGAGGAAACCGCATGAAGCATAGCATTTTCTCTTCATAAGTATACACCTAATTTTTTCTCAATGCAACCCAACAGTAGCCAAACTGCATCCTCAACTGAAGAAACTCCCACCAAGGGACAAGAAGGGTCGTTTCAGCAAGAAAAACACTAAAGACGCAGATCTCTCAGACAGTACATTTCCTTCATCAGACTCATCACCTCTCGACACCCCAGAAACCAACCATCATGCATTAGAGTTCCTACAAGAACAAGCCGAGGAGTCAGAGCACGAAGTAGTGCAGCAGTTAGCAAACAACAAAGAAGACGATAAGGAATCCATAACAGGAGCACCAGACCCGTCTACAATTCTTTTCTCAGAGCAACAACCCCAAAGTCTAGCACACACAAGCGTCTTAGCGCTAGAACAACTTCCATTTCCACACAAGCAACAACTGAGTCCCCCTAGAGAGAGAAGACCGTTCCCTAGCTTCATACAAGCAAAACCCAGAGCCATGAAAGCTACTATCCCCGCAGCCCCAAAACTAGCCCAACTACGTCCAGCACCAATTAACGTCATGGCTAGCGGACCACTACCAGCTTTATTTCATGGGAAAGAGAGCGAGAATGCACAAAACTTCATGAGAAGTACTGAGGCGTATTTCCTGATCAATAGAATCACAGACGAGACTGTTGAAGTACACAAGCTGAACATGCTTACAAAGCAGAGGTAGTGGACTTCTACTGAGTTTCAGAGAAAACATATGATATATATTGTACTTAGGAAATTCCCGAAAAATCTATCCTACTTGCGCTCCTATTATCAGCCATCTACATATATTCATTCTAAGCCTTCGTCCCAAGAGGTTATGAGCTCTGCCATGCGCAAACAAAAAATTATCATATTATAAATAACAAATCTAACCAAAAACGAACCTTCAAAATGACGGACCAAACGACTGGTTCTTTGTTATCGTCGTTATATCGTATCGAGCACTTGAATGATGAAAATTGGTTGGGATGGAAGCGTCGTGTCAAAGCCATCCTCTTCGAGAAAGGAATTGAAGGATACATCAAAGGCACTGTTCCTAAGCCTGCGAGGGGTCCATTACCCGCGTCAGCGCAAAAGGAAGCAGACATAGCAAAATGGGAAATCAATGACCGAAAAGCCCAGACAGTGATAGAGCTGTCAATTGCAGACAGCCAAATGATACATCTGTCTGGCGCAAAAATGGCCAAAGAAATGTGGGATCAGCTAAAGCTTGTCAAGGAATCGCAAGGCAAGCAAGCTATTACCACATGGCGGCGTAAACTCTATAGGACTTATGCTGATGAAGACGATGACATCCCTACGCATGTCAAACATATGAGGGAGATCCAAGAGACCTTACATATGATGGGAAGTAAGGTGACAGAAGATGACTTCTGCACCGTGTTGATCTCATCTTTGCTGGAATCCTGGGATACCTTCACAACGACGTATCAGAATAAAATAGGCGATACAAATGCAATCACTTCGCATGAGCTCATCTCCCTAATAATGGAAGAGAACTCGCGAAGGAAAGAGAAAGAAGGAAAAGGCAAAGGAAAGGAGAACGCACTTGTTGTTAAAGGAAAGACTTTAGGAAAGAGGAAGCGAGAAGACGTGAAGAAGTGTCATATCTGTAAGAAGATTGGTCATGTTGAAGCTGAGTGTTGGTTCAAAGACAAGCAATGCTCTAACTGTGGAAAAGTGGGACATACTAAAGTGAATTGCTGGAGTAAAGGCGGTGGAAAGGCGGGGCAAGGCCCATCTAAATCCCTTCCAAAAAAGCGTGGGAAATTTGACAATGCACACATCGCAACAGATGCAGATGTTGTTGCAAATAATGCACAATATGAGGAAGATGTAGCCTTCATGGGCGAAGAGATGCAGGTCGAACCAACAGAGATCGAGAACCAGACAGAAGTCGAGTTTGAGGACCTGAATATGGAAGATCAAGTTAATGTATCTAATAATGGTGATGAATTTGAGAAACTTAGCTATTATGATTGGCTAGCGGACTCAGGAACAACATCACATATTACTAAGATTCGGTCCGCACTGATGGACTATGTCCCACTAAAAAGTCATAGAGTCAGCGGGATCGCGAATGAATCCCTTAAAGCTGGAGGATGCGGGACAGTCAAACTAGTAAGTATAATAAATAAGCAGCGGGTAACCTGCAAACTTAAAAATGTCCTACATGTGCCACGTGCCTCGAATAATCTCGTGTCTATCACACATTTAGATTGAGAAGGAGGACACGCTATAATGGGAAAAGGTAAGGCAAGCTTAAAAGTGCGCGGAGGACGCACAATTGCTGAAGGGAAGCTGTACAATGGACTATATCTATTGGAAAGTCGGGCAAAAATACAGTCAGTAACAAAAGTAAACACTGCCTGAGAAGAGCAACCCATGGATTGGCTTACCTGGCACAAGCATTATGGACATATAGCTTATAGCGGCCTTAAGAGGCTACACAAAGAGCAATTAGTAGAAGGTATGAATATTAACGAAAACACACCTACACCACAGTGCGAGGCCTGCATACAGGCAAAACAGATGCGGGACTCATTTCCGCGCAATATGGACAATCGTTCAAAAACACTTGGAGAACTCACACACAGTGATGTATGGGGTCCAGCAAGGGTACAGTCGATAGGTGGATCTAAATATCATATTTCATTCATTGACGACTGCTCCTGAAGGAGCAGCGTCAAATTTATGAAACATAAAAATGAGGCATCTACAAAAGTCAAACAATACGTGACGTACCTGAAAAAATGCTGGCAAGACCAACCGAAAAAGTTCCGAGTAGACAATGGAACAGAGTACGTTAACAACGATCTAAAAACTTGGTGTAAGAACGAAGGGATTGAACTAGAGACAACCGCACCATACTCACCAGAGCAGAACGGAGTGTCTGAAAGATTCAACCGAACGTTAGCCGAACTAGCATGGGCAATGCTAATAGAGAAAAACTTACCAGAGTCTTTATGGGCGGAGGCGGTATCACATGCCACATATGTCAGAAATCATGCGCCCATGCGAGCGCTAGAAGGCGCAACGCCTGAACAATTATGGAACGGTAAAAAACCAAATGTAACGCACTTACAAGAATTTGGAGCGCCAGTGTATGTGCTCCAAGAGGGCATAAATCAATCTAAAATGAGTCCAAAGTCAGTAAAGCAAATCTTCGTCGGATTTGCAGATGGACCAAGATCAATAAAGTATTATAACACTAGGACGCACCAAATACGCATATCGCGAAACTATACGTTCCTGACTAATGTGCCACCTGCACCTGATGCGCAGCGCGAGGGGGAGACAGAAAGAGTAGATGTGCAGCCATCAACGAGCGCAACACCTTCTGCACCTGATGTACAGCGTGAGGGGGAGACAGAAAGAGTGGACACACAGTCTAGTAAAAACCGTTCAAGTTCAAATGAAAATCAGCGTGATTATATAATGGGAGAGGAAGGAAACTCACCCATGAAAAGGAAGCGTCTTCCTGAAGAGGAAGACGAAAATAATCTACCTAGAAGAACAAAAAGACAAACGGTAAGACATAACTACGAACAACTGAATGACCCAGAACCGGAATGGGCTTACCTCGGGTGCGAAAAGCACGAACTTGAGGAAGAACTTTACCAAGAGGATATAGTCCTTGCCGCCATAGCTGCAAACAGCAGTTTTGAACCGCATGAGCCAAGATCACTAAAAGAAGCGCAAACATTAGATGACTGGCCAAAGTGGGAACAAGCGGTACAAGCGGAACTTACCCAATTAGAGGAAATGGGCACTTGAGAGTTAGTAGACCCTCTGAAAGATCGCACTCTAGTCGGAAATAAATGGGTCCTCATTAAGAAAACTAATAAAGAAGGGGAAGTGGTCAAATATAAGGCACGGTTAGTAGCCAAAGGATACTCACAAATACCGGGCATGGACTACACAGATACCTTTGCACCAGTAGTGCAACTGGAAACGATACATTCAATAATGTCCACAGCCGCATCCCTTGATTGGGAAGTGCAGCAGATGGATGTAAAAGGGGCGTACCTTAGTGGCATACTGAAAGAGGAAGTGTATATGGAACAGCCCGAAGGCTATAATGATGGAACCGGCCGAGTATGTCGACTGCGAAAGACCCTTTATGGGCTAAAACAGTCGGGTAGAGAATGGAATCTCAAGCTAAATAGCCACTTGACGAGAATTGGATTCAGACAACTGAAATCTGATCATTTGTAGAGACTTGCGCGTCTCAATGCCGAATATCCGGCCTTTACCCATACATTCCTATATGCTACAGCTCTAATCCTAAGGAGTCTTGCGCGCCTTATCCATACTCGCACGCACTTAGGCGCGCTGTAGATGAGGAATCTTGACTATACGTGAAAACACTTAAAACAAAAGGGTGCTCAACAGCAAGACCGGGATACGAGACAACGACTTGACCCAAAGGACAACCACTGAGAGAAGTTCCTCGAAATAAAAGTGGAGGGAAACTCTATGATCTAGGCAGGCGCTAACAGGCGCAAGAAGATAACGCACGCGTATGCAAGGCGAAGGCGCACGTGAGCGGGAGGTTCGAGAATGCGCGCGCGCGAAGCGAAGGCGCGCCTTGAGCATTAAAGGAAAAGTCCTATTGAGGAGTGAATGCACAGATGGATGATTGACAGGAGGATAAGATCTGATATCAAGTGAGGAGGTGATCTATACACTTTCCAGTACACAAAGATAAGGGGAAAGTAAGTACCAGAACCAAAAGAAACCCTTCTGTATTTAAGAATGGAGATTACGCTAAGCGGCGCGCTTCCGAGCGCACTCCCGAACCGAGTAACCATATCAACTCTAATTATAACTAAGTTTAAATAGACTTTCTATATGTAGCACGGATGTCGGACCGAAGATTTCATTAGTTCAATGGACAAGATAGGAATAACGCACCAGCAAATCAGTAAGGACATGGGACGAATGGATGGACAATAGCGTGAAGACCTAGGAGAAGGCGCGCGTGCGCAGGTAAGGCGCGCCTAAGTGCGCACAAGTACGGATAAGGTGCGTGCGAGTGCGCGTGAGACTGGTCCTTAGGATTAGAGCTGTAGCATATAGGAATGTATGGGTAAAGGCCGGATATTCGGCATTGAGACGCGCAAGTCTCTACATCTCCTGGGGACTTACATTCTGAGTGTCCCCACTCAGTGCTATAGCGCGGGATCTTGGACTTAGAGAGGTGATGATAGACAGGGATCAGGTGATCACGAGAGTAGGGTCGTCCTTTGATGATCGCGAGCATCGATGATGTAATCGGAGGAGATGTTGATAAGAAGATGGACGCGTTCTCGCGATCTCTTGACTTCTTCCTTATCAATCTCTCATCATGCCTACTTTCAATGTTGCTATGTTGAACGCCACTCCTTCCCCTGAGCCTGTTCCAGTGGCGCAAGGGCCTCCTGAGGACGCGCCTATGGGTGACGCTAGCGCGGAATCTGATGCTGACCGCCTCCTTGTTGCTTGGGCCTCCATTCTGGTCTCTTTGGAAGGATGTGTGATGTCCGTGCCTGATCTCAAGCCGGAACTCCTCGAGGATCAAGAGATGTGGTTGCGCGAGTGGTATTCAGTGCTGGTGAGTGTGCTTACATGTATTTGTCTATTGTGGACTGACATTCCTAGGCCACCTTGAACGGTTGTTCCACGCGTGCGGGTGTGTTGGCATTGGCGCTGGAGATGGATGACAAGAGCGCGGAGTCGTTAAAGCAGGGACGGAAGAGTTGTAAGGAGATTGAGGCGGTCGTGAAGGACTGGAAGGTGAAGGCAATTGCCTCAGTTCCACCGGCGCCTCCCATGCAAGCTGCGCGCGCCACTGGTGTGTCCGAAGTTGAGGCGCGCGCCACTGACGCGTCTGGTACTGATGTCAGCAAGAAGGTGCGTCTTCTGTTTCCTGTTGGCACGCCACTCTATTAACATGTCTGGTTGCGCTAGCCGCGCGTCGGGTCATGCCTGTGGTCAAGGCACGGCGCTGTGGCGCCTGCATTGCCAAGGACATAGACTGTGGAGGCGCGCCTGGACGCCGGTGCCCTCCTTGTGATGTTTCCAAGCGCGCTTGCACTTTCTGTAAGTCGCGCCTCTTGTCTATTGTTGGCGCACGCCACTGACTGCTGTGGATTAGCTAAGCGCAACATTACTGATGCGCCTAAGGCGCGCCCGCGCAAACCGATGCCTAAGCACCCTATTGCTGAGTCTGCAAAGGAGACCGCTTCCTCCATTGCTGTTGAGGATGAAGAAGAATCTGAGGAGTCTGAGATGGATGTGGAGATTGTTGGAGAGCGCTCTGTGGAGGAGAAGGTCGTGCGCGCCTCGCGCGATATTCCTGTGCACGCCATTGGTCCTTTGGCATCTGGTTCTGCGCCTAAGGGAAAGGACAAGTTCAAGGATCCAGCGGTGGAGTTGAAAGAGGCGCACGCGGAATCCGTGCGTTTGAAGGAGGAAAATGCGCACTTGCGCACTTCCACTCTCCAGATGCGCCAGTATGCGCGCGCCCAACAGGCGGACCTCCTCAACTATTCCAACAAGTTTTTCGCTATGTCCAACGCGTGGGCTGAATTGGAGAGGCAGATCAATGACTCCCTTAAGTAGATGCACCTCTCTTTTGTTTTGCTTGTCTCCTAAGCGCCAATGCGCCTGTATAATAATCCCTGTGTTGTCTTGTTCCATGTCCATGTCCATGTCCTCATCTGATTCACTGGGCTTAAGAAATTAAAATTATAAGTATGTAAGTAAGTGATAAGCGCACGACGAGCCCCTTCAGTGACCTAACCCTATGAACATGTCCAGCCCACCTTGACATTTCTTCCATGACACCAGGGCCAACCCACTATGGGCCCAGCATATGTTGTAAGGGTATGTCACTGGGTGGGCTCCCTTGTATGCTGTGTGCCCAATGGATAGCAGTGGGCCCCCTACCTATGTTTTTCTGAGGTGTGGAGTGGGCCCATGGGGGTGGCTAGATTGAAGACAACTGTATTTACGGATGGGCCTATAGTACAGTAGAAAGGCCATCTCTCAAGATTTTCGAGTAGGCCCGTATATTCAAATGTAGCCAAATTACATTTGCCGATGGCATCTTGGTCGGCGAACATCAGATACAGCGGCAGATACAAATTGCAAATTCGGCCGGCCGAATAACTTCCATGATAGCGGGCGCATGCGCTCCCCGCATATGAATATGGCAAATCCGACATACCGGCGGCTAAAACATGCAAGCTCCGCCGGCTGCATAATTCGCCAGGAGGGTATCTTTACATCGCCGGCAAGGGTTCGCCGGAATATGGAACTGGCACGCACATCCGGCGCAATCATTAGAATAGCCATGTTTATCGGCGACATGTCTCGGCGAATATGCATTATCCACCGAGCAAATACAATTTTTAGCACACCCGGTGGTTGCCCAATGGTGTGTCGACGGGCCCACATGATGTCAGCACATCAATGGGCCCGCTGTCAGTGTTCGCACTAGTAGAATGGGCCTGCCGGCTGTATGCAAAAAGTGTCAGTGAGCCCACATGGAGGGATGAACTAAGGGATGCAGGCCCACTCTAAAAGTAGAAAATAGTAGAATAAGCCCGCCGTAACCTGGGAGGGTGCAGACGGGCCCAGCTATATTACGCTGTTTGTATGGTTGGGCCCACACCATATATGGCACTGTGAATGGGCCTACCGGCAGTAGGCAAACAATTACGGTGGGCCCATCTCGAGGTCTGAACAAAAGGATGCAGGCCCGCCCTAGATGTAAAAAATAGTAGGATAAGCCCGCCGTATTCTTGGAGGGTGCACACAGGCCCAGCTATATGGTGCTCGTTGTATGGTCGGGCTCATGCCATGTAAGGCACTACACCGGCAGGCCCATATCATGGTCCAATGTGGTAATGGGCCCAGTCTTGACAGTGGGTAACAGGGTGAGCCTGGGCAAATACCTCGCTAAATTTCAACAGGCTCGTACGTACCGCCATTGATACAACGGGGCCCATGACATGCTGGAACAAGGTTTCAGGACCCGAATACCATCATCGCCGGGCGCTGGACACAATGTGAGCATAAACAGGTGCTGCCGTGTACGGCGACCATTGGAATTACATCAGTGCCATTGGTAAAATATGGCAACACAATGGCAGGACGCCGGTGCATGATCAATAGTATTAAAAATTATCATCACAAATACTATGTAGTGCTGACTGGCAGCACATCATGCCCATTCTAGATTCCATGGTAACAAACAACAAAGTAAACTATACATGAGTTCTATTGTACTGGTAAACATATAAGCATAATTCTGCATGACATATTACATAATGGCATCATCGGCGGCCTTCATGGCTACCAGCAAACAAGCAATCTCAGCGTGAGGCGTCGCCGGACCAGTGGCCAGTTCAACATTGGCCTCGATGGAGGTACCGGCAGGTGTGGCGCCCAACGGGATAGATGTGTCCTCAGTGGGCGCTGACGAAGGTTCAGTGCCCGGCTGCATATCACTGGCTGGAGTGTCGGGGGGAGGCTGAGTGGTTAGTGCCGGAGGTGTTTGCTCACCAGGCGGCACATCGAGGGGGTCAGTGCCAGCAGCAGGCTGAGCAGTTGCCGACACAACAAGTTGGCGGAGGACTTCTAACTCAGCTTCCAGCAGATCGGCGCGTCGGTCCTGTGCTGCCAAACTCTCCCGAAATTGCCGGTCGCCATTGGCAACTTGCTGCAGCAAGGTTTCAACGGTGGCCCGAAGGCCAGCAACCTTGTCGCGGAGATCCTGCATCTCCTGATTAGGGATGCTGGGAGGGGCTGGCTTAGCCCAGATCTCAACTTGTGGGGGAGGTAGCTGCTCCTGGCTGGCTGCCGGAGCAACAAAAGCAGCTGGGGCTGATATTCTATTTAGTTATGAGTGACTTGTAAAAAATGAGACGTACCAGGTGGTGGCGAGTGACGGCGCCAAGATTGGGAGCGTGTGCACCGTGCCATCACCGACTTCGGCTTCATTTTCGGCGCCTCGGAGCCCTTGCCTCCGCATCGAATCTTCAGGCGGCTGCAAAGCGTGCACATGCGCAACTTTCCGCCGTGGTCCTTGTGATAGGCCTGTCAGCAAATCAGATCCCTTGCGACGCATTGACCGCAGCGGGGAGCCCAAACTTCCGTCATCGTATTGGCGAACTCATCCTCCATGAGATCTGGACCTGAAGTCATCTTCGGGATGTCAGTTTCAAAGAAGCAATGCAAAAGTATGGTTACTTACCGGCTTGGCGACAGGTGCGGCGGTAATCTTCCTCGGCGGCTCCACAGCGTCTTCCTCATCGCCATCATCTTCCGTTTCTTCTTCGGTGTCCACTTCAACATAGGCACGGCGTGCCTTTTTATTGGTCTGGGCAGGATGTCAGATAGGAGGTACTACAATCAGTAATGAGCTTACTGTAATCACCGGACTCGCCGGTTCCTCTTCTTCAAGTTCATCGTCACTGGTAATGATGGCCTTTGACTTCTGCCGCTGCCGCTTGGACATGGCTGGGCGGCTGCGGCTCCGAGCACTTGAGGCACAGGGATGTTTCCCGCGCTCAATGCCTCGCCTGCGTTCCTCAGGCTCCTCCATCGCAGGCCGCTTGCTGAGCTGAGATGGGCCCGGGCGTGGCGGAGAAGCTGAGGCTGAAGGGCTCCGCTGGTAGTTCCTGGTGGAAGGGAACAAAGGGTGAGTTTTGATGCGGATATCGTCACCTCGAATGTTTCCCCAAGCGGGTGTGCCGGTGAGACCAGTCCTGGATGCATTCATGTGCTGCTGCAGTTCTGCAGCAGCCGACAAAATTAGTGGCGAGAGCACGGTAACACTCCCGCCGTGAGACATCATTGCCTGGGTCTGCAAAAGATTAGGTAATGTTAGTGTGTTGAAGCAGAACTTACCAAAGCCCTGCCCATCTCCATCGCTATAGTGAGATGTTCAGGATCGCCGGCATCTAATTGCCAAGCTTGGCCCAGAAGGTGCTCAATCTTGTCAGCGGCATCGCTGAAGGCCTTGTTAGTGGCGGCGATGTTTGCATTCGAGGAGGACATGGTGTTGGTTTAAGTTTGGAATGAGAAACGGCGAAAAGTGGCAACTATATATATCTAACTCCGCTGTGACCACGGTGGCAGTGGATTATGTTATACATTCATTGTGCGACGGCATTTACCGAACAGGACCACTGCATCCAAGACGCTCCACAATTCACACATCCACAGCTGTGATACAATGGCACACATTGTTTTGGCCGGATGTTGACTGATCTGGCCGATTAAAGATCGATCCACTGGTCCACAAGGGACAAGCTTGGACATCGGCAACACCCGCCGAATGACACAATAAAATTCAATCCCCAAAACCACTTCATTATGTAATTGAAGTTCCGATTGTGTCAATTTATTTAAAGGCTCTGCCATGACAAGTTTGGACTACAATTGCATCATGTCCAAACCTACCATCGCCATTCTCTCGGCAGAATCGATGTCCGATGAAATGGACTTGGACTTGGCCGATATCGCTGCCATATTTGAGTATGCTACATCCCGCTTATCGGCAATTCGGACTGAGCTAGAGAGTACCCGGCACACCTTGCCGATAAAGACCCGCCGGATCATCGGCCAGTACCTGAACTGGGAAGGAGAGGTAAGTATTTGCCTTGTCGGCTGCCCGCCGAGCTAATGAATCTTCAAGTCCTTTACATTGCCTTGGATGTCCTTCTGTGCCGGGCTCTCAATTAGCCCGCCGCTGTCTCGGAACCTCCGGTTCTTTGTCGGCGTGCTATCTATGAAGCAGGTTGGCCTGGTCACCAATTTTGAGGAGATCTACGATGCCTTAATGACCTTGCCGACGGCACCGGCTGGACCATGGCAAAAGGGCCGCCTCACCAGGACTTATTGTACACCCTGGTGGATGAACACAGCCAACATCGTAGCTGACGACAACTTTCTCCACACATACCCAAACTGTTTGCAGGTTCAGCAAATCATCGCCGAACATTTCAAGCAATTGGTAAGGTTCTATCCACACAATTTGAGAAGTTCACTAACGCCGGCCTTAGCCTGAGGGGAAAGTTCTAATTACCCCAGTCACATTGACCATCCCAATGTGCACGCCAGTTGCCGAGCAACTGTCCAATATCCACGCCGAGGTGCTTCATGAAGGCCAACTGATTGTGAAAATGCTGGAAGATAAGGTGGTTGAGGCCAAAATGGTGGCGGCCACAATGCTTCGGATGGACACCGCACTGGGGCAGGACGTAGTTAAGGCCATCACTGCGACCAAAAAATTGACAAAGTATTTGAAAAGGGAGGCGGCGCAATGAGCGGCGGGTCAGGGGCGACCGCCATTAGTGTTACCTTGTAATATAGCTGTACATAAATATCCTGACATCTAATTTACTGCATGTTCCCCACCAATTACACTGACATGTTCCGGCGCCAGATGATTTATCATCACGCCGAGGTATTTGAACATAACACATCGGCGTGAATCTGATTTGACTACAATGTGATCAGCTATTCCGCTCCTCACTGATGCTCTTGTCTAAACTTTTGTCCGGTGAAATGCCCGTTTAGCCTCCTCCAAGAGAGATTCATAGATTTTTCCCTGCCTACCCGCGTAAGCCATGTGAGCTTCTTTTTTGGCTTCCTTTGCAACGACGCCGAGATGTTTCCATTCCTCCGCCTTGTAACGAAAGAAATTGCAAGTCCAATCCATTTCATGCTGAGCAAGTAAAATCTCCTCCACCCAACGGTCTTTCAGAGCCTTTGCCCGGAGCCAATGTACCCGGTAAACTGGCACATCGGCGAGATCAGGAGAACCGACATGGTGCCGATGGGAATTGCTTACATTCATCCAATCAATCATTACTCTCGGAATCTCCTGCAACATCCAACGACCAAAACCATGGCAGCGTATTATTTCGCTGTCCTCGTGAGTTTGGATCGGCAACGGTGGTACTAACCTTGAGATGCTCCTTGGCTAGGGGCTGATATCGCTGTAGTAAAGCATCATCGGCGCTGAGGCTGCAAAGTTGTTTGCGGCACTTCAAATAGATACTGGCTTGGATGCTGACCGCCCTATCAACCGAGTGCACCTGAGCCCAAGCTCGGGTGGCCGTCGCTTGAGATTTGGCAACCCTTACCGTCTTCCGAAAAATGACCACTTTGTCCGCCAAATAAACCCTGATGTTGTGCAAGGCATCATTGGCCTGGCCTTGCCGGAGGATAAGTTCTTGTTTCGCCAAAGCATTGACGCCAATAGCAGTACATGTATCCTGCCCCAAATTGGAAGGCAGGGGAATGACTGCCTTCTCTGGCTTAAAGACGTTTCGCTGATCGTCCATTTCTGCATCCGATTCTTCATCAAGGATGAGGAGATCTAGTTCCATGGCATGATCCTCATCATCGCCGGGCCTGTCGCTGAGGAACACAACCCTGGCCTCTCTCTATCGATCAATATCCCGTTGTAAGACGTCCCCGCGGCGGGCAATATATAACCGCTGTGTGTCGGTTGGCTGACCGCCAACTTTCTTGATTTCCAATTGTAGTGTGACCTGGGCCTCCTCAATTGTTAAACCCTCTGCGAGCCATGTCGCTGCCCCTCGTCGCCGGATAGGCCCTGGGCCCCGTCCTTGTTCTGCTAATAATTTTATTTCCTGCTGCTTTCTCATCGGCACTATAGTTGAATCAGACTAGCCCTCCTGTACATCCTTCACACTGACCTTTCTGCAATTGTACTTCATAAATATCCATGGCTGTTGGATCACGGCGACAGCGTTGGTGCACCAACCTTTCTTGGCTTTCCCATTCTCGAACTTTCCCTGGATCGGCGGTTTCAGCAAGCTTTTCAAACACCAGTCGGCTGTCGGCGGCCCCCCTGACCGCCTGATTGTACTTCTTGCAAAGGGACTTGCCTGTATGGCATATTAAAAATTGTCAAACATGATCGGACAGAGGACTCACTCATTCGGATCATTTTCATGAAGTTGCAATCATTCATTTGATAGTCCAAGCATTCCTTCCGGTGTGGAGTTCCCATGCCGCGAGCGGCCGGCGAAATAATATTTAACGGCGCCCATAGAGTCTCCATGATTTCGCCATCAATCCGAGTGGCGCCCTCAATGAAATTTGATGCATATCTGACATAGCAACTGTCTTGATGCCCATGCACATGCCACAGTCCAATCCCAGGGATAATATCCAGTTCCTTAGGTATCTGTAAGATTGGACTCTTGGCGATGCGGTCCTTCAAACGCTTGTGGTACTGACAGTTTACATCATAAAATGTCAGGGCACGGCGGATTCCATCGGCGTTGATTTTTAACACCTCGCATAACGCATAATCCATGTTCATCTGTCTGCATGACTTTGGCAACGGCATTTATTCACTGAGATATTGAGACACACCTTTCTCCCTTCTGAAAATCGACCATGGCATGCGGCACGAAACAGCCATGCCGTGCACAGGCGCAACCGCCGATGCCTGTTGCTTCCAATTTATGATGGGATGCATTTGCCTGATTCACCGCGCGGTGGTTGTTGCATTCTGATCATTGAATAGTGTCCTGTGCAACAGCTAAATGCTCCTTGTACAAGGCGTCTCCTACCATAAACCCATGGCCGTCCATGAGAGAGACTTCATTGCCGGGATGTACTGGATGGAGATGCTCGGCTTTGAAGTTTCCGTCCATGATGAGCGACCTTGTGTACAGCCAACTTGGAGTCTGTAAATTTGATCCTTCAGTTCACATGAGAACTTTCCGTTTGTTCTCCAACAGGCAAAGTGACATTAATGCCTGGCTGGGGACACGCCGGACAAAAGAGGGCTAGATCGCCGGGTCTGACATCCTTTTCCTCATGGCCGAATCCATTCCTTTTGAGAAGCTTAAGTTTTCTCCATTGTCTTGTCACCCTCATCAGCTCCCGGTACCGGTCCTTTCACCCAATAAGTGATCGGCCCGGCGAGAGATGAACACACTCACCGGCACTAAATGCGGAAAGACGGTCGTTGTCATCCTTCTCAATTTACTGTAGTAATTCATCGCCGAAGTCCCGCACTCCAGGTTGTCTAGCAAGAAGTCATTTAGGACGTCGAAAGTAAATGCTGTCTTCGATTCCAAGAAAGACGCCGGGAATAAGCCCATTTGAAACATTTGTATATCGGCGGCGGCGGCATTTGGACATGTGCAATACTTCACCAGGTGTGTATGCATGCCGGACTTGTCAACTATTGTTGTTAATGCGCTGTTACCCTTGACAAATGGCACGCCGGTCGGAAGGTCATCAGCGCGCTTTGAACTCGGGTCGCCGCCGTCTTCGTCTTCTGAACTCTCCATGTCTGTAGTGTTGGCTTCCTCTTCCCCTGTAGTAAATACACTAGATTCCCCCACATCATCGTCCCATGGACATGGGTTTCCGTTATGGCCAAGCCAGATCACGATCCCACTCTTGACCAAGCAACTTTCCTCAAAGAAGGAGCCTGTCCATTGGCTGACTCGATGGAAGGGAAGTCTCTGGTGCTGGGTTCTGCAACAACTTGTGCAATAGAGAGGCTCACTGAAGCACCCATGACATTTGTAGACACCATCTGTCCCACATATGATACATGACCGATCTGATGGAACCTCCCTTTCCAGCAGTATGTCAAGATATGCTTTTGTCTTCGGGACCCATTGTCTTATATAGTCGTTTTGACTCTTGAGTTCAGATAAGCAGAGTGTAAAAGGTAAGGGTGAGGAAAGGCTCACCAGGGATTTTGGCAGGTGCAGTGGAATGACCCGGTGATCATCAAGTCCCCCAAGAAAGTCATCTCCACCATGGTGAAGCATGTCATGAGACGGCTGCTTAGAGGCAGACTTGGTAGGGGTTGCTGGAACTGATTGGCTGATCATGGGTCTCTCCACCCATTTGCCCACCACCTTCCTGGTCCGATATGATTTCTGCCATTCTACCACTGCATACTTTCGTTTGGGTGTCCACTCTTGGAGTCTGGAACCTTTCATTTGTTCACTGCAATGAGAATCTGCAAGAAGGGCAAGAGGTTTCAATTGGCCGATGGAACATGATACTTGGGTTAATTTGATCATACTCGGATCATATCAGATAGGAGTACATAATATTAAGACCTAGAATGTAATATAAGATGATCCGAAGAGAACAAAGCAACCATATCCATCAGAATTACATAATATTAGCTGTGATACAAGGAACACCACTTCATCTTGACTGAACACAACAATGATATATATGACAAGTGCCCAATATGAACTGTAATATATGGTGAACCGAGCAGAACAGAGAAACCCTGTGCAATCTCGGCCAAGGAACCAAACCTTACTGCCCCATATCAAGCAACTACAGTATTTCCGATTCTTGAACCATTCAGAATCACTATCATCCATAACCCAACATGCCAAGAACTCAATCTCCTATAGTCCTCTCACAGCAGAAGAAGGTTCACTTGGACAAGGCAGAGGTTGTGGTCCTCAGGGACCATCTGGAGGACTGGAGGTCAGTGAAAGGGAAAGAAAGATCAAGGGTGCTCGTCGCCATCTACAAGGAAGCATCACTGCAAGCTCCTACCAAGGACCGAGCCATATTGAAAGCTCGGAAAAAAGTTTGTGACAATTTACACTTATTGGAATGATGAGAGCATTGATCGAATGTTGATGGAAGATTTACAAGCAATGGTTGCAAAACCAATCTCGGCGGAAAAAAAAACCCAAGCCCCTCATCAAGTATGGCAGACGTTGGACGGCGAGGCAAGTCCTGATCCAGACTCATAAAGACCTCATCCGAGAGGAGACCGGGGAGATGGCTGGAAGTGAGGAGATGATCAGCAAGTGGCCAAAGGCGGCGAAGTCAGTGATTGATAGGTTGTCGGCGGAGGAGAGGGAACAGGCGGAAGCCACGGCGGAGAAATGGAACAATCAAGCGGCGCCGCCGGAGGTTCAAGCCGAGGTCGCCTGAGAGCAAGGGCGCCGAGATGATTGAGCATTTCGCCACCGAAATGTTCAAGCAAGCTGGAATGAGGGTTTGTGTGCTGTCTGCATGGAACAACAGCAAAGGGAAGCTCATGTTAGGAGGGTGTGTCATCTCATACATATGCTACGTTCAACATTAACTGTGTGGAAGTCATGACTTCAATGAACAGTTTGGGAACGGCGAGAGCTTCATTAAAACAAGGGATTGGGATGGCATTTTTATGCCGGAATGGGGGGAATATGCTGGGGAGCAATTCGGTGAGATGCAAATTATTTGTGCCGGACCAAACATACTAATGTAGGTGTAGATGCAGAAGATGGGGAAGAGCCCCTGATGGTGAAGTCAAAGAAGCGGCAGCCCAGGAAGCTTGTTGAGCTCGAAGAAGATGCCGAAGGTTGGCCGATGCTCCCGGATACAACGGGATGGAATCGTGCCGAGCAACAACACATGATTCGATCTTTCCTCACGAAGCTATACAGTATGTACTTTTTATTTAACGTTAGAAATGATTTACACAAAGCATAGGGATGTGTGGGGGTGAAGACACCCTCAAGTCAGCGGTGCCCTGGGGAGATGTAAGCCAGGACCCATCGGCGTTCTTCGACAGTACACAATGGCCCGCCGGTGTGCAGTTCAAGGAACCCTCCAAGATGGACATATCAGATGCAAGTACTTTGCTACAATTCTTGTTCGCCCGGCAAGGAAAAAACATTCAACCGGCCTTTTCATTCACGGCATGGCAAGATTCTGATGGAGACATCTGTGAGGCCGTTGTGTTCCCAGCACCCCTGCACGCCGGCAGCAATGCAAACCATGCCCATCGGAGACAACAAAAGGCTCGCCGGGCCATCAAGGATAGCATTTCGGAGGATGAGTTAGATAGCGATAATGATGGCTCATCAAGTGAAGATGACGGGCCACTTTTCACTTCCCGAAGGAAAGATGTCACGCCACCGCGGCAGGCGACTCTCCCGGTGAACAAGCCCAAGCCTCGCAAGATGAAATCTGACCCTGCTCCCCAACGGCGAAGTGCACGGCAGATGTCGGCAGCCGTCGGCGATGTGGCAAAACCTGTGATTGCCGCTGGTCAGCAATACCAAGGAGCCTGCGAGGACTCAGAAGAAGGCCAGTAAAGCAGCCATCCACATCCTTGGGTGCTATCACAAGAGGCAAGGAGGTGACATATGCCGCCGATGAAAAGCCCAGGGGGTCAAAGCGCCGTGCTCCTGACGCTGTTAGTGATATGCCGGCGAAGAGAACCAGAAGCAGGACATTTGCGCCGGAGTCATCTTTGGGTACACGCGGCAAGAAGTAATCATACAATCACATATCAGTAGAATACCAACAATCAATTCACTTTATGACCGGTGCAACACCGGTCTCATGCATATACAACAAATGAAGCTGCAAACCTATGTACAAGTGATTGGTATATGTATTGTGTAAACTAGTCACTACCGGCAGACTTTCCCTCTGCCTTCTGCACCTCTTTGGACAGAGAGTCCACCAATGGAACAACTCTGGCCTGCACCGCCGCCATGTGATGCAAGTGGATCAAATCTTTGAAAATCCGGGTCAATTTATCTCTGCTCTCACAGAACGCCGACATGATGACCCGGTTGCTGTCCAGGACTTCATCGGGCTTAGGAGGCCGGACATCATCGCCGGGGTTGACTATGCTGCCAAGCATTAACTGCGCAAGCTTATCAACTAGGAATAGTCAGTAGAGTTGTACCGGACCAAGAAGTGATTCTTACATTCATCTCCTCCAAGGTGTTTGACTATGTTGATCGCTGCCTTCTTGGCATCGCCGACCATGCTCAAAAGGGAAGGCCGAGGTTCAGATGATTCAGCGGAATTGCTCGGCGTGCATTTCTTTGGAAACGCGAACTCCACATTTGGTAGGCCCTTCGGTGTGTACGCCACGTCCATCCGAGTGGGAGCGGGCGGCGTGGCTGCTGGTCCGGCCGCCCTAACCGGAAGAGGTTGCCAATCTCCCACTTTAGCCGGAGGAGCTTGACAATTGAACGGAAATGCTGTGAATACATGTCAATATAAATAAACACAAGATGGTGTGTAGGACCGACTTACGTGTATTGGAGAGATCATATCCCACATGAAGTGGTGGACCCGGCGCAGGTGTCGGCGATAGGTTCCAACCAAAGTCGAAGGCTGGCTTTGGCGTTGGAGGCGGAGGAGGAGTGGGGATGACAGTTGGTGTCGCTGACCGTTGCGGAGTGACATCTAAGTCCATTCCAAAATTGAATGGTGTCGTAACCGGTGTGACCAGATCATTTGTCGCAACTGGTGTGTTCCAGCCGAAGTCCAATATTGGCCGAGCTACTGGAGGCGGTGTGGGTGACACCTCTATGCCGGCGTCAAACCCAAAGTTGAACGCCGGTTGGAGGATTGGCGGGGTGCGTTCCCGAGGTTCAAACCCAAAGTTAAACCTGGACGGTGGCCCTGGCGGCACCGTCGCAGTGTCAGCCTGTGCAGCTGCTGGCCGAGGTGAGAGTGAAACATTGAGGTTAGTGTCAAACCCGAAGTTAAAGGCCGGTTGGTCCGGCGGTGTGGGTTGAGGTTCAAACCCGAAGTTGAGCTGATATGGCGGTGCCGACACCGTATCCGCTGTGTTAACTTGGGAATGCACAGGGGGAGCCCCAAACCCAAAATACATCACTGAAAGAAATCATAAAGTAAGCTTTGATCTGGGCATGAAATGAGACTTACTGCTTGAAGTGTCGCCGGCGTTAGATGACGGCGCTTGAGATTCAGACTCGTCGTCCATCGGGATATCGAAATGGACGCGGCGGTCGTTTAAATGAGCCATGGTAGTCGATGGTACCAATCAGTGTTAAATGGAAGGGAGATGGCGACCTCTGGATGCTGGCATTAAATATCACACGACTGTGGTTTGGTCCACGGCGGGGTTTAAATGTGGGCCACACAACAATGGATGTTTGCCGTGAGAAATCAGGCACGTTATCCATCGCAGTGCTTCTCCGGCCTCATGGCACCGGGTCCCGAGCCGATCTATGTGGACTTCAAATTTCAATTGGTCCACTCTCACATATATTGTCAGAATTATTCTTGTGGACTTTTACCTTTGTTTCCGCCCACATATGATACCATCCACAACGGTTTCCAACAAAGCACTTGAAGATGCTACTACTCGAGTGCAACAACTGGTGGCTCAAGCTATGCAGTTGAAGAATGGCCCCGCCGGCCATTTCACAATGGCCATGGAAATCGCAAAAATTTTGGTGAGTATGCCATGATGAACAATGGACTGGGGCTGAATCAACACCAGTCGCCGGTGTTTGAACAACATGGACGATCGGCGAGCATGATTTCGCCGTTGTTGCTATCGGCGGCGATGGAGTTGCAGTCGCATTTGGACCCGGTGACTCGCCAATCCTTTATAAGTATCCCCGTATGGGGCAACATTATTATGGATGATCGCCGCATTGAGAAACATCCTTTGTACCGGAAGGCTCTCAAGTTTATTGCTTCCTCAAGCCCATCGCCATTGTCCCACCCTCCGGTACAACCGGCTGAGGCGGTGATTGACAATGCAACGGAGGACCCGCCGGTTGCAGTCAAAACCCAAGCCAAAGCCAAATCGTATCCGTAAGAAAACACTGAAGGTCGTGGATAGTTCTGAAAGTGATGGCATCGAAATCATTGACCATGTAGTCGCCACTAACGCCGCTCCGCCGGACATTCGGAAAGGCAGTAGCAAGCACACTGTCTCTCAGGATCAGAGCGATGAAACCACACCGGTGGAAATTTTGCAAGGGAATACCATTGTGGTTAGGCAGAGGCCCATGCCGAAGCGAAAGCAGACCCAGGCCGCCGGCGGACGTGAACTCAAGCCTGGCTGTGAGGGACCGAAAGGGTAAGGGCAAAGAGGTCCCACCGCAGGTGGATAGTGCGGATGGCCATAGTAGCACACAGTTGCACAGGAAAAGATCCAGGGAGTCTAGTCAGAATGAGCAGGTTACGAAAAGCACGCCATCAGCCACCCGTCCGCCGGTGTCCGCCGACACCGGCGATCAACGCAAACCATGGTTTGAACATCCTATTCCTCTGCCGGTAATGGATCACATTATTTTTGCGTTTCTTTTTCATCATGATGCTTCCGTAGACCACGGCCGCCAGCAAGGTTACAATAGGCAAGCGGCACAAAAGTAGCCACCGGCGCACTCCGTCAAAGGAAGACGAGAAAGACCTCTCGCCGGCAACTACCGGCGACATTGTGAAAGGTATGGAGGATATTCAGCTGGTAAGTATGGAAGTCCGTGTTGTGTGAATGTTCGTTGACATGTTATAGAATACTGAGTATATTGGGTCTGATGACCATGTGACTGGGATTAGAGATGCTGGTTCAATGAGGCACTCTTTACCACCCATCACCACTGTGTCCGCACGTGTGTCACCGGAATCATCTGCGGCGACGATGCACGCAGTGATGCCACCACGGCGCTCGCATCCGCCGCCATCACGCACCGAGGTCATGGACATTGATGTGCCTGCAGATGCAGTAGTGAAGGACTTGCAAGCAATGACGCTCCAGGTCAGAAATGACTCGGCATTACTCTCACACAATCATGAAGACTTTCACAATACCATCGACGACCTATGCAATCAGGTTGCCGAACTCTGTGTTCGTAATGCTGCCGCCGCCAACTCCCTGATGCATTGAATGTCTGTGTCGCCGCTCAGGATGCCGAGATGAAAACAATGGAGAGATTGCACGCCGATGTCGCCGTGCTTCAGGAGCAAGTTCGCGTCTTGCATGCAGAGTCTCGGACACATGAGAACCAGCTCCGTGCAGCTGATGTTAAATTGGCATCACAGGGGAGTACGACTGCTGTATTGCAGGACGCCTATGAGTCCCTCCGACAACTGTTTGATCCCTACTCCAGTCCATACCTCCCCATTACAATAATGCCGTGTTTTTTCCTGGTTCCAGTCACCAGACTCCCTATAGTCACGGCCCTAGTGTGAGCCAGGCCCAGGCGATGGAAAGGTTATACTTTAACTTTACGCCAGGGCCATCCACGGCCACCGGACCATCGGTCGCAACTGCCTCGGCGGGCTGCTCGCCTTGCGGGAGACATGGATGCAACTCCAGGTCCGTCAGCTGCAGCTGGCGCATCTATTAGCTCTCGCATGCATGCACCTTCAGGTCCTTCGGGTGGTCATATGTCAAGGAGTTCTCAAAGCAACTGATACCCCCGGTGCATCGGCCTCCGGATCTCGCCACAATTAGATAGTGTTTCATACACATGGTCTTTCTATTTGTAGATACGTTGAAATAGGCGCCGCCTAGTGTGATATGTGATCAATTACGTGCTCAATTTAAGTATGTATTTTTATGCAAATATCTCCGGTGTTTGCAGACCAGCATATGTAATTACGTGCGACACGCGTTGCACTGGCGAGGCTCGGGCATGTGTCCCTCATTACCGGTCGCCCCGCACAATGTTCCTTACGTCCTATGAATAAAGTTTGATAAGCCAGTATCATAAAAGTCAGCAATGATACAGTTTCCGTCCCCCACGCATGAATCCCATTCCTGCTGATTGGGCATTGGCCACCACTCATCTTGCTAGTGACTATGTCTCCCGGCAGTTTTGTTCGATTGTCGGAGTGATGCCCAAGGTCCTCCCTCCCCCAGAGCTCGACATCATTTTGCTTGTGGCCTGCTGCAATCTTGCACGGCGCCTCGCCGATGCATATCTCAATCCAGGTTTGACCTCGCCACCTGTCCGCCGCTCGTTCTGACTCGTCATCAGTGACAATCAACTTTGATTTGGTGCGCTATTCGGAAGCGTTGCACATGCAGGAAACCGGCATTAATTCTCGGCGCGAAGAATCTCTTCTAGAGCGATATCCGCCGGGTGGTCAGCTTATCCTTGAGCGGCCTACTGTTGTGCTGGACCGATTCGGCGTTATTGTTCTATGGTATCTTCCCGGGCGATTGATGAGGCAATAAAGGTGGGTGCTCGACACCCGCCGATGGTGTTTATTGACTTTAGTAGAATGATATGTTGGCGGCGACCATGATGATGTCGGACCATTTGGGTAAAAGCTGTTAGCCGAACTTCCGCCACGAAAGGGAAATGGCGCACACACCAGAGCAGTTTTCAAAGCAGTGAACACGGCCTTACTCCGGGTTGCATCAATTTATCTCCGGGATGGTTTCTGCAAGGTCATCCGGTATGTCGGCAATTTATGGCCTGAAGTACTGGCTCATGTCACTAGGCTCCAAAGTTTCATCCGGAAGTATCGGCGACTCTTAAACAGGACAGGCCAACTTTATGTCAGGCGATCCAGCGACCGGCGGTTTTGGCTGCTGCTGCATTGAGAGTCATGCATGGTAGCTTATACTGGTCGTCTTTGACAACACAGCTCGGCCTCGGTCTATGGGCAGACAATAATCAACTTAAGGAAATGGGGAATTGCCTGAGAGAATGGGCTTCTTCATTTACAGTTCTCGCCGTGATGTGCAATCGTCATTCACCGCTTCACCGAGACTCTCAATCCCTCGCTCAATGGTTCGATATCATGACCAGTATCGGCGATTATGGACCGGCGCGAATGAAATTTCCAAATATTGGCATTGAAATTGCCTATAATTCAGGCGTTATGGTTGGTACTTCGGGGAGAGTTGTTAGGCATGGGGTAGACAGTGTGATCGGCGATAGAGTTAGCTGGGTGTGGTACATGAGGGATGATATTTACAAATTTGTTGATATACCCCGAGGACACTATTCCAAGTACGAGTCAATAATCGCTGATGCATTCTGTTGTAGATAGAAGCATAGCAGATATGATATCTATGAATTATGAATACTTTTTATTACTAGTGAACATTTATTATGTGTCCGATGGATAAGTGATTTGCTTGTAGCGCCGTGTCGCCGTCACGCCGCACATTGGGATTTGTTATGCGGGCCTACCGGTTTCTAACATACCAGGCCTGGGCCCACCCCTGTAAAAGATCCCGCTCCCAGGCCTGTGGTTGCCGTCACATACCGATGGTGAGCCCATGCTACACATGACCGGTATCTGGGCCCTCCCGACAGTGGAGGTGTATATGGGTCGGGCCGGGTTGCATTAACCGCGGCGGTGTTGTGGGCCCCACCGGCTGGTATGCATACAAACTGTGTGGGCCCATCCTAGCGATTTATCATACGGCCCACCTGAGCGCCAACGTTCGGGGCCTAAGCCCATTTGTATGTGTAATGGCTGCTGCCGGGCCCACCCCTCCATCCTGCATTGCATGAATGGGCCCATTCCTTTGGTTAGCACAGGACTCCATTGATTGGACATCCGCCGTGTTACGCCGCTGATGCACGGTGTAAATGTAATGCAATCGCCGCTTGTAGTCAGTCTATTGCATCGCCGCCCATAAATTCAAAATGGCACCCACCCACCGCGTATCGGGGGCGCAAGGCGCCGACCGTCCGGCGACATCTGGGCATGCGTTCGCCGGCTGGAACAATCATTCATTTTTGCTGGCGGCCATTTACTTTTAATTCTCCGGCGTGTTTCATTTCCTCACCACCCATAATATCACCGGCGAAAGTATTCCAGTGATCCCCGAAACCTGTGGGCCCACTCAAGACTGTTGAGCAATCACTTTTCTGCTTTACCTCGGGCCCACCTGTAAGCACAATATATTTCAATCCAGAGACCCATGGGCCCGCCCAAGCTGTTGATGAATATAAGGCATGGGCCCTAGCCTAGCCATGGGGTACACAACCACAAAGGGCCCACTCTATGACACCTACTTACAATTATAATGTGGGCCCAGGTGGGTTGGCCCATATCACTTGGCAGAAATGTCAAGGTGGGCTGGACAGTAAGTAAGGAGATATGTCACTGTATTATGTGGCGCGACGAGATCAAGGTAATGCGATGGACTTTACTGAATTTTCTGCGGGGTGCGCGCCCGTCTTGTCTTCTTCGCGTGCCTTCCATCATCTATGCCTGCCTTGTTGCGCCGTGCGTGCCGAGGCGATGACGCGTGTGCGTTAGAAAGTGAAAGTCTAATGAGGTGATTATGCGTGCGCTATACAAATAAGGTAGTGATTAGTATGTACTTGCGGGGTATTAGAGTGTTTCTTGGTGTGTTTGATATATTCTAGAGTCTGTGGGGTTTATGTGCAGGTAATGCGCGTTATATGAACAAATGAGATGAGAGATATCACCGGATGAAACCCGGGGTAAAACTGAGAGTATGTACTTAATGGAATATTTTTGTGTTCTTCGTATTATCTGGTGTTTTTGTTTTTATGTTTTTGAGGAATGCGCGTTCGCGCGAATATGATTGAGTGATGCGCGGGGTGGGGAATATGGTCGCGCGCGCTCGGGCTCGTCTTCATCGGGTTCTACGGTTTCATACACTTCTAGTTCGTCGATGCTCTCGTCGTCTACTCCAGTCATTTGGGTTACCGATACGCACTCCTCGCTACGCGGGTAGTAAGGGATGACGCAAAACGCGGCGAACCAGAGTTTTGAGATTGCGCCGTCCAACTCAGCCAACATATATGAGCCTCCCTTCGCGCGGCACACTACGATCATAGGTCCCAAATAGCATGGCTTTGTCTTCTTGCTCAGTTCGTATTCGACCTTCGAGTTGCGTACCAATACTAAGGCGCCGGGTTCGAAGTCGTGCGATTTGATAGACGCACGGAAGCGTCTTTCAAAATCGCATATGGACTTGTAGCACACCGCGACTACTTTATCCCTAATCACGTTAATATCCTCTACGTGCTTCTGCAATTGGTGCACACGCCATGCTATAAGGTCAGTAGTGGTGAATGCGCCTTGGCTTGGTAAGGGCGCGAGGAACGTCACTTCTGCAAGATCAAAGGGAAATATTGGCTCGACGCCGTGCATCATGAAATAGGGCGATAAACCCGTCGCTTTATGAATGGTGACGCGCTCGGCCCAGAAAACTGAATGAACTACCTGATACCAGCGAGAATCATCTCCGTCGCAGCTTTTAATGATGGCCTCCCGGACATTGCGGTGTCGTCTTTCGACTATACCGTTTGCCTGAGAATTATACGGTGAGATGCGGATCGGGTGAATCCCGTATTTGCACGCGAGTTCGTCTACTGCGAGCCTATATGCGGGCGCGTTGTCCATTACTATCTCTGTGATCGGGCCCCACCTACACAAGAGCTCCTCGAAAATAAAAGCGGTTAGCGCGTTAGTATTTTCTTTGCGCAGCATGCGCCATTCCGGATACGACGTTAGCGCGCATCGTGCTTGCACGAGGTATTCATATCCGCCCGCTCTGGGCATCTTCATCGTGTCGATGTGCGCTTTGCGAAATAGACCACCTGGTACGGGGACGATTGGGGGAATATGCAGCCTCCTCGTTTGGCGAACTTGGCATTTGTGACATGTTTGTCCGTACCATTTGATGTCTTCAATGATGCACGGCCACCAAAAGCATAGCTGTAGGCGCGCGCTGACGGTATAGATACCCTTGTGCCCTAAGTCGTCATGCGCCTCCTTGAGAACGCGATAACGCTTGTTTGGAGGCAACACAAGTTGGTGTTTGCCGTGCGATGCTCTGCGCCATAGGTTACCTTCCAGAATGAAATAACACGCCGCATTGTTCACGAACTTCTCGAATTCTTCATCTGAAACGTCAGTGGGTCTTTCGCGCGTGGTAAGAAACTGTTCTATAGTAGCCATCAGCGCGTCTTGTGCACGCGCCGCGTCTGAGCGCGGGATATCTGGTTCTGGTTCTTCCGTCTGCGTGACATTGAAGTATACGCGCAACACTGGTATGCGCGTGCTCTGCGAGATGAAACATGTGCGATGCGCTTCGTGGCGTATGTCACCCGAGCCACCAGCTATACGATGTGTGCGATCATTCAAAAGCGCAATAGCGAAGGAGTATGCGCGATCAATCCAACCCTCATGATTATCATCTTCTATCGGATCTTCCTCGGCGACTGGTCTCCTTGAGAGACCATCAATGCCTTTGTGCTTTTGCGCGGATACATGAATGAGTTTGAACGAAAATAAAAGGATACCCACGATCCATCGGTTGATGGTCGCGTTAGGCTGCAAGTCCGGATTATTGATCATACCTTTGATATACTTCGCGTCTACCTCCACCGTCAGATTCTTTACCCTGAAGATGTATACGCGTACCGCGCGGAAGAGTCCAAAAAGTTCTAGCTTCGCTTGAGAGTAGCGCCTTTCCACGTCGTTTAGCGCGATTGAGCCAAATCAATTTGGATAGCGCTTTCCGTCTTTGCCTATCTGCAGCAAGATGAATCCAACAGCGATATTGGAAGTATCGACTGCTAGAATGACTTCGCGCTCGCTATCGTAGTTGATGCACTTTAGCGTGGGCGATTCTAGAATTGAGTCCTTGAGGGTCTGCATGGCTTCGTGCTGTTCAGGTCCAAATATAAATGGTGCATCTTTCCTGGTGAGGTTAATTAGTGGGCACGCGATGCGCGAGAAATCGCGAATGAATATGCGCAGGACGCCGCAAGTACCCAAAAATCCGCGCACTTGCGACTGATTGGTGGGTTCTGGCCAGTCATGAATCTTCTGTACCTTGGATTCTTCTGGTACGTGCCCTTCAAACGTGCATTTGTGTCCAACGATAATTGCCGTAGGCACGGCTAGAACAAACTTTGATGCGGATACGGTTGCGCCTACGTTCTCTAGGCGCTGTAGGATGCGATTGACAACGATGCAATGCTCCCAGATGAAGCGCCGGATTCCTGCGTTTTCGGGTATTGTCTCGTATGAACCGTCTTCGCGCTGATAGCGCGTTCGCACTGATTTGATCGGAACATCATCCACGAATGGCGACATGAATTCAGGATAAACGCGGTATCACCTTGGTAAACCTGTACAGCATTAGCATGTCCTTGAGGAAGAGTGGTTAGCCGATGAGGACCCAAAGGCGTTCCAAAGGTCGTCAAGTCGCGCGAGTCTACATGAAGCGTGCGCTGGTCATAACCTGAATATAAGTCCAATATTGCGTACACCGCGTAACCAGCGAACGCTTCTGCGAGAAGTTCAACAAAAGGCGGAAGCGACACGTCGCGAATTGTTACCGCATTGAGCGGCTGCAAGTCGTGAACTAGGCGCAAGGATTTTCCATCTTTCTTTACTACGCAAAACCAGCGCGAGCGATACGCGGCCGTTGATGGCTCATATACTCCCGACGAGATCTTCTCCTTGATGATGCGTACTACTTCATCTAAGGTGGCTGGCAGGATCGGAATATTGCGCTGAGACCATGGCGTGTGCGGGACTGTAGGAATCTTGTATGGCGGGAAGTAGGTCTTGTTGAGGTGTCCCATGCAAATGTGAGTTCATGTACGCGCACGAGCCAGCGCACTAACTTGAGTTCTTCTGGCCATAGCCAATTTGCTGGGTCCAGGTCTAGCTTATCTGCACGCGCCTGTGTAAAGCGCATGCCCGGCATGAATTCTGGGGGATGGGTAGGTAAATCGGATAACCCCGCTAAAGGGTCTTCTGGCAATTGGCGCACTACCCTATACTCTGCGGGCATAGTGGTAGGTACCGTGCGCACTTTCTTCGCGACTGGTTTATAGACCAGCGCGTGAAGTACGGGGTCATAATAGTAAAAGGAATTAAAGGCGTCGATAGTCGCCTGATCTATAACGGTCTGCGTGGATGTTAGATGCGCGTAATGCGCTGAATACTGCAGAAGTGAGGATGAAGAAAATTGATGCATAGAAACTAAAGGCGATGCGTTGTTGCTCCTTAAGAGCGAAGAATGGGACGCGCTATGCGCAGCGCGT